CAGGGACCGCTGGTTGTGGACGCAGTGCCTGGGGTGCCTGGGGTGCCTCGCCAGTGCCTGAGCTATCAGAAGGGGCGTACCCGATTGACTGCAATCAGCGCTCGCAGGTCCCAAGCATCCAACGTGAGGTTGAACAGAAGGATGATTTGAGCTCGCAGCTACTGTAGCTATGAGCTACTAGCTACACCTTCTGAGTCTTGACCTCCGCACTACCGGATTCAGCGCATCTACAGTGTCATGGCGGAGAGTAGCGCGCTCTCTCACGTCGCCCAGTCGACGTCCGTTCCAAGGGCTCGGATCTGTTTCTGTCTGCGACCCGAGTGCCTGGATTGTGTGGCAGACGTGCAGCTGCAGACAGGTTACACAAGATGCGGTCGCCCTATTGGTGCCGCTGCTCGCTCTGCCCCGTGGGTGCACGCTGCACGGGCGATATTGGGGACGCTCTTCACCGCCTTAGTGTTCGTTAGCCAACCCTGCACAGGAGGCTTCGGTGCTGCTGGCTATCTCGGCTGTCACCAATAATTCCATCCTGGCGCCCTTTGGCCCTGCGCCTGAAGAAATCGGCGATTCCAGCTGCTGGCCGGCGTCTGGCGGGCTCGTCTATCTGCGTCGACCCAACCACTCGCAACACCTGCGTCAAGCTGCTCAAGACAAACTTGGCATCCCACGCTCCCTCGTCGGCGGCCATGACCCCTTTCGCCCTGTTCGCTTGCGGGCTCATTTCCCCGATTCTGCCATCCCGCGTGATCCTGTCCTCGCGCCCACCTCCTAGTCAGGAATACACCGTGCCTGCAAATTCCATGCTTCACACCTGAGTCAAGTAGTCTCATGCACCAGGCCATATTGGTCTCGGTCGCGACCATGAGGAGCACCACCATAGCTTGCCTCGGCCAGCGACGTGCTCGCTGCCAGGTGTCTCACTTGCAGCGCTTTTCGACGATGCTTGCTCCATGTTCCTCGTACTCCTTCTTCGAGATCCACATCTGATGGAAAGTCCCAAGACTGGCCACGATACTGCCACCGATCCAGCTACCAAACTTGCGCTCGATGGGCTGAGCCGCCGCTTGAACCCGAATCCGGGCACTGGGGTAGTTCTTCCTCAGCTCAGCTTCGATCCGTTCGGGCAAACCACGGATCTGAGAACCTGCTCCGGTCAGGACAACGTTGGCCAGCAGAAACGGTCGGATATCCACATCCACTTGGCCCAGCGCGCCCTTCACCAGTCCCATAACTGTGCCCTGTGCGTCTGGTGCTGGGTACAGGTGGCCATCGTCCGACCCTGGCGGAGGTGGATAGTAGCATTGTGGGTCGAAGATCGACTCGACCACCCGGTATCTTTCGGACGAAAACGTCTGGTTGTATCCGTCCGGGAACTCAAATGGGTGTGCGTATTGTTGTTCCCGAGTCAAGAGTTCGCCCTGGCCACGGAACGGCCCATTGTTGTTGTCGATCCTCCACGCTTGTAGCGCAATCTCCTTGAATTCAAGCACGACCTTCTCTTCCTGATACCGCCGGAAGGAAGCTCTCGGGGGCTTGAAGCCATCCGGCAGTTGCCTTAACACCGCGTTGGCTGGTTGTCCAGCATCCACCGGCTGTTTCGACTGAACGAGATAATGGGGCGTGATGGTGATCGGCTCGGGCTCATTGGCAGCAAACATGTTGCGGACCTGCGATGACAAGAAATTGCCGCCGATATTCGATCGCGTAACGCCCTTCTTGAGAATCATCCCATCGTGCACTGGAGTCACCGACACCTGCGCCGCCCCAAAATCCACGACGAGCGCACTGGGTTTGCCTGCAGCAAAGGCGCCCATGACACCAGCCCTTCCCAGATAGAATGCCGGTGCCGCCCATGACTCCAACGCTATTTCCACGCACTTCTCTCGGGCCTTGGGTGGGTTCCACGAGGGCTCGGTCATGAAGAGAGGATGGTCTTCCAGGCAACGCTCGGTGTCTACCGCGTCGGCCATCGCCTTTTGCAGATCTGGCACGGATTTGGGATCGTTGAGCCACTCCTGCAGCGCGCGGTTCGGTCTGACGCCCGTCAATTTGTGTGCGAACGAGTATTTCCACAGCGCTTCAGCTGCCTCCCAGTCCTCCACGATGCCGTCTCTTCCCACAGGATTCTTGATTTCCACATCTTCCCGCGTCACGTCAATCACATGGTCTCCAAAGAACCGATCAGAGCCGGTCGAAGCGTAGAAGGTGGGAACAATCGACTTGGGAGCGTCCTCTCCGGCAAAACCTGCCCGCACACTGGAGGAGCCTGGATCTAGCACCAGCGCAGCGACTTCGTCTGTAAGTGAAGCCAGTGTTAGTGAGTGTCCAGAAAAGGAACAATACATCAGACCAGCCGGATAGCCTGAATTCTAGTTTGCATACCTCCAGCGTATTCTGCCGTTTTAGGCTCATCGCGCGAGGTCAACGCCGCCGCCATTATACCAGGCACAAATTAACAGAGATAGGAAATGGAACAAATAAGACGTCTATTCATCGATCCGCAGGATTGACCGGATCAACATCGGTGGGGTCAATCGACCTAACATCCCAGGTATTTGCGACGCGGCGCGAAAATGCGTCTTTGGCAGTTGCAAACAGGACAAACACGGCACCGGAAATACTTTAAGCCGAGGTTGGAAGGCGCTATAAATACGGCCTGTCACGTGCCTGTTCACTCTCAAGACTGCATACTCTTGCTCGCAACCAGTATCAAAGTGGTCCTGGAAGCATTGATCTTATAACCACACGAGCTGGAAGACGAGGCATGTCGAGCATCATACATCTCCAAGCTCGAGCTATGTCTCTATTCCAGAAGCTGGGGCAGCATCCCCAACGACGTCCAGCAAGAAACAGTTTCCTTTGTCTCAGCCCAAAACCAGCGCGGCACTTCAAAACCCTTTCCGGCACCCAACCTCATTGTAGCTTCCTACGAGCCACATGTTTAATTCCTCGTAGATAGTGGGTGGCTATGAGGGAGTAAGAAGTCGTGCGGCAAACGCGAGACCAGGAAAGGGAGAACTCTCCGCAACGGTCGGGGTTCCTTGGTTGTAGACAGCGGGGGGTAGATCGTCTCTCGTGCCGAACCAGCTCTCTTGCTTGAAGTACTCGAGCGAGGACACCCAAGCCGATGTTGTTCATATTCGTCGTTCACTTACCTGGAGACAACACGAAGCAATCCATGATGATTCCACGCGCTGAGAATGACACAGCGGGTAACGAGGCAGCGGAGCGGGAGAGAAGATGCTTACTCCAATTTTCATGAGACTCGGCCTATCCTCCGTCGACGAGCGGTATGCTGACCATCGTTGTCATGTAAGGCACTTGGTCGAGAGTTGCAAAGGAGCTAGGTGATTACTCAGATCAGTGCGAGAGGTGAACAGTACGAAGCCCAATAGCAGGCATTGTGAACAATGAACTTGCATGGAGTCAAGAATCAATGGGGATAAACAGGGTGGTTAGTGGAATAGGGACAACGCAGATATCGAAAATATTTCACATGCACTTGGCACAGCAAAACTCACCGTCATGAAAACCTACCAAGCTCGCAAGCACTGCTTTCAATAGAAGCACGACACACAGAAGACACGTTCACTTACCTCTTTCGCATCCACATCCCTCCCTATCCACTCATGATCGAGTCCAGGGGGACATTGACACCGCCATCTCGGACGGCCCAGTCTTCGAAGCCGCACCGCCAGATGGTTTTGAACATCTGGTAAGCCCAGCGACGGTGGTCCGCTCTCGAGTACAGGAAGTGTGCAATGGGGCCACCACCAGTGCGCGGCTGACTGATGTAAAACTCTTGCTCTATGCGGTCGGTTCGTGGATCATAATAGTAGCGGCGGTCTTCGTGGCCTCGGCACTGCGTATAGTACTTTTGTGCCAAGTTGCTCTCGAAGAGTGCAGCCCAGGTGAGAAGATGTTGCTCAAAGCCATTGATTGTCCACTCGCATTTCTGCTCCTCTGTCTCCTCTTGGCTGATGGACCATTTGAGAAACTCAGATATCGGGCGTGGCATATGATGGATAGCCCATCCGACTAGATAAGTCTCACCTGTGAAAATATTAGCATGCACCCACGCCGATAAGGGAAGGGGGAATCATGTCCGTAGCGGCACAATCGACGACGATGGGGACTTACCATATTGGCTCTTGTTCCTCCACATGTGCACATATTGCGAACGCATAAAGGTGACGATGGTTTCGATCTCGATGCGAAACCCTGCACCGATGGCGCAACCCCGAAGAAAAGAATTCCAGTGAGTTTTATCAACGTACATCCGGTTCTCATCTGCCTCGTTCCAGGGGCGCAGAGGGTCGTTGCTTACAATATCGCTTTGACTTGACACTTCCTTGGCGACAAATGGGTGCTTCCTGTTGAATTCAATCCACTTGTCCCAAGCATATTGTCTTTCAGGGCTATCACCCCTATACGATTGAAGGATGTGATGGAGCCTTCGCCCATGGGCATATAAATCTTCATTGCTGGTGGTAAATGTTGACATGTTTGTGGTTGCCAAAAAATCCGATGCAGAACAATGAAAAGGTGGTGGCTGACACAACGATTCGAGAACGGCTCTGTCAGAAATATATTATATAATGGATTCGTGTGAATTGCACGTCTCTGATCAGGCCGAGGGCAGGCGAGTGCTTATAAGACCAAAGTTGGCGGTACACTCTTTGTGACGAACGATGCAGCACCAGCTTTGTTCTGGGTTGTGCTTGTCCAACAATTCGCATTGTCCGCGGAGCGACATGACAGCGAATCGCGACCCAGGTCTGGGTTCCTGGGCAGTCCTCTTGACAAAGGTCGTTGTAAGCATCAATCAACTTCGAGGCTGAAGAAGTCTTTGTTGGTGTGCCACGCCACATGTCGCAGCCGTGTGTCGACTATAAGCGATTCTCATTATCAGCGATGTGCATCGGTTATCCGCTCACAAGGACCTTATGCCATTGGCAGCTCCTGGGATAGTAGAAGGGAGTTCTCTCGGCACTTGAGCTTCATATCCTCCCCTCTTCGGTTAGTCTGCGGATTCGATCGAGTAAGACGGTCCCTTGTCGACCTAGCTTGGCCTTCCCATCGACGCCGGGTCGTTTGGCCTTGGACATAGCTTTCCTATCCTTCTCACGAGCCTCCATAGCTTTGCGTTTTGCCTCAATTTCCGCCTTACGTTGGGTCGCAGCTTCCAGTTCCTTCTTGTAGCGCGACTGTTTCGACCTATGCTGTCCTGGCCGGCCATCTACGTTTCTGTGCAGCTTTGATTCATCCTCTTGCGGAAAAGTCCGTCTGCCACGTGTATGGTCGTTTTCTAACATTGCTTGACGGTCAGGGTGAAGCTCAAGGCTTGACGGAGCCGGGTCCGGACGGTGATTCGCGGGTTGGCCAGAGGCAAATGTGTGTGTCGTTGCTAGTTCTTCCTGCGCCTTCACTTTTGCATACGCCTTCTTCACCTTTGCCTTCTGAATGAGATCCTTCTTGATCTTTTGTGCTGGTACGAGTTAGCAGAGGAAAACTTCCAAGCAGACCTTGAGTAACTTACTTTTGCGCCGGTAAGTGCCATCAGGAAGATTGGCTGGCCCGACCGAAAATCCCTTGCGCTTCTTCTTGTCTGGTTCCCCGGCCGCCCCATCAGCGTCGTTGCGAGCTCGCTTGACGCTCATAATGCCTAGAGTCCAAGGCCGCGGGTATGAAGCAGAGCAGACAGTCTCTGGGTATAGTGAGCGTTGTGAAAGCGATGAGACACTTTATGGACCGCTCAGAAACGCCGCAAAATCCACGACATCAAATTGTGACGCCATAAGCGTTGATATACGCTAGCTGTTTTGGGATAGACTGCTATTCCCACGACCTAGCGGATTCGGCGGTCAGTGTCGCCGCCTTTGGAGACTTTCTTCCCTTGGTGGCTCGATGCTCCCGCAGGAGTTCTTCCAGCAGAGCTCTTTCAGCATTGTTGCACTCATCCAGGCATTCTTCACCGGGCCAGCTTGCACATACTTGCAGATCCATGAGCGGCAACCCGCGTCTTGATAACTCCAAGCTGTGACAGAACCGGCAGGAGGGCCCTACATTTTTGAGCGATGGCTTTTTGAAGCTTGGAACGCCTCCCACACCTTCGCGTCAGCTCGCGTGACTCCCTTGGTCTAACAGGGCGCACTTGGCTCGAACACGGGGGTAAGTAGCTTTCGCTGTGAGCGTGAATGGCCGTCGCCAGACACCCGCCCTGAGGATGTCGCCCCGTCTCGCATCGTTCAAGTGATAGGTGGGAACATGTTAACCCATCCCTTGCGTCCTTGGCGAGGGGACCGGTGACTCTTCCTGTCTTGCCCATCTGTCGTCCTCTCTTACGGATAGTTCCTCGTCGCCTTGATCAAACTGTCCCAGCATATGTTTTGGCGGCGGAGGTGTTCAAGGAGCTGCATCAATTCGGCGGCGAAGTTGCCGCCATTTCACTGCAACGGCAGAGGTAGAATATTCTGGCGGGTCAATGCATTTATTTTTACTCGTGGCACTTGGGGCCGTTTTTGTGAAGTGGTTGTATGGGTCACGACGTCGACGTCGGGTAGGCGAAGTACGATTGAAATGTGGGCTATATTAATTGTTTGCAGGAAGAATCAGAATTCGCCAGAATCCACGGCTGCGAGCCACCTCATTGTGAATTCAAGCACTGCTGGCCCTGGGCTCTTGATTTGATCAAGAGACATGTTGAGACGGTGCTGACTGACCACGCGCTGATGCTACAAGTCGAGTTCACTGAGAGCCCGGGTATGACTTTTGCAGCGTACATGTTTGGCGTGGTTGGTTGCTTCACCTCAGACCCTCGCAACATCAAAGCCATCACAGAAACACGTTTCCAAGGTGCGTCACCCCCGCCATTGAATTCAGCCTCGCGGGACTAATGACGGGCGTAGACATGCGTCTGGCGGTACGTAGACCTGCCTGTTACCCCTTCTTTGGCGAGGGGATCTTCACTCAAGATGGTCCGGCCTGGAGGCATTCGCGGGAACTGCTACGACGACAGTCTGCACGAGTCCAAGCCAGAGACCTGGAGACCTTTACGGACCAGGTCGAAAATCTGATCTCGACCTTTCAACATTCCAAGGGCGTGGTGGACCTTCAGCCGGCATTCTTTCGGTTCACGCTCGCGACGACGACGACGCTGCTCTTTGGTGATTCCATCGAGACATTGTCAGAAGCAGAGCACACCGAATTTGCCGAACCCTTCGACTGTGCCACCTGGGTTACCGCCGTGCGGCTGCCCCTGGCGCATCTAAGCTTCCTATACAACACGCCGAGCTATCAAAAGTCCTGCAGAGTCGTCAGACGCTATGCGGACTACTTTGTCGAAAAAGCATTCGAGTACGCCGGTCTCCACGGTCAAGGAGAAGCCATCAAAAAGTATCCCTTTATTTTCGATCTTCACACCGAGTATCAAAATCAATCCTTGGTGCGAGACCAGCTCGTCAACGTGTTACTTGCCGGACGAGATACCACGGCGTGCACCATGTCATGGGCAATCTTTCATCTTTTTCGTCATCCCGAGATGCTTCAGCGGCTGCGCCAGGAGATCCAAGAGGTCGCCGGCTACGAGGCGGTGATTACCAGATCGCATACGAGGAATATGTCTTATCTGAACGCTGTCCTGAACGAAAATGAGTCATCGGAGTGCCGTTTCCTCGAAGCAAAGCTAATCATTGCCGTCAGCCCTCAGACTCTACCCACAAGTCCCCATGAACACCAGATCCACAGTCAGAACGACATTGCTGCCGAAAGGCGGCGGAGCAGATGGTGAATCGCCGGTCCTCGTCCCAAAGAACGCCGGCATTACCTTCAGCCCGTATCACATGCACCGTCGCAAGAAGCTTTTCGGCGAGGATGCACACGACTTTAAACCGGAACGGTGGTTAGATGGCAAGCTCACCCACATCGGCTGTGCCTATATCCCGTTTCTTCACGGGTACCGAACATGCTTGGGGAAGGACTTTGCCCTGTCCGAAGCAAGCTACGCTCTGGTTCGTCTACGCTTATCCCGCTCCGCGACTCCCACCTGGAACTGAAGTAGTGCCAACGGGACAGGAGAAGCAAAGGCTGACGCTGGTCGTTTCCAGTTTGGAGGGATGCAAGGTGGTGCTTCAGTAGAAGGACTTGCTCTGCCCGAGAAGCTGTTGGTGTTAGCGAGCGGGAAATAAGCCCAACTACAATAATACTGGATTTACTCCCGTACCATCGGTTCGTTTCAACTCGTGTGCCTCTTCCAGCCAGATATTGGGATTTTCAGCAGCGAATTGATGTCTACAACGTACTACGACCCCTCATTTCTGCGTGCGGGTAGAATCCTATTTCAGGGCTTCAGGGCTTCCGGTTGACTGGTGTCACAGCCTTCCCGGTCGAGAGAAAAGAGTCCCCTCGATACACCACCGTTGGAATCCTGTCGTCCACTCGACAGATCCTCCAGCACAGTGAGGTATCATGGTCACATTGTCCATCTTGACCAGCTCCGGATGCACATGCGGCTCGTTCTCGTAGACATCCAGGCCCGCGGCAGACACCTGTCTAGATTTCAGAGCGTCGACCAAGGCCGCCTGGTCCATCAATTGCCCCACGAGACACGATAACGAAGCGAGCTCCTTTCTTCCTCTTGGCGAACTCGTCCGCTGTCATGATCTGCTTGCTAAAGTAAGGCGCGGCCACGACCATACAGTCGGACACGGCCAGCAAATCGTCCAGGGAGTCAAAATACCTAGCGTTGATCAGTTGTTCGGCCTCTCGCGATCGTCGTTGCACGTCATAATAGACGACGTGGGCTCCCAGGCCGAAGTAGAATCTTTTGGCCACGAGATGTCCTATGCGTCCCAGACCCACGATTCCTACTGTATGACGCTGGGGATTACGGCCGATTTCTCGAATCCTGTTTCGCCTTCGCGTCCATGTCTTAGGGTCGCCCGTTTTGGCGCCGAGCTGAGCCAGGGTGAAGTGTCGAAAGACCGAGATGACGAGGTAGAGCGCCGCATCTGCCACGGCAAGAGTACAAGCGGCGCCGCTGTTGCAGTACAGTATGCCTAGGTGGAATAACGCGCATTAGGCCTGGTATCAATTGGCGGATAGACTGGCAGGGCAAGGGGACTGACCTCTTTCCGTGAGCAACGGGATGTTCATCCAGTCGTACCCTGCAACTACGCTCGCACATATATTGTGTGAGATCGGAAGCAGAGACACGATGTCATTGTCCCAGGGCTCCATCTCGGCGCCCGAATGGACCACCTGTCTGATGATCGCGTCGAAACCGCCCCATTTCCGACACCGAAGATTCTCAATAAAGGTTGCTGTTTCAAGGTCTTGCTTCGCCACGGGGATCACCTCGAATATTGCCTTGACTTTTGACACCTGTGCTTCATTGTGGCCCGTCCAGTTTGTGCCGAGCTGAAGCACTCGAGGTTTTCACGCTTGGACAGTCATGTCGTGGACAGACCAAGGGTTAGGAACAGGCGGTGCCCAGAGGGAGCGACATTTGGGGACGGTAGACAATGTTGATGTAATTCAACGCTGTTGACCCTTGCATTCCGCTAACGTACGGCTCACGAGTCCAACACCGACATCTTCCATCGGAAACTGCTGAGGCGAGTTCACCTGCAGAGACTGTGGTTGGTAGCCGAAGGAGTTGCTATTTCCTGCCAGCTCTTGGTCTAGCCCAGCCCAGGTGAAGAGCCATCACCACGACTTGCGGAGGATTCTTCGTCGATTGCCGTGAACACCGCCATGTGCCTTGCCGGAGAGCATGGATAGGCTTCGGATTGAGGCAGTTTATGTCTATTACAATCCTGTAAACTCGATCTTAGCGCTTCCGACAGGCTTCGGAAGCGGCTCGTGAAATCTTCGGCTGCAAGTCCTGGAGTGACAGTCCCTGTAGTTCCCCAGAACTCCTCCACCGTGGCGGAATCGTGCAGGAGGAGAGCATGTCATGTATCTATCATCGAGATAGACTAACTCGCAGGGACGCCTGGATGCTCTCGCCGACATGGGCCGAATGTGTCGTACAACGGAACCGGGGCCGTTGCTCAGCATGTTGAAACGAAGACAGCAAACACCCAGCATTGCTTGGGGATGCCAGAGAGGCTTGGTTGCTTGATCTTGGGCTTCACCACAGCCGTACCGACAGGTAGGACAACTACCGCGGCAAGACCACCAACCACCGTGGGAACAGACTCGATGATGAACAGCCATTTCCACGAGGCGATGCCATGCACACCATCTAGGTTCTTGTCGGTTCCGTAGCTGATAGGTCCGCTGCTGAACGACGCGACTGTGGACCAGTACATGAATGCCGTCCTCGTTGTCAGCAGCGAATTATTGGAACAGAGGGCTTGCTCATTTGGACTCAGCTGTCCGCAAGCGAGCTCATCCGCTTTGTACCATTGGCTGAGGTACAGACAACCCATGGTCAGGACGGCCTCGCCGCAGCCCAGGATAAATCGGAGGACCATGAGACTTGAATATCTCCCACAAACGGGCACTAGCCCAGTGGCAGTGCCGAAGAGTATGATTGCTCCGCCAAGGACGTATTGTGCCGGGATGGATTTCATAGTGAGACGGACAGGGAAGTCCACGATGAAGAAGCCAACAACCAAACCCATGTGTTTTGACTTGGCTGGTCACGATGGATTCTTCCACAAACTCAAGACTTACAGTAGATCATGAGACACTGCAGATTTTGGGTTGTTGCTCAGGTTCAAGTCGCCCTGAAGTCCCAAAGGCGGGCGTTCCGAATCGCCCCACGGTCCTACAATGCTGGATCACAGAACGTATCCTGAACAAGGTTCATTCCCAGCGGGTCGCCTCGATGGAGACCGTGGAGGAAATCAGCAAACATCATCGGAAATGGGTTTCCCTCCTGCCCCGAGGCCTTTGGCAGGACGGTATCCTGCCAACATTCCACTTGGAAGACCCGCGAAGGCCCAATGTCGGGCTCTGTCACTTACGTTGTGAATATTATGGTCAGCATTTTACTGCTGAACAGACCATTCTTGCTGGACCTGCCAGTCAAGGCCGACAAAGAGCCTGACATCCTGAACTATTCACCATCTATCCACTTATCTGCCGTACCGCTGGAGCGTGCCCTTGGGTATGCTTGCGTCGACTCTGCCATTCGAATCACGGAGACGACGCGTCCCTTGTTGACATATGAACCCCTTCCGAAACGACTGCCCTTTGTTGTCAACGCGGCTTTTCTGGCAGGGCTTGCTATTGGACTGGCATTTTTCGCTAGACTTCGAAGGCAATTTCCGCTGCACGAAGGCCTCGCCGATGCTCTCAGGACACTGAAGGCCTTCTCCGAGCAAGATATTGTTGCCAGACGCGGGCTGTCGCTCTTGACAAATCTAGAAGCTGCTTGCGGCAAATCAGGATGGAGAATAATACAGGCCCTGGCGACAGTTAGTCACTGGCCTTTTGGCCACTTTCAACCGCTTAACCGAGAGGCGCAAGAAGGCGTATTAAATGGCCATGGCGTGCAGGATAGTTTCAGTGAACATGAGAGACCAGCTGAGTGGAACGCGCGCAAGAGACTTTCGAGTTCTTCTCCCTCCGGTGTTCGATCTGCGCAGTCAGGTCAACTCGGTCGAGATACCCAGTTCAAGGCTCTCCCGGTCAATTCTGACCTCACCGAACAGCGACTGCCAGCGCAAGATGATACTCCTCAGCCCGGAAGCAATGACTGGCAGACGGATGTTGAAAACGACGCTTTGCTCTTCGACGCTGACGTTCATTGGAGCCAACCGGGAGCGTCGTTCGGCCAGGGTTTCGCGAACCTGTCGACGTTGAGCAACCAGTATTGGGAGTCGCAGAATGTTTTCAGCATGGACTGAGGCGGCTGTTTTGTCACTGGACAAGAAGCACCGTGCCAACGTTTGCGCGTGAATGGCGCCGGACCTCAAAGAGCCGGAGGAAAGTGAGTTGCGCCCCACGGAAAGGATCACGTCGCATGGGAGTTGTGACCAAGTCATCACGGCTGATACCACTGACAGCTGGTAAGGCAGAACTGCATCGGTGCCGAGCACCGATCATGTTTCGGCAGGCCAAGCCAGAAATACCGCACCAGAAGGATTCCCGGCACGGTCGAGGTGAGACCCGAAATCTAAGTAGCACTCATCACCCTTAGAGATCAACTACGACTTGCCTTAACCTGACGGCGTAAAGTGATGCGTGGTAGCGAGTACGGAGTAAACCTTTGATGTGTCCATCGAGGATAATCCTCGTGCATGAAATCTCTAGGAGAATGATCTCAACCAATTCCACCCAGTAGGCCGAGAGCAGGAGCCGGTGGAGTGGGTTGAGTGCTAAGTAAATGTTCGGGAAGTGTTAGGTAAGTGCACGGTGAGTCGTAAGTGAGTGGTAGGTGAAGGGGGAATGAGGATGAGGGGCGTCTTGGCACTAAGACATGCTCGTGACGTTACTGTATGTGGCATGGTATGACTCAATCATCATGCCATTGTTGAAATGAGCACGCTCCTCTCTGCTAGACACTTATCTCCTGTCCTGATACTAAGTCATGTATACATCTATGGTTTCCTAGGGTTGTTATCCCTCAGCAAGACCCCCTATCCAGCCTACCTCGCTTCTAAGTGAGAGTTCGTCAACCGAGTCCTGACTGATCGACCATGCAACGATAGTGCCCGACTACCTCCCTCCCTCCACCTAAACTATTCGTACCGTTATGTCGCTCGAGTCTCATGCATATTTGTCTCAGGCCTCGCGAGAGACCTGCCGTCAACATTCCCGCTGTATACCCTGAAGGACTGGGGCACGGCCTAGAGCATGCCCTTTGTCTTGGATTGTGGAAATCTGGTAGAGCCACCAACGAAGAGGCGGAGACTGTCTTCCAGCATGGCTCGATACAGTACCCCACAACCCGACGACATTGATGAACAATTTCTGTTTGAGCCTACCGAAGCTCTGGAAGGATTTAGTGCTCCAAGGCGAGATGACCGTGAAGAAAAGGAGCAGGTTACAGTCCGCACAAGTGACAGAGAAGAGCTGATCCAATGCATCAAGAGAGGTCAACGGACAACATGGGTACCCAAACCAGGGCTGGAAGCTCTGTGTGCCGAGGTCGCTTCGACTCTGCCACAATCGAACAATAACCCTCATGCTGATCACATTCAAGGTGCTAAGCGAGAAAGCGACGTGGAGGGGGCACTGCCAACTCGGTCAATCGCGACTAATGCCCTGCGACATTCCCTATCTGTTCTCCGCACTAGTGATGTAACAGAGGACTGTGATGTGGATTCACCAATCCCTGGTACACATGCAGAGACGTCGATTCGAAGGAGGCCGAGTTATCAACCAAACTTCGACAGGTCTCATCCATTCTGGCAGACAGACTCTCCAACTATACCAAACGTCCAACAACAACAGAGCTCTCCCACAGATGTGTTCAGAAGATCTCGTGCACCTTCACTGGGGAGCAGCTTGTCCTCAAGTTTTGTTATGAGAATCCCTACAAGTCCACTTGTCCACGCGATCAATAATCCTACACTGGACTTCTCACCGAAGGATCCGCCACGTCTCGAGACAGGCAAAACTGCAAGGAGGAGGACCATGCCCCCCAATGTGTTTGAATCATTACATATGTCTCCGGCCGACTCTGCTGCACCTGTTTCCAGCCGGCCGTTACCATACGATCAGGCCCAGAGAGATAATGGCGCTTCATTCTCTCCGGGGCATCGAATGCGGCGGTCGTTGAGCTCTTTCACCTACCAGCCGGCTACTCCGCCTCAGATACCTCCCTGGACTAGGCAACGTCGAACTTCCCTGGCAGCAGACACGTCACCTCGACAGCGTGCTTCAATGGTTGGTTCTTTCGAGGAGTCTATTCTGCGAGGTAGGATGTCCACTCCTGCGTCGAAACCCCTTGATTTCGTTGCCCAGATCGGAGTTATGGGTAAAGGGAACTGCCCAGCCAGGTTGAAGTGTCCCGCTCATGTAACTGTTCCATTTCCGGCCGTGTTCTATAACTATCCCTCCGCCAGTTCGTCCAGATCAATCTCGGACGATAATCCCAGTCCGTACGTGGGCAGTATTGACCTAGAGCGCAACCTGAAAGCTGCCGAGCCTCGTCGACATGCCCAGCGCTCTCAAGCAAGTCTCAATCCCGAAGAGTTAGCTGCGGAGATCACAAAACCCGAGAACACAGCCATTGGAAGAGCGCTGGCTAGGGAAACACGAGATCGGCAAGAGAAGAATTTTGTCTGGCAGCGCAAGGCCCCTCCTGGTGGGGCGTATCGGGTGCCTCAGAAGGGACAACTTCAGGTTATCATCAAAAATCCCAACAAGACAGCCGTGAAACTGTTCTTGGTTCCTTACGACCTGGAGGATATGCTTCCCGGAACGAAAACTTTTGTTCGGCAGAGGAGTTATTCGACCGGCCCCATCCTAGAAGCTGCAACGCTGGAGAAACAGGCCGCCTTAGCTGCACTCGACCCTCTCAGTGCGAAAGACATTCTTCGCTACCTCATCCATATCAAGTTTTGCTGTACGGCAAAAGGCTATTTCTACCTTTACGACACTATTCGCGTCGTCTTCGCGAACCGCGCCCCAGACGGCACAGAAAAGCTTCGGAACGAGGTTCAACTACCAGACCCCAGGTTCAGCCCATACAAGCCGGCGATTGGGAGTCATTCCCGGAGTCCTAGCATACCAGATGAAAAGGTCTCTCTTCTCTCTCAGGTCTCAGTTACTCCGGACTTTGAGAATATGGATGACATGTCAGGCTCTGGCGCCTCGAAAAACGACTTGAAAGCGACACGAGATTTGTCACCAACCCCCATTCACCTCTACACCCCTGCAAGATACCAAAAGGATGTGACAAAAGTTACCGAGAATGCAGAGACAGAGGGAACCCTAGTTGAGCAAGCCGTCTCGCCCACTCCTGGCTTCCTGCCGTCGACGTCCTCTCGTAGCTCTCCCGTGCCTTGGCCGGCGTCGAACTCAGCTTCCATCGCACGAGGCTTCTCTCCCGCACCAGTCGAAGCAGGACACGGCTTACTCTCGCGCAAGCTCAAGGAACTGAATGATGGTTTGGAAAAGCCCTATGAGTAGTATGCACCACCTTGTCACCAGCCCAACACCGAGCATTCTGGCGTCAGTGATGTTTTTAACGATACCCCAACGGCACAGGTATTCTGAGATAGGAAGTGGCCAACTTACAATAGCTCAATGACATCTAGACTTATCTAGACACGTTGTTTTCCGGTCTCTTTCCGTCCTTGAGCATCTCGTGAAATGTAAAGCTACAGTAGAATAGGTCATGTGGCAGAGGACACCCGGCCCCTGGCCTCGTGCTCGAACAAGACATACCACAGTTGGAAACTGAGGGTGTGGTCCCCTTGGTGTCCACCCCGGAACAACCTGCTTCGCTGCCTTGATTTGTGGCCTGGCGCTGCATAGGGGGCGGAGCACGCATCATGCGTTAGACCTAAACAACCTTCTCATTCGTCATCCTCCTTATGCACACTAAACAACCCACAGCCATTTGGACATCACGGCTCGGCGGGTCATGATGTTCGCTTGGGGTTTAGTTGTGTGCTTACGGGGGGGTTTATCATTGACCGGGCCAGGTCTTCCTGCCCGTCGGAGAGAGAGCTAGGGAAGCCAGGCCGAGCTGTGTACCACGCTGGATTCCTCGAGCCCCTCGATGCGGCGAACCAGAAGCGCAGCTGGACTTAGATTATTCCGTCAGGGTCCCAACTGCCTGCACACACAGGCCACTGAGGTTACGACCGTCAACTGCTTCTTGTCCGTCACTTGAACCTCAGGTTCAACTTTCAACTTTCACACAACCGCCATCACCACTAAGTAACCCCCCCGCCCACGCCGTCCCCGAACCTCTGTCGGCAGCCTCTCACCTTCTCGATGCAACAACCATAGCTCTCCCCTTCCTTCCCACTCCCTTCCGAACGTCGATGACTTGGGGAGTCGTCCATCGCCGAAGATGCACAAGATCAGCAACTTCACCGGCCAGGCCCGTCATGGCTGGGAACGGATGACTCCTGCAGCGTTTGGCATGTCGAGGTTTCACCAGGACATGCCCACGTCGCAACCATTGAGACGTCCGCAAGGCTCGCCAGGAATCGTTTCTCAGCCGGCGCCCGAGGCCTCCCCTGTCAACCTTTCATTCAATGTGCCCTTTGCCTCAAGCCTTGCAGGTCCAGAGCCCGACGAGATCCTACACTCGAGTCCTGGTGCTTTTCAGCGGTGGACTTTCCCAGCGGGGACTCCCGAGGGCACACCCACCCACAAATTACCAGTACATGTGCAGAATGAGGAGACACTGCGTTCATTATGTGCCTACATCAGTGAACAGAGTGGAGGACACATTCAAGCTACCGTCACCTCCTCAGAACCAAAGGCTGGACCAGCCCTGCACAGAAAATCTCAAGGGCTGGTGACCAATGTGTGCATATCGGGTGATGGAGAGTTGGTGTTCAAGATGAGAGCAAAGATCCTGAACGAAACACCGATCATGATGGTACGAATATGCCCTTTGCCCCCGAGACTGGCTGCTGCTGACTTCTCCAAGCGCTCGGCAATCGTGGACATTGATCCAGGCTTGATTCTAGACGGAGCCGAGACCGGCATTCGCTCCAGTGTCCTCAGTCACATTGACCTTTGTGCCAAATACACCGGAACAGACATATTCCTTCTCAAGCCCCGAAGTGCTGATCCATCCGCGTCCAATCCCCCCTACAGCGAAGAGATCGACAGCGGTCTGGACCAACGGTATCGAGTCAACATCTTCGGTGACATGGAAAGCGTTGAACATGCGAAGACCCGCGCTCTGATGATGATCGACCAGATTGTAACCCCTCCTCGTTGACTTTGATATCAGGCCCGTACTGACCCATTGCAGCTCAAACACAAAATCGACGTAATCAAACTTGAGGTGTCGATGCACACCTTGGTTTCCGGTCGAACCGGCAAGAACATCAAAATGATCGAGTCAGCTACCAAGACCGCCATATACTTTCCGCCTCCGTTCCCTGGAGTCTTTGGCTACGTCCCTCCTCATGCCACACGCCGGGCGGCAGATGAGATCTTTATAACCGGAGAGACACAGGAGCGCATCAACCAGGCAAAGCAGAAACTGAAGGAGCTGGTGATGAGCATCAAACTCTACTCCAAGGATGCTGTGGTGTCTGCCAGCAAGATTGACAACATCTTACTCGACCGACTGGAGAAGGTGCGCAAGATCATGGAGACGAACGGCTCCCACGTTCTGTTCCCTCAGCTTGGTAGCCAGAGAGGTCTTGTCCGCGTGCAAGGTACTGAAGTTTTACATGTCGAGAGGACGGTGAAGGAAATCATGGCACTCGTACGAAACTCGTCCTCTTCCGACCCTCCAAAACGAGATGCTGACGACTGTTTAGGCTGGTCAATTCTTCAGCGCGTCCTGGTGGATCATGATGCCCGATACCTCTCAGGGTCCAGCCCTTCGAGCTCCGTCACCCGACGACATTCGGATCATGCTCAGCGATATTTGCACCAACTCTGGTGCCGAGATCAGCTTCGAGAAGTTTACATTCACAATCAATGGCTCCGATGACGCTGTGAAAGCAGCGATGATGGTGATCAATCAAATTCCCTTTGTAAAGAAAACTCCATATCAGATGCGAGTCAAGATTGAGCTGGCCAACGAGCACAAGGAGTTCGTCAGTGGTAAGAAGAACGGCAAGATCAACAAGATCATGGGTCAAAGTAGGAGTGCCTCCAGAAGACGAGATTGGTTATAGCTGACTCCTGCGGCAGGCAACGTCCAGATCATTTTCGATGGTTTCAACGAGTACAACTTCTACATCGATGTCGTAGGCAGCCAGTACGAGGCCACCAAGAACGGATTAGATCTTGTGGAGCAGGAGATGCCAGCGTCGATCTCGTTCCACGTTCCTGACCAGTACCATAAACGCATTATCGGCATTGGTGGCCAGCACATCCAACGCATCATGAAAAAATACTCGGTCTTCGTGAAATTCTCCAATGCAATGGATCGTGGCGGTGTTGGTAAAGACGATGATGACATTAAGGTTGATAATGTCATCTGCCGGACGCCAGCCCGAAATGCGCAGAGTCTGGATCTGGTGAAGCAAGAGATCATGGACATGGTGGAAAAAGCTGTAAGCGATATTGAACCCATGCATGATGAGAGTATGTCCTTATCAGAGTGAATCTAGGACGCCGAGTTCGTCTCCGAGACCGTGGTGATCAACAGACTTTACCACCGCGAGCTGATTGCTAGGCTTCCGGAAATTGAGGAATTGGAGAAGAAATGGAACTGCAAGATTGATTTTCCCAATACGGAGCTAGCCAGCGACGTTGTCACCATTTCTGGTCCCGAGTACCAAGTACCGCAGGCGGTCGACGCTTTCTTGGGCATGGTTCCGGAGAGCCACGAGATCGCCTTCCAGAAGTCGGACGAGTTGGAGGCATTTTTCACCAGCCCGGAATTCTACTCCGAGCTCCGCCAGAAGTTCAGAAGTCAATACGAGGTAGACGTGCATGCCAACCCGGAGCTTAGCAGTTTACCAAAGTCAGCGACCGCATCCGTGGAACGCATCTGTGGACCTTCGGAAGGGCGCCTCGTCCTCACGTATACGCGGAACAATGCAGGTGGGCTCAAAGACGCCATCGACTTTCTCATCTCGCAGCTTGTCCCACACGGATTGGATGCTAGTACCGTCCAGGGCGCCATTCCTCGTCCGAAATCAGACTCGTTCGAGGACTCGCTGCCATTCTTCGAGTCAAAGCTCTTACAGAACGCCCCTTCTCTACACTCCACAGACTCTCCGTCACGTTCGAGCTTCGCTGATGCAGATAGCACGGCGGTGTCGGAGAGAGCATCCATCTTTGACCGATTGCGCAAACCTGGCAGCCTTTCGTCAATCTCATCCTTTATGAGCCGCAAGAATCAGAACAATTCGCCAGGGACCTTCTTCAAGCACGCATCTTCCAACGCCAGCAAGGCGTCTCTTATCTCCATGGAAAGTCGCGAAAGCGGATACCGACACTTCTGGAACGATAGTGGCGTCAATCTTCCAGAGGAAGATGCTTCGAACACTACAGTTAGTGGTGGCTGGCCATCACGCTATCAAGACAGTAAATTTCCCTTCGGAAGTGGTGGCAGCATATCCGGAGACCGAACCCCGAAGCACGAGCCGCGGGCAAGTTTCGACTCGGGCAGGCCACCAACATCACATTCCTTTTCTTCATATCCGGCTCCTATTGGGCCACACCATCACACTCAGATCCCCGGCAGCGGGAACGGATCTGGAAACCATTTGAATCTCCCTTTACGCTAGGCTTTGCTGAAGTCTGAATTGATCGGAAAAGTAAACGACAATGATACCCCGACACGGATATGGAATCATGATTATCTGCGATTATGTCCAGCAAGATACCCTTTGACGCTACCACGAAAAGTACAGAAGAGGAGGACTCGGAGACGTTTGGATTATTGCGTCGTTACAGCACCTGGGCGATACGTGCCTATCATGTTGTTTTGGCTAAAGTTGGATCGCACCAAGAAGTTTTGCTTTTGTACGTGTTCATTGACGCTCACTCGGTCCGAGACATGATACCCTGCGAGCTTGCGACGCGATGGGCGGCAGAACTTGGGCCTGAAGCGCTGCGAAACAGCGGTACTGCTTTGGTTCGGTTCAGCCGCGAATGAAATATACCCCAGTTAGCTGCTAGAGAAGACTGCATTATCAACGTGGACCTCGAACTTAGCGCCCCTACCAATGTAACACCAAGGAGGACAAGGTCTCGAATAAAGACCACCCGTGGATTTTATTCAGACCGTATCACGTGCGCCAGGACCACCTCGGTATCTCACGTGATGACACGTGTCTGGCAGACGCAGAGCGTTGTGGCCCCCACGTGTCTTTGGGGCGCGATCCTTGCAGAGCCCATCACGCGTCAATCAATGCACTGGGACAAACATTGACTTGTCCCCTCCGACTCTCCATCCTTACAACCCTACGGCAGTCCAGCACTTCCATGTTCTGCCATTCATATTCGACACTGTCATGCACCTTTACACCCAGCGACTAGGTGCCAGATATGGCAGATCTTATTGTCAAGATTGGCCAGAAAGTTGAGACCCAGGACGGCAAGCAGGGCACGATCCGCTACATCGGGCCGTTGCATGTTGCCTCGGGCGAGTGGCTGGGCCTCGAGTTGCCCGACGACAGCGGCAAGAACGATGGATCAGTCAAAGGCGAGCGCTATTTCAACTGCGCTCCCAGTCATGGCATCTTCGTCCGTAGGGAGTCCGCCGTCAAGATCCTGAGTCAACCTGCCCCGACTGCAAAGCCCAACGGAGTCTCGGGTTCCAATGGTGGCTCTACCGCGAAACCGAGACCGGCAAGTATAATCAGTGCCGATGTCGCGAGGAAACGGCAGAGTCTCATGAGCGGTGGTACCGGCACAGCAACTGGTTCCCGATTGTCTATGAGGGTATGTGGAAGATATCCGCGGTTGTCTTTGACTGGTAGCTAATCTGGGACTCTTAGTCTCCTACCAAATCTCCCACCAAGCCTCCTCCGCCCTCTACCAGTTCAAGTATGTCGACACCTCGTACTGGCACGCCAGCCACCACTGCACGAACCTCCGACTCGAGTACAAAATCGAGACTTAGCATGGCTGGTCGGCCCAGTATTGGACCCCCGAGCGCCGGAAATAGAACAAGTGCCCATACAAGCCGGCCCTCAATAGGAGGTGGTGCAGTAAAACCTGTCACGTCCAAGTCCACGTCAATGCAGCCACGACAGTCCATGGCCGGCTCTAGGATTTCGATGACAGCCAAACCTCTGCCGCGAACTGAAAAGACTGACGGAGTGGCCAACAGTCTCGAAGCACAGCTGGCGCCTCCGGTTTCAGAGGAAGATGAGCCAACGACGCCTGTCCAGCCAGATGCAAACGAGGATGGAGTGCTCGAAGCATCAAGGCATGTAACAAGTCCTAAAGTGGCTGCTCCTCCACCTCCTGCACGCTCACAACCCGCAGGCCCCCAACGAAACGGGTTCAGTGCCCCTGCGGAGGACAGATCGCGGCAGGCACAGGTGCTTAAAACACTTGAGACGAAGGTGCGAACGTTGCAGAAGCAAAGGCAGGAAGACCAGGCGCAATTGCAGAATGTCCAAGATCTAGAGGACAAGGCGGCGCGATACGAAGGGATCATTCAAACACTGCAGAAAAAGCTCAAGTCGAATCAGCAAGATATCCAAGATCTCAAGGCCAAGTACGAGGATGCAGAGAATCGTGCTTCAAAAATGCCCGACCACAGCGCCGAGCACGAGTCAGAGCTCGAACTTGCGACCCTGGACAAAGAAATGGCCGAGGAGCGTGCTGACATGTTTGAAAGTGAGCTGGAGGCTTTGAAGCTCAAGCATGAAGAGCTGGAATTGGAGGCAGAGATTCTGCGAGAAGAGAACCGCGAGCTAGCATCGGTCATGAGTCCCGAGGAAAAAGCAAGCGCTGGCTGGCTGCAGATGGAGCGAGAGACCGAGAGATTGAGGCAAGCCTTGATCTTGCTGAGGGACGTTAGCCAGCAAAATGAGGGAGACTTGAAGAACGAGATCAAGGAGCTTCAGGAATCCATTGACGAACTTGAACAGACAGCCTCAAAATACGAGGAGACGGCAGCCAAACTCAACAGGTCCGAGGAGACGAACCAGCATCTCAGAGAACAGTTGGAGGCCGCAGAGGCGAATGATGAGATCCTCGAAACTATGAGTGCCGAACGGGACCAAAGCCGGAATATGATCGAAACATTGAGGCGGCAGGTTCAGGACTTGGAGGAGCATATTCAAGTGGCTGACGAGCTTGAGTCATTCCATGTCGAGGAAGAAAAGCGCCTTCACTATCAGCTGGACGAAAGCGAAGCGTTGCTGCATGACAAGCACCGGCAAATTGCTCAGCAAGAGAAAACAATTGAAGACCTGGAATACACACTGACAAAATTCCGGGATGTGGTACAGGGCCTGCAGACCGACATTGACGAGCTCCGGCGGTCCAGAGAAATCAGCGAACTGGAAGCAAATGAAATGAGCAGCAAGTCCAGAGCGATGATGGATCTTAACCTCAAGCTACAGAACTCTGCCGCGAAGACTCAGTTAAAGGCCATCGATCTCGAGCTTGGGAAGATGCGGGCTGAACAGGCCAGCTTGCACCTAGAAATTTTGCAGCCTTTCATTCCAGAGACGTTCGAACTCGACAAGAAACCCATTCTAGCGCTCCTATGTTTCAAGCGGATCAAGTCCAAGGCACAGCTGTGTAGGACTGTCCTGGCGGAACGCATGCGTGACCGGGCTGATCTCCACGAAAATCCCATGGCGTTGTTCGCAGTCATGGAGCAGACGAACTTCATTGCAACCCTGTGCGACCGATTTGTGAATTTCATGTCGACGTGCTCTACAGACGACTTTATGAAGTATGCTGGCGCGCCATTCGAGCTGGAACCAGTGGAACAGGCGTTGACGAGCTGGGTGGAAGCGCTGCGCCGGGATGAGCTGGCTCACGAGGGTCCGGAGTATCTGCATCGCATGGCCGATATTCTTGTCGACATGTCCGAGAAACTGCTCTCCGATTCCCACGAGAACAAAGCCATGGAGTTGGTTGCATCGATCTCGATGGTTGAGAGCTACAGCGACAACATTGCAAGCCAGACGCAGATTCTCAGCAAAGCCGTGCAAGCCAGGTTGAAGCCACCGAAAGATGACGACGAAGACTCCATGCTCTTCGAGAAGAAAATGGATCAGCTTGGTATCAAGGCTCGTACTATCAAATACGTGGCGGGCAAGGTGCTGCACGCACTCAGTGATCTCAGAGCGTGCTCCATGTGTCTAGGAGAGTCAAGCTGGGGCAGTTTTACTGAAGCTGAGTCATGTGCTGAAGCGCTGACCCAGTCGGTCCGCCAGGTGGGAGAGGCCGTGTTCAACGAGCTCAACAAGATTGAAGTCGATGAGCCGCCTTCGTATTCCAGCATCATCCGACTAATGACAAGCGCCGTCTCGATTGAGTCCAAGAGAGACGAAATGCAAGCGAGCCACGCTGGCGACGTGTTCGAGATCCTATCAAAGCGGCTGCAGGCTCTTCAGATCAAGACCGACGAGTTGAACACCAAATCTGCTGACCTCTCCGGCGCGACCGAGTTTGAGAGGCGAGCCGCGCCATGGATTGTTCGCGCTAAAGAGGTCAAAGCGCAAAAGGCAATGTCACAAGACCTCCAGGAAGAAATGGCACGGCTAAAGCTCAGAATCCAAGAACAGACTATCAGGATCAGCGAGAAGGACAAAGAACTCGAGGAACAGCAGGTCAAGGTGGAATTGCTGGAATCGAGAACAAAGGAGACGAAATTTAAGGAGGACGGCGTGAAAGAGATGAAGGATGAGATCACCAAGCTTCGAGCTGAAAACGCCATGGCCAGTGAGAATTTACAGCGCCTCGAAGCCGAGTACCAAGGGCTGCTTGAGTCTCGGGACAGCCAAAGATTGGAACTCGAAGCCGTCAAACAAAAGGGGGTATCAGAAGGACAAGGTTTGCCGCTTGGACCTGGCGACGAATCAGCTTCTCTCAGACTCAAGGCTGAAGCGGATCAACTCAGAGTCGAGATCCTCAGTTTACAAGCAGCTGTGCGCTTTCTCAAGACGGAAAATCGAGAACTCAAGGTACCGGTGGGCGATATTGCTCAGAGCGCTGTGAAGCATTCCTGGCTGGATCCCAGCCATCTCAAAGTCGCCCCGCCGGACGACAAGACCCAACAGCTGCGTACCGAGACCAAAGATGTCTTTGCGCATCTCATGCATATGGCCAAGACTGCCAGACCTATCAGGTTGGCCGCGGGATCGGTTTCCTGTCAAGATCAGAAGGCTCATGGGTCTGCATGGCGAGCGCAGACCGACACTACGATGTACAGGGTCCTCCAGCATGCCGAAGAGCTCGAGCGATGGGACGAGATGAAGGACGATCTGGTCAAGAGAGCAAGAATTGTGGCTCGCCCAATACCAGTTTCGAGGCGAGCAGCACCAATGCGCCAGCTTTGGACGGTACCAGGTGTAAAAGTAGCCGAAATTGAGGCTGAGGAATTGGAACTCGGGCCTGCTGTCGACGGAGTACGGATCGTCTGACTGAGGTCAACGGCTGTGACATATTTGAGATATTCTTCCTTGTGAATAAACACCTTTGATATCAGGCTTCGGAATCGTATCGTCGAAGAATGCCATTCGAAGTATTTAGACGCCTCGCTGAGTCGGTGATGCTCACGAGGCTTGATTTGTACTAGAGAGGCACGCAGAACGTCGTCTGAACCTCGCTGCCTAATTACGAACATCCTCGTGGAGAGTACTCCGTACAGTACTGGGAAACTCGTACGGTCTTAACCCCGGGCGGCGGTGAATATCACTGTACCCAGTACTCCGTACTGGTAGTAGAGTGGACGAGAGTCTCGGTGTCCTTGAGGCTGAGGCTGATGCTTACGGATCGTGGTTGTGATTGAGCGATATTTACTACCTAGTACTCCGTCCTCCGTACATGATTGCAACGAGCCGCAACACTACTGAGGACCGCTGCCTCGCCGGCCGCTCGGTATGATACGCCCCGTTTCAGGAGCCGCGATGCCCGTCGCTTGCTCTGCCGGGCCGACGTCATAATCTTCCGAGAAAGCGCCAGAGGGGATGCTCATCAGAGGAAAGCGAGGTGTCTGTATCTGGGCGTCGCAGCGGAGTGGCAATCCGACAATGGATATCTCCGCGCTCTCTTGGGCGCCGTAACACTTCTTGATGCGGCACAAGGAGAAGCACAAGCTTGAAGGTGATGATTGTCTTCTCGAATACCTTACGCCTCCGGGGGTCCAATGACGAGATATTTTATGCGGAGACGAGCGTGCCAAGAGTGGCTGTGTTGTTTAGTGCCTCTGTGCTGAGTGACGTGATAGGCTGTTTGCTGGACCCACAGTAGAAGCTCGCAGCAGTCGCTGGCTTGTCCCTCGCTAGTCGTCCTCGCAGCCATGCCTCATTCTTCCGCTCACCACACCCCGACGTATCGCAGGGACAATTCTGATCACGCACCTCGTCAACATTCGACTTCAACTCAGGACCCTATCCTTGAGCCCATTCTCTTCCCCCGCCCCCGACCACACATTCCCACGGCGGCAGTGCCTCTTTCCGCCAAGCGACTTGGCGGATACCCAGAGGAAAGCATCCAAGCTTGCTTCCGACCTGTCGAGAGAGGACAAGCCCGGTCGTGGGAGCTCAAATCTCTTTGTTTTCCGTGTCACTCTAGCAGCTCGCTTTTCCGCCAGGCGGTTTCCTTGGTCTTAGGTCGATTCCCTGTTCCCTTCGAATGGGTACGTGCATCTCGTGGTGGTATATTACACCCACTCCCTTCCGGCGCCAGTCCCTGGTACACACCAGTCTCTTTCTCCTCTTCCACAGACAACGAGTATAAGCTAACCTGGGATGTGACGCCCCCGACATGGCGGCGTTGCGGAAAACATCTTTAGCTGCGACCACTATTCGTCAGCAATTCACAAAGACTGCCTCTCAGACCAACATCAATAACATGCCTGCCGAAGACGGCGGTCCCAACGGCCGCGCAGATCCAAACGAGCGAACGGGCCTCCTCTCGAGGATAGCCACCACCGACTCGGGCACTCCCTATTACAAACACGAGAATGTCTTCATCAAATACCCTTTCCTGGTGCTACATGTGACATGGGAGATCCTGCGCACGAACTATGTCAACGTCCTGCTGGTGTTTGTGCCGGTGGGTATTCTGGCCGGCATCCTGAATTGGAAGCCTGCGCTCCAGTTCATTTTCAACTTTATCGCCATCATACCCCTGGCTGCGTTGCTCGCTTTTGCGACGGAAGAGTTGGCGGTGCCGCTGGGCCAGACAATTGGAGGACTACTGAATGCGACTTTCGGGAATGCCGTCGAATTGATCGTATGTACCCACGTGTGCGCATGGCACCAGGGAAACGACAGGCTAACACATGCGTAGGTGAGCATCATCGCTCTGCAGAAGAACGAAATCCGCATCGTCCAGGCCAGTATGCTGGGCAGCATCTTGTCCAACATCCTCCTCGTCCTGGGATGCTGTTTCTTCGCCGGCGGTCTCAAATACCGAGAACAGAGCTTCAACTCGACCGTCGCATCCACCATGTCCTCGCTCATGACGGTCGCCACTTCGTCGCTCATCATCCCAGCCACCCTGTACGCCGTCATGAGCAACAACAAGGCGCAAGAAGATAATATCATGATCTTGTCCCGAGGCACCTCGATCATTTTGCTGCTTATCTATGTCGCGTACCTGTACTTCCAGCTCAAGTCGCACGCCGATTTGTTCGACGAAACTGAAGCGCAAGAAGAGGAAGACTCGGAACCTCAGCTTCTGGGACCGTGGGCGGCGGGTATCGTCTTGGTCATCATCACCCTCCTAGTCGCGGCTTGCGCCGAGTACCTGGTCGGCAGCATCGACGAGATTGTCAAACAGGCCCACATCAGCAAGACGTTCATCGGTCTCATCTTGATCCCTATCGTCGGCAACGCCGCCGAGCATGTCACGGCTGTGATCGTCGCGTGGAAGAACAAGATGGATCTGGCCATCGGTGTGGCCATCGGGTCTTCTCTGCAAATCGCCATTTTCGTCACTCCCTTCCTGGTCGTCTTGGGCTGGATCATGAACCGGCCCATGACGCTACACTTTGAGACGTTTGAAACCGTGAGCTTTTTCCTCGCCAGTTTGGTCGTGGTGCTCCTGATCCAAGACGGAAAGTCCAACTATCTGGAGGGATTGCTCTGCTTGGGGATGTACGCCATCATTGCATTGGCGTTCTACGTTCTGCCGGATGATGCGGGCAGTGGCCTCAATTTGGGCAATGGCCTAAGCAGTCTGTTCGGCGGCGGGGCTTGACCGAAGCAGATCAGACTCGCGGAGGAAGGAAGAGCCAAGAGGGACTCTCAGCATCTTTTTCATTTGTACAACTTCTTCCAAATACTCGGACTCAAGTAACGGGGCTGCGAACCCCAAAGTCTCGGGAGGACTCACACCAGGAAACATCATGGACGGCAGATATTAAGCCAGCGGGCGTTGGAATGGGATGAAAAGAAGAACCTACGCCTTATATTTTCGGCTGTTTGGTGTATGTTTGATACCCTAGGTTTCAACATTCGATTTGCGCTTGGGGCCTCGTGGGTTTGGGCTGTTCTTGTGTATGTAACAATCCGTATGTGATAGGAAAATGACATGGACAAGATATCCTTCTTTGTCATGAAAAGGTCTATGGTTGCTGTCATGAAAGGTCTACTGTTACTGTCTTGAAAAGGGTCTGCGGTTGCTGTCATGAAAAGGGTCTACGGTTGCTGTCATGAAAAAGGCCTGCGTATGCCGTCCTTCCGACGACTTCATCCTGACCCGTAACACTGCCGTACACGCGTACTTAGCATCAAAAGATAAACATCGTTGAAAACAAAAGTGAGACAAGACCGATACAATGCCTAGATGACTAAGCTACGTCGGGTCAAAGCCAGGTCGGCGCTTTCAGTCTTTCCACGAAGTCGTCTCATGAAAACACGCCATGTGGCTCCCGGTGGCTCTACACAACCGATACCAGAATATTTACAGAAACCATTCTCAAAAAGCCCAGGACAAGGTGCGAACAGGTTAGCAACTTGTCTGATGAGCAAACTAGCATGTCGCCGCTGATACGGAGTACTTTGCATTAAGTTGGCGCCGAGTTTCATTTAACGACTTCATGGAAAGACCTGTAGTACAGATGGGCTGAGCCAGAGCGGCATCACCGTGTTTCCCGATCGAGCTGTGTACCGAACCTTGGCACGTCGAGCCGTGGTCAGCAGGTAGCTACCTTTGTACGGAGTATTGTCTCACTGTGTAGACTTAGAGACCTAACTCAAATCCTCTCCGAACAGGTGTACAGCTGATCCGCCCAGAGCCATGAACATGACCAATGGGTCGATTTGACAACACGTACGCATCATATGTGGGGATGATCAAAGCAACGCAGACACTGAGCGAGACTGAATAATACATGCTGTCCGGGCGTCCGCCCCATCGTATGTAGAACTCAAATCTGTACCACTGGCACCGGGGTATTGGTAATTAGCATTAGACCATAAGTCTACAGTACCCACCCACGGGCCTCACTGGACATTTTTAACCTCGTCTGCGAATCCTGCGACCTTGCGACCTGCGACCTGCAACCTGCGACGGCTATGCTTTGTATAATCGAGGCAATCTAGGCAATCTGCCCTTATTACGACGAAAGTGATGGCAGTGGTTTAGATTCTGTATATTCTATCATGGTCGAGAAGCTGAGACTACAGCAAGCTTAGAGTAAGAAGTAACGCTCAGTCCCTCCCACATGACTGCCAACCAAGGCCTTGCAGGTGCAACAGAAAGGGACCCCTCGAAGCAGATTCCTACGGTACCCCGTTGACTGTGCAGTTTCATTTTGGCATTTGACGGAGCGTGGCACATCAGAGATTCCAACCGCGTCGACTGTGCAGTTTCATTTTGGCATTTGGTATTTGGCATTTGGCATTTTGACTGATGCGTGATGCGCGATGCGCGATTGTGCCACGCTCGTCAAGTATACACAACATACTTTGAATTCGGTCTCATTTCTCTCGTTTCTCTCATGAACGGCTGGCTACAGCATTGTATGTGCTGGGTACTCGATCTCGACTCGGTCGTGACATATTTACTCGCATTGCGTTGAAGCTACGGAGTACTTACAGTAGGAAGTGGCTAATTACATATGTAGTTCCGCGGACGAGGCTTGGGCTACTACGAAAAGCATTTCTTGAAATATACTTACTTGTACCCACGCCGTGGCCGTTGGCATATTGTTGCCTACGGTGGCGAGTTATTGAACTCCTTGACAACTCAGATTAAATCGAGAAACCAGACCGATCAAAGAAAACAGTGGTGTTAATCATGGAACACGCCGGGATCTGCTCAAATCGAATTTAAGACAAACATCAAGGTTGCCATATCTCCGTTGAACCTCACAATCGATGGAACTTTTTCGACAGCCACTTTCCCATTTTCATCACCCGCGAAGGCGACACAACATTGGCAGCAGAATTTTCTATTGGAGGAAGGTGCTTGGCCATGTCACCTTTTGATGATTGCGACTCAGCTACAACAGAGTCTTTCGGTGGAATCGAGTCCTTCGGTGGGATCGGGTCTTTCGGCGGAATCGGATCTTTTGACGGGTTCGAGTCTTTCGGTGGAATCGAGTCCCTTTGTGGAATCGATTCTTTGGCCATATTGTCTGTCGTTGAAGACGACCCACTCTCCGTAGAAGTTCGCGGCGGGATCGGATCATTGATTTGGGGGCTCGCGGACGAAGACGGCCCAGCTGCAGCTTCTCCCAGTCCGGAGACATGCCTCAACTCGTGGGCAAAGGTAGAGTCCCGGGCTATCCAAGCTTCAAGCATGGCACGCTCGTAAGGATGAAACCAGTCCTCTTTGATCACCGTGTTAGGATCGCCACGCCGGCGCCACTGGTACGTTTCCTCGGTCTCATGCTCCAGATCGACCTTTGAGGTCGTGAAGTCGACCAGCGGCTTACTTTGCCTCGACCTCTTCCCGGGAATCTCTGGCAGACACCGGACCGTGAAGTGTATAAGTTCGTGCTCGGGATTTTGGCCCAGCTTGCGTACTCCAGGTCCAAACACGAGCTTGGCAGTTTTGTAGCGCTTCGTCATTGAGTCGTATGTCTCCAAATCCACAATCTCTGGAATGCCTTGATTCTCCTCGGTCATGTCGATTTTAAGGATTCTGCCAGCGCTCGCCACATCGCAGCAAGCTTTCTCATCAAATTGAATAAGCTTTTCGACTTTCGAGATCATCCAACAAAGGGTAATATTGGCTAGACCGGTGTTGGAGTTTCCGCCGCCAATGTCGCTGTGGGAGCCCCGAAACCAACACTGTGTGAGTTGAGTCGGAGCTTGGCATGTCAGGGTGAAGGGCAGGAAATGTACTCTCTCTTCGTCCAGAGCTAGTGCGTGGAAAGCGTCAACAACATTGGGAGGCAGTTGCTCCTCAAGAAAGGGCAATTTCCCTTTGGTTAGCGATTTGACCGTGTCCCAGGCAATATAGGCATGAATCTTAATTCCCCGCCGGATGAGACCTGCCTTGAGAAGATCTTGACAGGTTCGCTTAAGATCGACAGGTTCTCTGATCTCGGGAATATCTTCGTGGTGCCTTTGAAGACCAGGTTCATCATGCTGATAACCTTCGAATGGATCGGATCCATCTCCTGTGGCCCATGCTTTGAAAATCTTGGGAAGGCGGGTTACAGCCACGTCTTTGTGGAGGAGTCCGATATCGTTGATCAGCTTCGCCAGACACTGTATCGTGTAAGAGCCGCGAGAAAAGCCGACGAGAACGATCTGATCTCTGTTGCTTGTATAGGCCGAGCACAGGATCCGATAGGCTTCGCAGATTTTGAGATTGATCCCTAGTAGTGTTAGTATCCTGGCTCACCTTGTGAGCAATTGTGTAATCCCGAAAACGCACCTTCGCCAGTGATGCCGTCACGATAGCTCTCAACCCTCTTTCCAGTTCCAATACCGTCAATGTAGAATGGAATCTGCTCGAATCGCTGACCCCCGCGCTCATCGATCCTATCTAGACAATTCATAATCCTGGTGACGTTGGTGATGGGCTGTGTCAGCTCTTGATCGTTCCACGTGCCATCGCAACATAAAACCAGGCGGCGCCGGATCCGTGGAGACAGTAGTTTAAGTGAAAGTTCTGGGGCCCATGCCAACGAGGCTGGGGTCTGTCCGCTGTAGTCTGCCCGCTCAGGGTCGGCGTTGTACTTGAGAAGAAGATCGAGACCGCGCCAGGCGGCTTTTTTTTCGGCGTAAGAAGCCGCCCAGGATAACGGCGTTCGCCCGTCCACATCTGGAGCATCCACTTCTGCTCCTTTTTCTAGAAGAAGGCGGGCCGTCGCAAAATCTGCCGCCTTGATTGCTCGCAAGAGAGGTGTCCGACCTTGTTCGTCCTGGTGCTCTAGCACTTCCTTGGTCAGCTTCGGGCTATCAAGTAGCATTTTCAAAATCTTCTTGTCGTCTTTCAGCATAGCCCAAGAGAGAGCCGTGCGTTTCAACTCGTCTTCACTGCCAAGATCGAGGCCGTCGATCTTTAAAAGTCTTTCGACCGCCTCGGTGCGGTTATAAATCACTGCAAACAAGAGTGACGTTCTTATAACGCTCGTACTGCTCTCATACTTGACTGTGTGATTGACAAGGTCGGATAAAGTACCGTTGTACTCGGCGAGAAGCTTTTCCCAGACGTCTTGCTGGCCCTGGCGGATGGCGACGTGTAGCTTGGACGCAGCTTGAGCAAGCTCTTCTGTCGGCTCCATGTTGAAAGTGGACTCCTTGAAAAGAGCGTGAGGCGGGGTGTGTCTGGATCTGTAGTGGTTGGGTGAAGCAACAGCTATCGTAAAACAAGGCTATATTACAGACTGCCATTTGATTTTTGGGTCGAACCAGCAATATATGGCAGGAGCGTTACATCAGCAACCCCCGCTTTGAAAGCCGGAGAGAGTCCACAAGATTTTCTGTCGAACTCCGACCAGAGGTGATTCGGCTGGCTCCTGCGCCGGGCATGTTTCTTGCCTTGTTCGCATAACGGGATCGGTTGTTCAGCAAAGCTGCCTCTGTCGTGTGGGGGCGGAGTTCGGCCGTGACTCTTGAAGGTGTTGCTGAGTGCATGAGTCATCCGAGCTGTCGATGTGGTGCAGTGAGAAGGCTTCCAATCGCTTTAACGGCCTAGGTAAAGTGGCTGAGACAGCAAAGCTGGCTCGCCTGGCGTTGTGTGTGTTGAGGACAAGATTGGGGAAGCCTGGCTCGGGCCCTGTCGTTCATGCAGCGTGGTGTGTGTCACGTACGGTATGGTGTGAGTTGGGGCGGTCATGCGTTATGTTGTGTAACTGTGATGGAGCTATCTACTGGAAGATAAAGGCCGCAGTCACGTGCCTTGATTCATGGCGTCACAGCCATTACAGCGGCACTAGTGGGAATCGAAAAGCTTGGGCCTAATTAGAGTTGTGGGGAGTGCTCTTAGCGGGCACTCCGACCCCTCGCTAACCTCTTTGGCTAGGACTAACTAAATGTCTCCACGGTGTCTTTTTGCTTTGTTTCCAACTCAGCAGTCGTCAAAATTCTCGTCGTTGTTCTCATTCTTAGGTGCGTGGAGTATTATCCGGCTGACCGTAACAACCTCACGCGTATATAACCTCGCCGCCGACCTTTGTATAGACAATTGTGGTGCAACAAGTAACATTTAGCCTTACCGTTAGCCTTGGCAGCACGTTCTGTTAGGGCCAGTGGTAGGTGGTGTCCATCACGCTCAGAAAGGACGTCCCAGGCACCCATCTTCCTGGTTGATTACAGCACACAGATACTTGTATATCATAACTGTAATTGATACTGTTCGTTCAGTACGTTCAGGGTTATACCGAATTCCGTGTATGATCAGGGTAATCTAGGTGTGCTCGCCGACCAAGAGAGGGAATGAAGGCCATTGTGAGGATGAAAGCAAGCCACAGATAGGCCCAGATACATAATCAGGCACTCGGATGACATAATTCGAGTCCTGTGTTGGCTGGACGCCAAGGGTAACCTAGTTCTGGAGGATGACAATTAATTACAATATCAATGAGCGTCCATTTGTCATATTCATGGCCTCCTCCGTGTTCTCGTGCTGTTGCCATTGCATGGCACGCCGCACACCCGCCATCGTCGCGAAATTCTCCATGGATCGAGCAGGCACAGACAGCATGATGCCTTGAAATCATGCGCTCGTGCCGGTGAGCGGAGTTGTTGTCCAGTCTTTCTTGTGAGTGGTGGAATTGATGTTGAATTCCGCCATTGAAACGTCGGTTGTGTCCTTGGCTCGGTAAAAGACTCGCGGGAACTGATTGGCATCGGCACTCAGAGAAGCGGCGAGGTAGGTGCCGACTTCACCTTTCCACCGTTTCAGGTTCAGGTCCATGCCAGTACGGGTCCACGACGCGGGATCGGTGGCCTTGGCTTTGGCACCGTGCAGACAGGCTTCGTTTACCTGGTTCCATTGGATGTTCGTGGGGTCGGCGGGCTTGTCCTCTTGTCCGATGTAGTAGAGATGGATCTCGTCTTTGTTGTTCACTGACAAGTAGAGAGCGGCAATCTCTCCACCCTTGGAGATGTCGTCCTTTGAATCGACATTGATGGTGAACGGCTGAGGCTCCTTATCACTTTCCGTGAACCTATAGCCATGGATTTTGGTGTTCCCGCCCTGGTTGAAGAACACGTATATGTAGTCGCCAGCTGTAACGGAAGCTGAGGTTGTGTTCGCCATCTTTGCTTCGAAGGGTCAGCCGTGAGACTCAAGATTGCATCAAGCTTACTTTGTAGTTTTGACTTGTTTGACACGGTGATGGTTTGTAGCAACGTAGAGTGGTCGTCTGATTGCGTTGCTGAGATGGTGAAAACATCAGTCGGCTTCCTGAGCTGGCCTAATATATATACACAAACGACTTGCACACCAGGTGACTATTTCGATGGCTTTTCAGCTTCCACAACTCAACCTCAGCAAGCATCGAAATGAGGCCGCCTTCCTATCCCAGCTTTTGATTGAAGCAAGTGACAGAGAAGCCACCACGGTCTGGTCATTGAGCTGAAAAAGTGTAATTCAAGGATCAGTCAGCCATACCTTTCGTCTTTGCCGCTTCTGGTCGCGAAGCCGTCCAGCAACACGTGTAGTGTGGCACGGGCTGGCTCATGACATGCTGAACTAATCTTCCATTGACGATCTGTGTGGCGTCGAACAACTGTAGCTGGGCTGAACCTTATGAAGGATGGTTATACGAGTTTTGTTGCCTCTCTAACCTCAATGTAGAAGGACTGGGTATCGTAATTGGAGTGTGGAATAAATTTGAATCAATCTCCCCACACGTGTGTGCCAATCACACCACACGTAGCGTGCATCTCGATTGCTCGTCTGCGTTGCCCGTAATTAACCTGCTGTGTCAGACCTGGAGGAGATGGATGCTAGTAACCAGATCCAACACGGCCAGCGCGCCGAGGCGTAGGCGTCCGTCGATCGTCCAAAGCTCCATGGCTGTGCATCTTGGTAATTTGAATGTTGGCCAGATATCGATGATGAGACGGTCTGTCCTCGTACTGGCTCAGATCAGGACGTAGCCCGCAAAGTGTAAACAAGGGTCCAGGACAGAGCCATGTTTTTGCCCGCCTCAGCGAATTGAAAAGCACCGTGACCGTGGCCAATGATTCCGGCTCGCCAGAGTGTCCAAGTGGCTGGCTGATGCTGGAGAGCCTTTCGTAGGAAGTCACTCAGCTTCGCCGTCGGAGGCTGCCATGTGCTCGAGATGCCCCTTCTCAAGCTTCAGCCAGCCATGGCATGCGAAATGCGGGGAACGGTGTCTTCAAAGCACAGCTTCGCATGAGTACCTTGTAAAAAGTTTGAAGATGTCCGCTGATCAATTAGACATCCACATTCGCTTCGGTACAAGGCGCAATAGCTTTGCGAGTGACATCTCGACAGAGCACCGTTCAGCCGTTGGACAAGCTAAGTGCCAAGCAACCGATCGTGAGGTACCTAGTTACCGAGTACTCCGCATGCAAGGGCGCAATGGCCGCGGGTCATAGATACCCATCGTACTCCCCGCCCCTCTGATCGGGATGAGCTATAGTCCGCAAGCTTGAATGGTCAAGCTTCGATCAATGATCGCAAGGCGGGGCAGCTTAAATTCTTTTCAAATCGGGGCTAGCAAATCGAGGCTGTTGGCGTCTTGCTGTGGTAGCGGCATGAAGCTATGGGAATGTATGAGTCAAGATAAAAGAAGACGTTTTCGGTTCGCTCGATCACTGCGGAGGATGTATAAGGTGAATCGAATCTGTACGACGCAGTGCCGATCAGTCGGGTTCCAGATCTGCTTTCAGCTAAGCCACACGAAGGGAACTCGCTGGCCTGCCATTCAAATACGCAGTAGGTACTCCGTATTGGAATCTTCATTACAGATGTGTCTGGGTCAAGTTGGTCTTGTCTGCATGAAAGAGCTCGAGTCGATCAAAGTCTCGACATATTCTTCAGCTACGCCACATGACCAGTCCTGCTTTCGTCCAGTGGTGTATGCGTGATGGCGATCTCCATTACCAAGTGGCTGATATCGACCTACCCTCAGCTGCACCTCCTTGCGAGATCCGAATGACTCACCGCTTTTGGTGTTCGACATGGACCGACCTCAAGATGAAGAGAGGATCCACTGAGTCTCGATTTCTTTCAAATGCGCCTCAGAGTGACTCTCAGGTTCGCATCGCTCTGCCCACCCATTTTCCCAAGGTCGTCAGCCGTGAACCCTCAAGCTCGGCAAGATCCGGGTCTTTCGACCGCGAAATCGACCTAAGCAGCAAATCCTTGCGGCCGAGGACTATGACTGGCATCGTGGAAGGAGATAGTTCCAACTGACATGTGAAATGGTTGGGCAGAGACTGTGATCGCGAAAGGCGTAGCTTTGTGCTTGAACCAGAATTGATTTGCGCGTCAGGACCACCAGCAGTTGCCGGGTGTGAATACTGCTTGCCAGGTGAACCACAAAGGGATGGCGAGTGAAGTAGAACCAGACTGGTACGAGGTACCGTTGACCGATGTCAGGGGAAGGATCTGCAAGTGGCCAGAAAGGCGTAACAAGGTAGTCTGTTGTCAGCGTCGGCGTGAGTTCCAGTCTGCTCTCCAGGTTTGAAAGTTCTCGCGCGAGCCCCTGGGCGAGCACAGGGCGGCATCACCCTGTTTCCCAATCGGGTTACCTAAGCCTTGGCGCGTCGAGGTTGATCCGCAGTCACCCACCTCTCCCCTCCTTCTCACCTTCCACTCTCCCTTCGACTCACCATCGGCGCGACGGCCTGCCTCCGCGTCCTTGAAATTCTGGAGCTGGGGTCACGTAGGAGGCTAAGATCTGGTTTAGTTAATTGACCTAGAGTACTCTGCAGGGCGATCATTGATGCCGCCCTCACCCTGTGCTCAACTCCGTCTTGCGTGAGTCCCGTACCGAACCCGGTCGAAATAGCGACACCAACATACACGAAGACTTGTCGATGTTTCCTGCAGCAATGCACCCTAGACTACATAACTACTACTCTCAGGAATCCCGAACCCACAAGAAACCCAAGCTCACGATATAATCACCGTCATGCTGACCATAGAAGCCTCCCAGGCTCCAGGACTTGCCTTCTGACGGGGCCGGTCTCTTTACCCATTTTTCCACCCCGCCAGCCTTGAGGTCATCACCACTCAGCTCGAAGCCCGTCTTGAAATGCGAACCATTGTCGAATTCAAGATACACAAAGCTGAGGCAAAACTTGCCCGAAGCCAATTTCCGGAATTGATACTTGGCCTGAGTAACCCGGGATTTGGCAACCTCGAGTGTTTCTTTCGTCAGGCCATCAAGTTTGACACCGTCCGGGAACGTCCTCGGCCCGTCGTCCGTCCAGGTCAACACGACGGCCCGGATGCCCTGCAACGGCGCCGTGCCGTCCTTGCAGAAGTCCAGCTTCCCCGGCATGTGGCCCTGGCTGATCCAGTTGATCATGGAGAAAACATGGGCCGAGGCCTCCTTTGACTCATTGTAACAAGGACCCACGCGGTAGAAGCGGCCTTTCTTCTCGTAGAAGTCGAACTGTTTTGCAAGCGCCGAGCCAGGCACGGGAGAATCCTTGTCTTCGAAGAGTGGTGGTGGCGGCGTTTTGGGCTCGGTCTGATCAGGAGTGAGATTAGCCCATATAGTGCCCAAGCCAGTAATGCCTCCTTCGTTGGTGATGAAGCCGTAGAAGCCGCGGAAATTCCAGCCCTTTTGTCGCATGAAAATCGGGGTGACCACTGCTTGGTCGCTGGCCCGCTTGCCTGGTGCGACGTACATGGACGACGTATCACTCGCCATTGAGAAAAGATCCAGGAGCGTCCGGGACTTGTACTTGTGCGCTTCCAGGCGGACCATGTTGGCGTGGTCGGCATCGCTGAGATACATTCCGTGATACGTGTGCCCCGTCTGAAGGCCGTGAGTGATTTGTCTTCCGTTGGTATACCAAACCTTCAGGGTCACGATCTTCTCCTCGTCATAATGTACGCGCACGTAGTACGGTACGTCCGAGTCGTCGATGGCGTCAAGATCGTTGAAGAACACATCGTGGTCATCGCCCTCTTCTTTGGTCGTCACTCCGACCGGTTCAGACATCAGATATTTCCCAGCACGGTCGGAAAAATAGGCTGCAGATTTCGTAGCTTCAGGTCGAAGCTTTGCAAGGTTACCATAGTAGATCTTCGAATTGCTTGCTGCAGGCTTTCGGACCTGGACCAAGGTCAGCATTAACTCTCACCAGTGTAGCCGATATGGTACCCACGGGAATCAGCTGTTTGAATAAGGCTGGGCTCAAAAACGTCTGCTTCCGATCCGGATCTAAGGCGATCGCAGGATCTGAGGTGACAAGGTCGACCTGAATATGCTGTCAGGAGTAATCACAGGGTCAAAGTCACAAGCCACCCACCTCGTTCACAACTTTGACCATTTCGAGGCGACAGTCGTGCCTTGCGTTAATCAAGCCGATGATCGAGGCCGGGTACACCTTCAATGGAGGAGGATTGGTCTTGACGGTAGGTCCAACACCTCCATGCCGGCCAGCATCATCGGAATCGTGATCTTGACCCAGCTCTCCCAGTTTTGCTTTTGTTTCGTCATTCATATCGTTCGTGTCGATATTCTCCAGCGCGGATTCAAGACGCTGATTTTCGAGTCCAAGAGCCATAGCCAACATGCGCTTTTGGCCGATCTCGAAGTTCAATTGATTGACTCGAGCCATCCACTTCTTGAGATCGCTCTCTGCCGTCATTGTGCCATCCTTGATCAAACCTGTGAGAAAGTCCGCAGAGTCTTGGGGCAGTTTCGCTTCCTCCACCTTGCTCGAGCCTTCCTGGACCTCCCAAGCTAGGACTTGAAGATTCTTCCACACAGACTTATACTCTGTGTAGATCTCCAGCAAGTAGCCTGCGTAGATGCCGGCGTTTTCGTAGTCTGTGAGTTTCAGCTTAGCACTGGTATAGTATTGTGGACGTGAAGGTATATCATGTGATGATGTATCACGTTCAGTGCTTACCCAGTGGTGAGAAGTGTACCGAAGCGGTTATAAAGCTCTTGAGGGCGGAGTACTTTGTAAGGAGGGCACTGGAAGTAGTCTTCAGAGAGGTAGGAGCTTTGCGCATAACCAGGAAACTTACTACTTTCGTTGAGGCGTCATTGCCACCAGGTCAGGGAAATTCGCCGCAGCAATGGTCAAAGAAGTCACATCCCAGATGACGTCCGTCTCCTTGATCTGGCCACCGCCGCTCCAATTCACACCTGAAGCTGTGAGCATGGTGTCGCAGCATATTCTGTCTGGCACTTACTGATAGTGGTCTCGGCCATTTTGTCAAGAGACGATTTGTCGATCTGGCCCTGGCCTTCCACGGAGCCTGAGAGAGCAGCAGTCCCAAGCGATGCCTGGAGCGAGGCTGCAACTTGAGTAGCACTCGACTTGTCTCGGAGCTTCACCGAAACGACGGCGTTGAACTCGCCACCCTCTTCCCATCCAGAGATGAAAGCATCCTGTTGGCCCTTCAGCGGCGTTCGAAGCCTGGCATGGAATTTGTTTTACTCACTCCGTAGACTTCGGTAAAGCGTCCGGGGGGCAGACCCGGGATGGGCTCAAATTTGTTGTACTCATACGGCATATGCTCCTGGTTCGTGACGGAGACTTGAATGAAGAAGTTCAGCTCGCTCTCGGTGAACTTGTCCGAATCGATGAATTTGCCAGTGGCGGTGCCGCCGATGACACCTGTCTTGATAGAGAGCGCGGCAGACACATTCATGGCATCTTCGGTTCAGTCAGCAGCTGGAAGTCGTTGTCGGGGCCAAAGAACATTTTATGTACTTGTGACATCGCTGAGCTTGTCTACGAAACGAGATGAGTACTGTACGATTTGGCTGACTCCTGCCGAACCGCGTTGGGTGATCGAGTCGTCCTCCCGTAGCTCGTCTGCCTTGGAGACTGCATCGTTCATGCAAAGCTGTTGAGTGAACGTATTGAAGCCCTGGCCTAAGCGCATGGCGTTGTGGTAGGGAGCGCGCAACATGTTGGCGAGGTCTCGACTCCTTCACCCGGTGAACGAGAGAGTGAAGACTCGCCCGTACGCAACAGTGTCGGCAAGACGAGCTCCCGATTTATCTCGAGCGAATATGAGGAGACAACCAGCGACAGAGGCCATGCTTTCAAGCGAGTTGCACGCTCGGGGCCAGACCTTGGGCTGCAGCCAGCCACATTTCTGCAAGCAGAGGGTCCGACAGGCAAATGAGAAACATATAGAGCACGCGGCGGGCTGACCACAGGTGCATCGCGTCTACCAAGAACATCACAGCGTACGATTCAGCTCAGTCGACAGGATGACTGTGGCAGACTTGGACCCTCACAAGACCGATGCGCCGATTCCGTCTCTGGCATCACTGGCAGCAATGGAAGCTCCTCTGTTCCTCCCATGGTCTACCGAGCTGGCCAGGATAGGCACGGGCTTCGACTCTCGGCTCATCGACAATGCAGCGAAGAAGGCGTGGGTGCCGAAATGTGCCTTTCAAAACCTGGAAGAGGCTGTGGCGCTCTGCGAGACGGCGGGCTGCACGACGAGCTTTCGCGAAGGCTCCACCGACTCGACCAGCTCCTCGTCCGAGCATATGAGCATGTCGCTTGGAGTGACGGTGGGCAACAAACTTCTGAGCGCCAATGTCACGGGCTCGTATGACTCCAGGATCGAACTCAATCAAAACGTACGTGCGCAGGTGAACCCGCTCGCTATGTACATATGCCCCGCTAATCCTTGGCCATGGCCAGGCGTATCGAGTCTCGAAACATTGCTCTTATCGCGCCGGCCGGGTGATTTTGACGCCGACGCCACGGCTGACAGACCAAGCCCGCTGTCTGCTCGAAAAGGACCCTGGGCGATTCCGAGATGAGTATGGTGATTATTACATCGCCGGCCTGCAATTGGGCGCCGATGCTGGCTGCTCTTTGAGCGTCGCCGCCTCATCAGAGAGCCGGACGGAGACGACGAAGCTGTCGGTGACGGTACACGTGCTGTTCTGGGACGCCACGGCAGAGACAGAGGACACCCAGTCCAGCCAGACTTCTGCCTTTGCATTGAACTTTATGGCCTACGACACCCTCACTCACAGCTTTGTCGAGCAGCATTGTGCTGAAGGCGCCCAAACCGGAAGCATCAAGGAGCTCGCCAAACGCTACATGCAAGCCGTGTTGCATCTCCAAGCGAGTGTTGACCGGAAGCTGGTGGAATGGCGTGTCTCGCCATCTGCACAGCTGTCCATTGGGCAGTGTCAGGCTCTCTGCGGAACTGGTGTCGTGTCGCATCTTGTTCTCGAGCCCTACTCACATCTGCTTGAGGTACGAAGACTTCAAGCGACAGTCCACAATTGGAAGAATACGAGAAATTCTATGCTAAGCGAGCTGTAGCTGAGCTGTGCAGAGCAAACATGCGCAGCTTGAAGTCGGTTGTGGCTGGCTGATCAGGTCTCCCCAGGTATCTAGACCGCAGACCCTGCGACGCCGAGAATCTAGAAGTGTCTTTCAACACCTGAGGTCACAGGCCTCGACTATGCAGCCAAGTTTCGTATCCCCAACGCTGTCCGCGTCAAGCATGAATAGCAAGCAAGGAGCCATCCAGCCAATGCTTTGGTCCTATTTGTAGCACGCTGCTCCGGTTACACGCTATCCACATCATGAAGTGATCGGCCCGCTGGTGGCAGAAGCATCAGACTACTACCCATTCCTCCCAGCTTCGACACCTTGAGTTTGCTTTCATGGCGGACAGGACACCACAGGCAGGAGAATACGTGACATTCCCCATCGATCAGGACAATGAAGTCGACCTAGAATGGTGGCAAAAGGACGGCAATTCAAAAATCGCAACATTCAAACAAGCAAAATACTATGTCGACAAGTGCTATTTTGGCCCGGCCGCCAATGCAGAGGGCAAGAGGAAAAGTGCACAGTCTGGTGTTAAAGTCAGAGGTGAGCGGAAATGGATGACGGGAAATCCCTGCGGCAATCTGAGCAGGCACAGGTGAAACCATTGTCTTCGTGGCGAAAGAGTTAATCGATGAGCGGACGTCGGGAGGCCCTCATCTGAAGAAATACCACCTTCGAGATCGAATGAAAAATGAGTACGAAGGTAAAGTAAAAGCCATGCCCTTGAGGTGCCAGCTGACGGGAGAAAAGATGCTCCTGAACGATGGGTGTTCCTCCCATTGAATTCTTTCTTCCATTATGGCCAGGATGCAGAAACGAACACGAAACTTCGCTGGCTGGTGTATCATCCAGGCCTGGGGGCTCGAAACATGTTCCAAGTAAGAACCCATCATCCTTCAATCGTACTGAAACGAACAGCAACTCTGACTGCACTCGCTGTCAGCACCGCTTCGGCCAGAACACCATCGCCAAGATTGCAGACGCCGGAGTGGAATGGTCGGCAAGCATACCAGAAAATTGGGGTGGCAGCATTGTTCCAAAAGTGCTCGGAGTGCTGTTGAAAGCCCTCAGTGCCAATGTCGGCCACAGACTGCACCAGTTTTCTGGAAATGAGGTCAATGATACCAACTCCATTTCCGAGGTTGCGGAGAAGCTTCAGATCATCGACGTCAAAGCGTTGACTGAATGGACCGCGAAAAAGAGTACCGAAGGCGGCGGTGGCGGCTCACCCGTCGACGCCGACATTCTGACCAGGTACTCGTCGAGAAGAGAAGAGGAGGAGAAGCAAACGGAGCAGCAACGGGGAATCAATAACCTGCATCGAAGGAACGTCAAACCCGTACCGAAGGGCCATGCCATTGAAACGGCGCAAGCGAACACGACGGATCCGGCAACGGTGGCGGTGAGCGGAGGAAGTGAAAGGACACTGGTCAAGGGAGATCACCAGCTTCTGACGAAGAATGAACAGCTGCCGAAAACGAAAGTCAACCAGGTGGTGCCTCATGGTCAACGCTAACGGCTGCGTTGCTAGACTTTGCTGCTGCGGTTGTCATGAACAGCGGTAAGCCAGTGAGCGTGTTGGAATCTCATGATACACTTGACTGAGTCGAATAATCGCATGCTGCTCTGCCTTTATCGCTTCTCTTTCACTTTCACTGCATCTCCATTTTTCCATCCTATGGTTCATCGTGGGAGCTTCGTAAGAACTGCGAGCTGAGTGGGCAAGGACGTCGAGAGACTAGAAGAACCAGGACGAACCAAAGCGAGAGATGGGACCGAGGAAGTCTTGTTTCCATATAACGTGGTCTCCTTGAGCCGTTGCGGCGAAGAGGAATGATGGCAGTATCGTCTGTCTTTGGTGCCGCACAACTTCGGGCCACCTTCCCCACATCGTCTTGGCTCACAAGATCCGGCCTGAGCACAGGGCGGCAGCACCCTACGCCCGATCGGGGTACGAACCTTGGCTCAGTTCGAGCTTGTCTCCGAACCAAATCGCATTGACTTCATGATCACAATTCTGCTGCACACCAAGACAACCCCTCCTGCTACCATGGCGCCTCGTGTATCTTTCCTCACAGCCCGATCAGTGGTGTTCAGACCGAAACCTGTAATCCCGCAGAAAAGAATCGCTCCCGGGCCTGCTTTTCGCCAACAGCAGCGTGCAGCAAGCGATGATGCGACCTCAAAACAAGATTCCAACGAATTCCGGGGAGCCAACGAAAGTCAGTTACCGCATGTGACGCAAGAAGCGGCTGCCATCGACGAGATCACTGGAAACACACCGCCTGACATCGAACAAGGAACACCCGTGCAGGAGGTGAGTTTACACCAAATTTCCACCATATTGCATTGGATTTCGTTGCGTTTGCTGATCCCGTCACAGATCCTACAACGGGACAAGGACGCGCAAGAAAAGGCGCCCGAAGTCCTGAAACAGGATATCAAGAACAAGTCACCAAACGGCACAAATAAACCCTCCGGATCCCGTTCCTTCTCAACCTCCGCCAGAAGAAACAGTCTCGAACTGCAACCAAGATCAGGGTCAGATGGCCCCCCACCGGATACGGCTCAATTTCAGGGCACAAGAATCGTGGGCTTGGAATATCCTGACGCCGGGCTCGGTCATAAGTTTCCCATCCCGGACCTCAAGCCGCTGGGCAAAGGGGTCAATTTCAAGAAGCGATACGACCCAGTGGTTGAGCAGGTGACACGCAGTCTCATGAAAGACGGCAAACTGAGCCGTGCGCAGAAGGTATGAAGGGAATTTGCATGCCTTCCCACCCGGGGTCGCAAGACTGATATGCTGGGGTACCAGAACATGGAACACATCCTCGACGCTCTGCGCACCTCACCAGCACCGCCTTCAAACTCCGAATTGATCACCCCTTTGCCGATACAATCTCTTCCACTCAATCCAGTCGCTTACCTCACCGCCATCATCGACTCGGTCGCTCCGCTCATCAAGATCCGCCAACAGCGCGGGCTGCTAGGTGGTGGTGCGTCGATGCCTATCCCCGTCCCTTTACGTCTGCGCCAACGCAGGAGGACCGCTATTCAATGGATCCTGGCTTCGGCGGAGGGAAGACGCGAAGACAAGTTTGCGGACAGGGTGGCCAAGGAGCTGTTGAGCGTGGCCGAAGGGAGAAGTTCTTCGTGGGAAAAGCGTGCCAGGGTGCACAAGCTGGCTATCAGCGCAAGAGCAAACATCAAGGCTGCGTCCATGGGCAGAAGAGTCCGGAGTAAGAGTATCCGAGGGAAGTAATTTAATCGGCTGTCAAGGCGAGGAGGATGAAACCACGACGATGATACAAGGGATCCATTGGTGCGGCGTCCTTCATCTGCCATGGCTCGAGATGACTATGTGTAAAATATATCATTGGGTAGTGCCGAGATCAAAAGTTACGGCAGTCAGTCGACGGCTTTGCCATCATCGAAGCCCAACGTTTCTCAAGTGTCCTTGTTATCGCTTTAAGAGAACGAAATGTCCTGTAGCCTCCCCAGGCGGGAAGCGCCATTCTATTCGTATTGCTCGTTTCGATCTTAAGCGCCACACATGTGAAAGGTCAAAGGTCAAAAGGCTTCTTCACCCGGAATCACCTCTCCAACCCAACAGTGGCGTTCTGCCTTGCAGAGACACAGTACGGCCCCCTGCGGCCCACCTTGATGACGTTCCGCAGGTAACTTGGATCCATGCCGATCCCAGGCCCCAGACGCAGCCTCTTGCGACGCCGCCACCAACTCCAGAGTACCCAGTATGCGAATACTGTATCTCATAAAACGCCGGCTGAACGCGCGCCGTTTGTGGTCGCGGCCCAGGGCACGGAGTAGTATTGCGCCGGAAGTACTGGTGTGGCAACTCAACGATTGTTGGTCCTAGCACCTCCTGAGCCATTGCCGACTACCTACCTAAGTATTACCTCCGGCCGAAGATGGCGTACGAGGTATTGGGCCGGGAGCGCGAATGGGCCAACATGAACAGCCGGGGTCGCGAGGGTCAAAGACGGGGAGTACGCCATTGGTGGGACTAGACTTGTAAGCCGTCGACATGACGGCGGCGGGCGTCGAGGTCGACGTCTCCAATCACGCGTGGGACGTCGTCACGAGTCATGCCGTCTCTGCACAAGGGCTATGTTTTGAAAAAGAATCAAAGCACCGAACTGGGTGGGACGGTTGGAGCTCGATGCACATGTTTGAACGTCAACCACAGAGACTCGGGCTACAGAGACGTTGTATTCGCAGCTCGGCTCGTTGAAGGACACGGCAAAAGGCCTCGCAATCGGGCAAGAACCGGCTGCAGGCTCGGTGGTAGGTGGCGAGTCGGACACTCCATAGATCATTAGAACTTCGTTGTAATTCTGTAGGCTCGATACGACTGGGGGATCCATGACCCCAGCCAGCTTGCACGCTAATGGAAAAAATAAACCCTCATCAGTACCCAGTACTCCGTATACCATCTGCAAAATGAAGCAAGGTGCGTTTGCTGGTATCCGGACCAAACATCACCCCCAGAATTATCTAGTGCTACACCCCCCGCTTGTTGTCCCTCTGCTTCAGCTCAAAGTCCTGATCCTTACTGTGTTCGTCCAAGACATCCTTCGCCTTGATCATCGACCGGATGCCCAGGACCCCGACCCAGAAATTACCCTGGGGGACGTCCGGCGCAATCTGATACAGCAGGTCGCTCTCCCACGTGATGTTGTTGTACACGTTCATGATGCACACCACGATGTTCATGATCCACACCACCAGGAAGATGATCCAGTATGCCTGGCTCGAGGCTTTGTCGCGGAAGCGGTACGCGACCGCCCAGGTGACCATGCCGATCAGGGCTGTGGGCTAAGCAGAGTCAGTACATTGCACGAGATACGTTATAGCACCGCATGAGGCGGGAATGGGCACCACACGGTATGCCGTGGATTGCGAAGCCGAACTCACAGCGCAGAGTCTCTGGAATCGACATGCCAGGTTGAGATAGGCCATTCGATCGGCGATGGTTTCGCGTCGCGCCGTGGCCATCAGCCAGCATGTCTGGAGGAATGCCGCCCTATCAAACGTCGTTAATCATATGGACTGTGGAATGCGGAATGCTGGAAGTGGTCATCGTGGACCGCTAGAATCCACGTTGCCGTGCGGAGGATTTATCGCCTACATACCAATGGGTGACGAGAAAGGGCGTTATGGTCCCGATGAAATAGTGGCTCTCAGCCCCGTACAGGGAGCCCAGGCACGCAGCGCAGATCTCCATGATCCAGGAAGTGATGGCGAAGAAGTAGAAGATCACGTATTCTTGATGCCGACGTAGCGGGCCGCCCGTTCGGAAGGGCAGAGCGGAGGGTTCGTCCTCGCAGGGGTTTTGAATCGGTTTCGCCATAGCGAAGGCGGGCTGATATGTTTCGCAGAGTCAAGTGTCGTGTTCAATGCACCGCCTGGAGTGTAGGATGCCGTGGTGCGGCGACGACGTCGATGGAGTGAGGTGAGGTGGACGCGTGAGTTCCGAGAAACCAAACCGGATGTTGAATGTTTGAGGTCAGCGGCTGCCCAGACGAAGCCCGTCATCGGCTGAGTAAGCTGCTGGGATGGCCAATCAGGGCGATCATGGCATTAGCGGTCTAGCGGTCGGCACTACGACGGAAACAGTTAGAGCCTCGGTGAAGTTGCCTTGAGAATCAGGCTTCACAACGCCTGAAGAAGTTCCGCAGGTCTCCTTCCAAGCAATACAAGTACAGATTCCTGCGGCGAGCCTTTGATGATTTTGCTCAATGACCCCGCCTGATAGGAGCAAACACACCGAAAATCGCTGTTATCGACCATCATGACGTCTGTCCCGCCTTCGCAGAAGCCCCTGCTCGGGGCTGCGCCCGTAGCATGCTCGGCGTGTCGGCGCTTGAAGGTGAAAGATGAGGCGGCAAATCGACCTTCCAGGCTCTAACGACGGTACTAGATGAGGTGTGTCAATGCCGAGAACCCACCATGCGCGAGGTGCTTGAGGACCGGGAGAAGATGCGTTGTGGTGCCGTCGAGAAGGGGCCAACAACAGTCGGCAGCTTCATCGAGGAAGGGAGAGCCGCCGGCATCATCATCGTTGTCGAATGAGCCGTTGCATACACCGGACTCACAGCCTAATCCGTCCGCCGCACCCTCTAACTCGGCACGACGGCCAGCTTGGAACCTTCCGATGCTGCCTCAGGCCCAAGCTCGAGCTCTCCAAAGCCCTTCGAGAACGGAGGCGCATTCTTCTCCCGCTAACACCTCACACCCTAAACATAGCACTTCGCCGGGCTTGCCGTCGTTGTACTCCTCGTCTCCTCTGGATGTGTTAGGCTCCGTCGCGACACAGCCATCTTCAGCTGAAGCTTGGCCTCAGCAACAACTCACCTCGAGAGACACTTCGCTCGGAGGGTCCTGGGTCAACAATGTAGCAGAGGATGTTCTTGTTGAGTATATTGAGTTGTAAGTCGCGTACGCTGGATTGTCTACGTCACACGCTAACCCGGGGGCGTTCAATGCAGCTTCCGAGCCAAAATCCTGTACTGCGTACCTGTGATTGACGACGCGGACCTGGAGAACCCGCTCTACGTGATTAGACGCAGGAGACCACTTGCGTATTGCACAAGTTTTGTAGCGTCGCAATTCATCCCCGGAAGTGCCAATGTGCGACAGCAACTCCTTTCGCATGTATCGGACTTCGTCGAATCCACCAACGGCCCTTTGACGGAGGACGAAAATGTTCTCTGGACACAGTTACAGGCTCTGGCGGTTCTATACGCGTACCGCCCTGCTGCAGACGTATTCGAGCTTCCAGGTGCTACTCCAACACCTGGCCCTCTAAATCATTGGGTCCTCAAGCACTCTATCGAAGCGTTTGCTTTGCGGGCGCGCCTACACCGTTCTATCGATGGCCTGAGAAGCCTTCTCCTGCGCTCATCTAACTCGCCACAGGTATCCGAATCGCCAGCCTTTCACAAGTACGTCTACTGGCTCTGGCTAGCGACCATGTCTCATCACTTCTCGGTGATGACGCGGACCCCCCCAACCATCCGGGAAGACAGCAGCATCAGCTCCGCGGTGGATCTGCTGAGAGACGTGCCGAGGCCATCACGGGTCACCCGCATCCTCTCCGAGATTGATCTGTATATACTCTGGCAACATGCGGGCCGCAGCGTCCCTGGTCTGGCGGAGTGGTGGTGTACGCCGTCAGACACGATGAGCGTGGAGGATGTCCAGGCGGTTCTTGAAGACATGGAGGGCGCCCTTGAAGTCTGGAGTCAGAGGTGGGGGCTGCGCGGGGAGCCCAAGACGACGGTTGCGAACGTCGACATGGCCAGAAATGGCGCCGTCAGCTTTCACTTCCTATCCACGAGGTTCTGCATCAGCACCTTCGAGACGCGATATCTGCTGGAGAAGACACGGTCTGTGCTCGATGAAGATGCGACGTCTCAGCCTGGCTTGGTCCAGGTGGCACGAGAGTCCGTCTTGAAGTCTGTCAAAGCTGCTCATGCTTGCTCGCGCTGCCTAGTGGACTTACCGCCCCTGCGGCGCGAATTCGCCCGATACATGGCTGAATTTGGTTACGCTTACATGGCGTTTTGCTGCCTCTACATAATCCAGGCCTATGAACTCTTCGGGTCCGCTCTGCCGGCTTTGGAGAGTTATCTGGCTTCTGTGGAGGAGGTCGCGACGTTCCTGACAGAGCTTGCAGTCGCCAGTAATACAACCCCTCGACTCTACGGGGATTTGACCATGCGGCAGTTGAGAAGAGCGACTGGCCGCATGGAAGGTGCTCGTGTGGACCGTCAACCTTGGACAGGACAGGATGTGGAGAACTTGGATGGTCAACAAGTTGTCCCAGCGAGCTTGCGTGCCTCGCCCGTGGGTGGCGAGCACCTCCTTTCTACGAGTGCACCGTCTGGAGATCCCGGTGTGCTGTCGCATCTGAACCCGCCTCGTGGCACGAGTCCGCTGCTCTTTTCCATATTCGATCCCAGTTGGGGACCCCTTTTGAGATAGGGATAGACGAGGAGGTCGGTACGACTCTCCATGTCATCCAACCTACGAAGAGACTGCCGTTGCGCACCGTTGTAGGAACTTAAGCCGCAAGCTTGTTCTTTTGCGTCTTTAATTATCTCTGCTGTTCAAGGACTACGGGAGCCCTGCGTGCACTGCGGGCCTTGATGCCCACAGTATCTGTACCCTAGAGGATGATGGATGGCAGTAAAAGATCGACGTCTGCTTTGACCCCTAAACCAAATGCCACCTGAAGCTACGAACGAAGAGGGATGTGAGGGTCAGGCAGTGGTGTGCTCAAGCAAGGGCAGACTGGCGTGAGGCCGCCGAGCAACACCTTCGAGCCGGGGAGTCGAGATCGCCGCCCCCCGAAGTTCATTCATTGCGTACGTGGATACGTCTTTAGGAGAGTTGCCTGGTTACGAGTAGTCTACAACGGATGTGGCTCATCGTACAGCTACCGTGATGCTTCTGTGTGACCCGTCTAAGCTACCCAGTAGGCTTTTCTTAAAGACCACCCCTGTCCACTTTCCCGGTAGGGGCAGGGCTCCCCTCTGGCCGGGGTCGTACGGGGTACCAAAGGGGGGACTAGCGGCCGTCACCTCGCTGGAACGTCCCCCGTTGTACTCCGTACAGCCTGTTTCCAGCCGGAATCCCGTCACTCTGGTCTGTACGCCAGGCGACGCTGTTTCTCGCGAATGAAATCAGCTTGCAGTAGGAGCTGCCAGATGAGGGTACAGATGGCCGTAGCCTGCACCGTTTCCCGCGACATGTTTCCTCCTAATCGATCGAGGTGCATTGTCTGCCGTGCTTCCCCCCTTTGCTTCTGCACTTGGACTTCTGCACCTTGGACGCAGGCAGGATGTTGGACTCCTTGGTCGCTGCTTGCGTCTCTGGCCTTGCCGTATGAAGGTTCGGAAAGCAAGGGTGGGAAATTCTCATCTGATCGACGCAGCCGATCGGACAGGCGATGCAGGCCGAATTCGACGATCGATCGTTCCTGTTTCTTGCCAACCCCGGGCGATGATCCCGAGGACTTGAGGTTTCCCCTCGAGCTCTACTCGTAACGCTCTCAACAGTATGCGAACATCAGCAGCCACGTGTCTACTGTCTCGTGCTTTCTTGATTTTCCCTCCTTCTCGTCGAAGAGCTGCCCAGACGGGCAACGGAAAGTCCGACGGGTGACAGCGGTCGACGAGGGCCGGAGTCAAACAGTGTGCATTTTGACAGCCGTCTACTTTCTCGGTCGACGTGCGAGGCCCGCAGCCATGCAGTGGCGTCGGCTAGGGGCCTGCCGCGGCAGTCTTGGAAGGGCGTCCCGCGCCTTCGCAACTCGCCTGGAAGCTCCTCAAGGTTTCCCCCATTAGATGTGACGAGTCTCAGTCCGCACGGCCATTGGCCAAACTCAGCTGGAACGACACGTACATACATGAGATCAGCTCCCACAGCCCAGTACCTTCACCAGCTCCTGGGCTTAGACCTGCCTTGACTTTTGAGGGCTTCTTCGGATGGCTGGACGGCACGAAAAGGGTCGTGATCCCGAAGTGACAGGTCTCGCTCTCCACCCACCACAGCCGTGATGGCAGCGGGGAAGTGTATGGCGTTATGGCCCTTGGTCGATCCCGTGCAACCTGGCTATCAGAGAGCCGCACTATTGGAGAGTGTCATCTGCAGTGCCTTGCTAACCTCGACTGACAAGTTGAGCTGATGGCCTCAGGCAACGGAAGCCTCGCCACGCATCCGACGTGGCAAGCAGCGTCAGTCGAACCCATGAATGCATTACCAAACCGGATGGCGACAAAGTTGTGTCCAGGTTTTATATATCGGGTGTTTGACACCCTTCGAAGTTTGAGCATGGTTTTACCCTCTTCTTAGGTCACCTTCGAACGGCCGCTTGCAGGTTTGCAAACATGTTGGAGTCCAAGGATGCAGTTCTCGTGGCTACGAGCATAGTCCTTGCCGTATCGACCATCGTGTCAGTTTCGGTCGAGCTGGAGAGGCAAGCAACCACTGTCGGCCGCCTGAGCGCGAGCAAGTGTGAGTTCTCTGCCGGGAATGTGGGATATCTGCCCAACGCTGACTGAATGTCATAGGGCTCTTGGTCGCTGCCGCAGTACGTCGCGTCCCTCATTGCTCATTCCGCCTTGCTCATCTCTTGCAGTTCTTTGCTCTGGTCATGACGCCGATCGTTTGCACAGGTGAGAGAAAGACCCCGAGTATTGGCCACGCCCATTACTGATGCATCTACCAGCTGCGGCCAAAGGTCTCGGAGCATCCATATCTGCTGCTGAGTTTTCCCGCAGGCAGAATCTGCAGAAGGTCGGTCCCCCTATCCGCTGGCCCCATAGGTGGCTCCTGTCACAGCGACTGACACGAAAATAGCTCATCATCGCAGCCCTCCCTCCATACTTTCTGTGTAACATGTTCGTCAAACATGCCTGGTTGACATTCTATTACGGCCTGTCACAGACTCGCGCACAGAGATGGTTCATCCACATGATGCAGTTCATCGCTGCGGCGTTTGGCATCAGCTCCATCTTTGTCGTCCTGTTGCAGTGTGTGCCTCTGAGCGGCGTATGGCGTCGAAACCTGGAGCCTCGAGAAGAGTACGCAGATGCCAAGTGCATCAACTTGATGGCATTCTTCTACTTTAACTCGATCTTTATGATCGTCAACGATATCATCATGTACCTGATACCCATGGTGCTGCTGTGGTGGAAGGTCGAGATGATCCGCGACCATCGATGGAGTTTGTATGCGTTGTTCGGGATCTGCTTCCTGTGAGTGGTGTCGTTTTCCCCGGAAAGGCGGACTCTGGGCTGACCGACTCCTCCCTCATCTAGGGTTATCGTGGCGAGTGTTCTCAGATTTGTCGCCGTCTACGAGGTCGACCATACACCTAACCTCTCGGGTGCGTGTTCTCCTGTCTGAGCTTCTCGCTTGCCATCCCAGTGCTGACCAAGCTTTCACACCCAGAAAACTATGCTCTCGTCTTCCTTTGGGCCAGTGTGGAAAACCACGTCGGCATCTGTACCGCCTGTGCCGGAGCTCTCAAGACCAAATGGTGCACCACATACAAGAAAGTCAGAGCCCTCTCGATGGATCTCAAGAACAAGTCATGGCTTGCCTCAATCTCGACAACCACCTCGTCGTCCGTTGCACACACCTCCCAGAGCACCGAAGAGCGCAGACTGTACGACCGAGCCAGCAGCAACGCGTCATCCCTCGACGATGTGCCGGCGGATCAAGGCAAAGGCCCATACATGCGGATGGAACTGGTCGAGATGCACCCTGGCAGACGGATCTCTTTGCTCGACAAGCATTACGCCAGGGCCCCTCCCATGCCGCCCCTGTCCCCGAGTGGGCTTTGAAGAAGTATATCCTCAAGGGTGCGGATTGGAGATATCTGGGCGCAGAGTGAACAGGATCCTTCACTCGGTGGTCAAAAGTGTTTATGATACCAATAACAGCATGTGGACGTCGATCCAGCAACTAATCTCGGGCTCATGTATTGATATGATATGCCTTAATACGAGGAAATGTACTTATGACGATATGCGACCGTGTCGATGGTTGGAACTAGGTGGTCATATAGCTAGCTGCTGGCAAGCAGATGCAAAGTAATGGTCAGAATCGTATTGATCCCACGACTCGGGAAGAGAAGAGTAGAGTGAGCATCTTCTGTACAATCAGTATTATTAGAAGGCACGGAGTCCGACTCTATCCCGCCCAGACCATCTGACTCTTCTCTTCTCTTCCTCTTCCTCTCCCTCCTCGCTAGCACCATCCCCTCCTGTGTTAAGCATCACTCCTTCCACCCCTCGCCAGGCCACTATACGATTATCTAAACAACAACCTCGTAATCCTGATAAACCTCATCATCCACCCTACGTAGACCACCCTCGGCCCAACACAAGCTCTGCCTTCTCCACCAGCATGGCGGAATTCATTCATTAATACGTTCTTACTACTCGTATTCACCACTCAGCACTTCATTCTATATAGAGCAGGAGGGACGGATGCGGATGTGTCAGGGAGTGGTAACCCCCTCTCCTATGCCTCTTGTCCAATCGAATACATCGACCGATAAGAGGCTCAAGTACTAAAATAATCTGTGGTAAGGCACTGCAGTATGTCATCAATCTCTTATTGAGTCTATCTCTCAAGAGCTAGGCTCTCAGCTATGGACTATGGACTATGGACTGTGCTGCCCGTGCCTGCCTACCTGCCCTGCCACGCAATGGCCAGGGCAGGGAAAAAGAGGGACTGCCCACCACACGATCGATTACCTCCTGCTCTCGAACCTGAAGAGCGTCATCGTCGACCTTCGCAATGATCTGCACATCGACTGTCCATGACGAGCTCGTCGACGTGCCGCGTGCAGTAGTCGCCTCCCCTGGGAAGGCTGGTGGCGACGGGCTGGATGGCCTGTGGGAGTGATCACGCTGCCACGGGGATGGTCATCCAGTTGGCTTTGCCGCGGCGAGGGGTCAAGCTCGCGTCGAGCGGCATGAGTGTTGGGCTGCGGACGTGGTGAAGGGTTGCGAGCACCGCCGTGGCTGTTGTGACATTGTGAGCTCCTTGCGGTGTATTGGAAGACGAGCGTCGAGGGAGGTTGACGGACGGACGGCGTTGGCTTGCTTTTGAGGTCGTCAGGAGGCTGAAAGTCGAATCAGGAGCATGATGTTTTCATGTGAGCACCTGTGCGACAGAAGGCCTGGCGGCATTGAATAAAACGGCTTGAATTGTACACGATAGACTCGGATATATAGAGTGGGAATTGAGTTCTAACACTGTTTCTGCCCTCTCCAGGCATGTGTTTCGCTCAATCCGCATCAAGACACTCTTTCGGGATATCAAGAATCCTCTTTGTGCATATTATGAGAAATATTGCCGTTGTTTTCCGACACCGCCGCCCTCACTTGTTTCTCACCTTACAATTGGCCAATACGGCGTTCCGCGTCGGTATAGTGGATTTCGGTACGCCGAAAGGGGTTATAGGCAAATGCGAAGATGGCGTCAATCTCTTCAAGAGCGCGGCCCTGGGTAGAGGTTAGCACGTAATTAGAGGGTAGATTTGGCTGGCGGAAGTGCCGGTCTCAAACTCACTTTGGTTTCAGGGAGAAAAAAGAAAGCAAAGCAGAAGGCCAGGAGGACTATGCCGCCGAACACCCAGCCTACTCAAAAGTGGATGTTGTAAATCATGTAAGGGATGACGAAGTTGGTCACAAACGCCCAGACGACGTTCCATGCAGTGCCGACCCCCTGAGTCTTTTCTCGCCTGGCAGCATTGGGGATCTCACTGCCGAGAAGGTACGGGATAGAAGCACCACCCATCTGCAGGAAAGTAACGAATTGAATCAGCATATCAACGACAAAAGGGTACCGTGCAAGTCTATGTCCGCACTTACATTGTAGCTGAATGCGTAGAGCATGAAAGCGGCCACAATCATGTTCTTTTCACTGGCTGTCTTGTGAGCCATGCCTCCGAGTCCAGCTAACAAAAATATCCAGAAAGCCTGGAAAGAGAAGGTGATCATAAGACTGTATCGACGCCTGTGGAGAAAATTGTCAGCGAGAGCGCAGCATAACGGCGGGAGATAGCTAACCCGATTCTATCAATCGTGTACATGGCTGGAATGACAGACAGAAAGCTCAGACAGTAGCTGATGACAGGATAAGTAAAAGCCTGGTCGGCGAGTCCATTCGTTTTGTAGAAAGTTGTCTGGTAGGTCGACACGAATGCTTGGCCAGTCGTCTGCAGCAGGCGAGATTAGTCGAAGCACTGGTACTGATCATGGCAGGGTACGCCGTCCCAGGGACTCACCTGCTGGTAAAAATAGTAAACGAGGACAATCATCGTTCGTCGGAAGTTCGATCCACGCAAGAGATCGAACCACGGAGCTTTATGCACATGTTCCTGAAGCGCTTCCCCGATGGCGTGAATTTCAGCAGCGCACGCAGCCTCCGACCCGGGTCCCTTGGGTCTAAGGCGGCGAATAGCCTGGATAGCCTCATCGTCCCGGTCCTTGGATATAAGCCAGCGCGGAGAGCTGGGTATGAAGAAAGTGAAGAGGATAATTACTATAATTGTTCATTAGCAATTTTAGACACAACTCAGGGCCTCAATGTACACTTACGAACAGGGTAGACGAATTGAATGCCCGTGACAACTTTCCAACCCAGACTGTCAGTTGTGGTGGAGAATGCTTTATTGACGCCAGTCGCAACGATGCTCCCAGCATTGAGGAATAGTTGCAGCGATACGACAACAAAGCTGGAACAATCTCTGATTGATACAAGCTGAAGCAGAACCTGTCACTTTCGCGGCCAAATGCATATGCGTTCCCATTGGAGAGGGCCAACTCACGTCACGTCGACCTCAACAAGCCCAACCGAGATGTAGACAATAGTGCGGCCCACAATGAACTGCGCAAGACGTCCGGATCCAACGCTGGTACCGGCGGCTGTGATTTCGATAATGATTCCAACGAAGGAGACGACCGACAATGCGAAGAATACACCGCGGTGACCAATCCACTCGATGGCCGGGCCAGCAACTAAGCATCCCAGAAATTTGCCGATGAACGGGAGAGAGGACAGTTGCGAGGTGTGAAGGGAATTGAACGCCCATTTGTTGGTCGAAGCGTTGAACACGCCGAACTAGTTCACAAAGCCCTGGGCCGAAGGATATCAGTGCTTGTACCTGAGATCAACCACGACGCAGACACTCACAGGATTGGCCAACACACCACCGAAACTGCCTGTGTCGTACCCAAAGAGCATGTCACCGACGAGCAGACAGAAGGCCGAGTAGAGGAGCATTGGTGTCACCAAGGACCACGCCGAGGTGGAGGGTGCGCTTGAGCTCGCCATAATGGTGGCACGGCACTGGTGTGACTGGAAATGTGGGAGGGAGCGTGATCATGGCTCTGAAGTGCGTGCCAGAAGGACGACTATATCTATACTCGTACATCTTGGCCACGCTACCAGGGTGCTTGCTGAGTCTTACAGTAGCTTGGTTGATGTTCCCCAAGGTCGACTCCACGGGGTATGGGAAAAGTTAGGCTCCGAGCGAGATCAAGGAATCGAGACGCTGGACAAGGCGTGAGTGGGTCGGGTTCCGACCGAAATTCTCCTCGTTCGGAGCGGAAAGAAACCGGTCAGCACTGAGAGAGAAGTTTGTTGGATCGCAGAAGTCAAATGCAGTTACTTTGCGGAGTAGGATCTTCGAACTATCTGTGTGGGTGGACAATCTATCTGCCAAGCCGGATGCACGTGAGATTCACGTGATTTGCCACGTGCCAGCACCGCCAAAAAGAGTTAGCAAGCCCTGGTGACCCCAGAACAAGTTCCTAGCGAGGTCCACTGTACTCTGTATTCTACCTCGCACCCTTCCATCTCGCGTCAATCCGTGGTGGTCATGCGTCTCTTGACATGCGTGTTCGGGAGCAAAGCCAGAGCTACAGTGGCGGATGCCGGCTCGCCGTGTTTGTTGCTTCGCGTTCTTTTCTTGAATTTTATTCTTGGACTGATGATAAACCGATCACTTCATTCCTCTTCTCACCCCAACTGCGGCACGACAAGCCACAAGCGGATGACGTAAAACTGCAGTATAGCAGCGGCACGATAGACTCTCGATTGCGACTGACACAATTGCGGTAAATGGTACCTTGACACTACTCTTGTAACGCTGGGAACTTCTACTTCAGAAGGCCCAGTATGAACGATGTTCCGAATGGGACACACAAGCGTCCCAACTTTCTCTTCATTCTCGCCGATGACCTTGTAAGCCCGCGAACTTCCTACACACCTCCACACGTGTTGCCTGATTGACCATTGTGTGATCAGGGTTTCTCGGATTTAGGGTGCTATGGCGCCGAAATTCAGACCCCCAACATCGACCGCTTAGCCGCTGAGGGCGTTCGAATGCTCAATGTCCATACCGCCGCGGCTTGTTCTCCCACGCGCGCGATGCTGCTCAGCGGGACTGACGCGCATCTCGGTGGACTGGGCGTCCTGATAGAGTACAAGAGCAGCGAGCAAGGGTCAAAGCGTTGGTCGGGTAAAGCAGGGTATGAAGGGTATCTGAATGATCAAGTGGCAACTCTGCCCGAGATTCTGGGAGACCATGGATACTTCACGGCGATGTCTGGCAAGGTAGGTTTGTCAATCAGATAGCATGGACAGACTGTCAACGATTGCACAGAGGCTAATCACTCTTACTCTCAGTGGCACCTCGGTCTCCGCGCGAGTCAGGGGCCGTGGCAACGCGGGTTTCAGAAGGCATTTGCCATGCTCCCAGGTTGCTGCAATCACTACGGTTGGGAGCCAGTGCAAGAGCAGTTTCCGGTCGGCGGTCGGCCAATTCACGCTGAAATGGGACACAAGGTTGACATGTGAGCTCGAGTTTTCCCTGGTCACTAGGAAAGCGAACACTGACTGTCATCCGTCTCAGATTGCCCAATAAGACTGAAGATCCCGACGGGTTCTACTCGACGGACCAGTACACCAATCGCCTGATCAAATACCTCGAGGAGCGGTCCGAGGACGACCAGTCGAAGCCCTTCTTTGCCTTTCTGCCGTATACCGCACCGCACTGGCCCTTGCAATGCTCAAGGGCGCAACGCGACAAATACAAGGGCCTGTACGACGACGGTCCGTACGCACTTCGTGAGCGCCGGCTGAACAAGCTCGTGGAGTTGGGCATCATCGACCAATCCGTCGTCCCGCACAAGGTCGAAACGACCACCCAGGGAGTGGGAGAGTGGGACGATCTCACGCCCGAGGAAAAGAAATTGTCGAGCCGTGCAATGGAGGCATACGCGGGCATGGTGGACTCGATCGACGTCAATGTTGGCAAGGTCGTGGATTACCTGCGTAAGACAGGGGAGTATGACAACACGTTTATCGTGTTTATGAGTGACAATGGAGCAGAGGGAGCTGCGTGAGTTGTACCCCCGACTGAAATGAGTTTGAACTTGTGAGCTGACCAGTGTGCCATTCGAAATGCAGCCTGGAAGCGGTCCGTAAGTGACAAGGCCTCCGATCTTTTCTTCTCTGTCCTCCATTGCATAGGTCACTGACTGATGGATGTACTGATTTTGTGATTCTCGCAGCGGTCATGGGAGAAAACATCAAGCGGGCGATCCATCAATACTATGACAACTCATACGACAATATCGGCTCTTGGAATTCCTTCACCTGGTACGTTCTTCGAGAGAGGTGTTTCTTACCAAAAAGCGATGGGCTGACGATCCCGTGTACTAGGCTCGGCCCTCTTTGGGCTCAAGCATCGACCGCCCCCTCGAGGCTGTTCAAATGCTTCCCCTCGCAAGGCGGCATTCTCGTACCCTGCGTCATCAAACCGCCGGCCCAGACCTTCCTTCCCTCGTTCCCTCCCGGCTCGTTCAGCCGCTCATTTGCAACAGTCATGGACTTCGCCCCGACCTTCCTCGAGCTTGCCGGCGTTTCTCTTCCTGCTCCTTCAGATAAAGAAAGCGCCCTTCCGTTGGGAAAGGGCGCAACGACGCGCAAGATGACCACATTCCGAGGAAAAGACGTTCACGCGATGCGCGGATCCTCGTTGGCACCTCTCTTCCTCCGCGGGAAACCAGTGGAGAAGGACAACGACTTATGGGCCATCCACTCCTCCTCCGAGCCGATCGGCTGGGAGCTTTTCGCTCGCGGAGCCTTGCGCAAAGGCGACTGGAAGATTCTCCACTTCTCCAAGGCTCGTGGCGGCGCTGGGGAAGGTGATGAAGGGTGGGAGTTGTTCAACGTTGCTCAAGACCCCGGCGAAACAAAGGACTTGGCGGCATCCGAGCCGGAAAAGCTACGAGAGCTGCTGGCATGCTGGGATGAATATGTGGTCGAGTGTGGGATTGTGTGGGGCGAGACGGCTCAGGCTCCTGGACGGGGAAAGGACCAAGCACCCGAGCTGTGGGAAGACGAGCTGGAACTGCAAAAGTCTTGGATGGGTGCAAGAGGGGGGGACTGCCCGGTATCGTGCCGATAGACGTGAAAAAGCATGGAGAAATGCCGATAGAGGATAGACCTGAAAGTATGTAGAAGGCATGCGTTGAACATGATTTATATAAATCCGATTGCTCACTTTGAAGTTCGTGAGCTATGTTCAGGTTACTAACGGGTCAAGTCGAGACAGACAGGCGAGCAAACAAGGCACCTTTAAAAGTCCCATGTCTGGCCTGACTCGTCCAAGAACCACGACCAGTCGAGCGAAAACACTTGATCGACATTCTCAGGCTCGGCCAGCCCCCACCACGGCTGAGGAGACGGCGCCATGCCAGGCCCTTGAATGCCTTGGATTTCCGGCAGATTCAGCGCGTCCGAGGGCGCGGACGATTGGAGTGTTTGCGTCGCTGGAAGTCGCGGCAGGGCGTTGCGAACGTCCATTGCGTCAAGGCGGGGAGAAGCCGCCGCCGACGGAGGAGCCGTCTCGGTGTCGACGCTGTACTCGAGTAGAGCCTCGTCGCGGGCGATGTTGGTGGATGACCTTGCTCCGCGGCGTAGCCGTTCCAGCTTGGCCCATCGGAAGTCACGGAAGTCGTACTCGGCAGCGTCTTTGCCGACCAGACGGTATTCACTAGAATGTGAGTAAGCAATCGCCTCCTTTCGGGGTATCTCACAAGGCTTAATGAAAACAGCGAGCGAACAGACCTTTCGAATGCCGCAAGATCGGCTTCGTTGAGCAAGTCTCGGCAGCCACAGCGTAGAAGACGGTGGGCTGCTTCGACGTGCTTTGCTGAATGTCAGTTTTGGTCATCGAAACTTCGAGGGCTTCTGGTCGACCTACCAGCTGCTTGACGAATTCGGATCGATCCGCGAGATTGCGAATGACGGCTAGGAGATGGGGGATTGCCTCCATCAGGGCGGGCGCGCGAGGGTCGATGTATGGGTCTATCACTGCCAGTCGACGTGGCTCAAATAGAAGGACTACCTCTTGATCAGTCGCGTCTGGTTCAATGGGTGGCGGATGAGAAGGGTGACTCACTCCCCAGCGCAACGTACGCTTGCACTCCAATTTGAGGATCAAAGCTGATATTCCTTTTGAGTCCTTCCGAGACAAGACCGGCGATCGGCAGAGCGTGCGAAATGCGGTTGCGGCGTACCTGGGCTGTCAGGTCTGCTTTGTCGGGATCTTGCTGGTACACCTGCAATGCGGCTCGGCCCACGACGATGAAGAGGTTGTGCCGCAAGACGTGCAGGAGGATAAAGGTGATGAGCCGGTCACGATGGAGGAACAGGTTGTCCGTGTTGAAATGGAAGCGCTTGGGCAGGGCTGAAGTCACCTCTTCCATGTCAGCCTCGAGCGCGACCAGCTCTTCTGATAGCTGCTCCACCGTCTGCTCTTTGTGGGAGGCGCGAAAGGCAAAATGCAAAGCCCGACGACGCGCGGCAGCGGTGCGAAGAAGATATGCTGACATATCAAGGGATGCATGCTCCAGACTTGCCAGATTGGCATTCAAACGATTGCTCGAGTTCTCGAAGAGCGGTTCAGTGACAACAATCTCGTCGCCTAAGAAGCTCGCCCGATCACAAGGGAGCTGGAGTCGATAAGCCTTTTCGTCGACAATGTGGAAACCGTACCGACCGCCGTCGACGATGGTGTCGGCGTAGAACGTGGACCACGCTACGCGACGGAGAGCTTCACAGGACAGTAGAGGAGAGAGTCGCACTTGTGATGGGAATTGGGCTGGGTAAGTCCGGTCGAAGGTTTGGAGGGACATCATTTGCATCATTCTATATCGATGAATGTCAGTTCTCGCACATCGACGACGTCGTGGTGGCGGGCGGTCACCGCGTACAGTTCGCCCCCAGTAGCCAGGCAGATGTGAAATTGCCTCGGTTTAGATCGTAGTGTTGGGCTAACAGGAAGGTCTGTTCATGTCAATAGCCGTGTTAGCATTGACCCAGGACGTAGCAAAAGTCTTTTAGGCCTGCTTCGGCTTCTGAACAGCATTGGGTCGTACCATGAGTTGGATTGCCCTAAACCCTTGATAAACACGTGGAAGCATGGCACCCATGGCGGCGTCTGCCCAAGCGTCTGCCCAAGCGTCTGCCCTCGCTAGATTCTCCCGAGTGGCCTCGGCGGCAAATCTATTCATGTCAATATCGGTCTAACAGACAATCTTCGCACAGTGGGAAACTGACCGCACTGCACTTGCAATCATCATGAGCGTCAGTTCGCGGGGCGCTTTGCCTTTGGCAAGAAGGCGGTTGAAGTGGAGCTGATGAATGAATGCGAAGAACCCGAAATCTGAAGAACCAGGCGGTCAGTGATTCGGATTCAATGCAAGACAACCAGGTGTTATGATGGACTCACGGTGGATTGAAGAAAAGTAGAGTTGGACGAGATCTTCAAGTTCTTTGCCCGCCGGCAGCTTTCCCAGAGGTGTTGAGCTGGATGGCATCAGAGTAGTGGGTAGCGAACCGTCTTCGTGATGGGCTTGTTGGGGAAGCTGTGAAGACAACCCATCCTCCATATTGGAGCCGCTGGCATGCGAATGCTGAGGCGCTGGCATAGTAGACGATGGTGGTCCGGAAGACAAGGCTAAGGATCCAGAGTTGTCTGCTGTCAAAGAACCCTCTCGAGGCTGGGGACTCGATGATGCCGCTTCGGTGTCTTGCTGGAATCGTACGCATGTGATACCGATGCTTCTACACCTGAGGCATGTATCTCGTACATCTCCAACGCATTTGAGCTGTGAGCGCACGAAGTCAGTTGGACAAGATTGACTCGGCTATCGGTGCAGTCGACACACCTTTTTCTCCTTGCAAGCATTGCACGCCGTTGCATTCGCCCTCCTCGAGATCTTGGCCCTCCTGTCTACCGGCCCAGGCTACACGCAGGGCCTCTTTCCTTTGCGACACTGGGCACGCTCGGGCTCGTTCTCGTCGCATTTGACCTGCATTTGCCAAGTGGCTGGTCTGGTGGTCGTCCCGCAGGCGAACTGAACAAGGGTCAACCTACCTTTCAATGCCTACAGGTACGGCATCCTGTACGCGTCCTATTAATCGACGTCCTGGACTTTGAGGAAACATCATTCTGTGAAGAAGGCGCTGGACTGAGAGACAGTGTGTCGCCAGAACGAGGTGAGCGAGTGGTAGGCGCCCACGGTCCTCGACTGCTCATGTCTGTAAGGAATCTGAGTACTCCGTAGAGAGACTTGTAAAGCGAGTTAGAACGCAATAGATCTGAAGTCGGTTAAACAAGCATCAAAACCCTAACCACATTGGCTCATGCTGAGGAGTGTTTAGGACGTGCTGCTGACCTTGCCGAGACGGCCTGAGCAAGTGCTTGCATTAATCCGTGTTACCGTGTGCGTTATGTGCGTTATGTGCGTTATCCGTGCTATTGGGAAACTACTTTGTAGAGTTATTTCCGCATTCTGGCTTAGTCGCAGTACGAGTACGCAGTCGGTACAGTATACGGAGTATACTCCAAGCCTTCTTGCTGTACCGAGGCTCGTCAAATCATGTCTCGCCATCTTCTGCCCTCTATTGCCAGTCTAGGGTCACCGTGTACGAGGTATCATTGCTGCCCTAATAGTTACACTGGGACTGTGAAAACAACAGCCAGCTCTGTCCGCGCACACATCCTTCATGCCCACGCCCACGCCCGCGCCACGGCACGCTGAATGCTCCTCGCCCGCCATCTGTGGCGTAGCAGACACGGAAATGCATTCCAGAACGCGAGGACCGGGGCCTCTGCCTCTGCGTCAGTGCCAGTGAAAAAGAAAGCGACACCCAGCCGCCTCGTTTCGACACGATGGTTCTCTCCCTCGCGCGTCGCACGATCCGTCGACGCGAACGACTCCCCCAGTAGAACGTCCCTGCATCTCCATCATCCGTCCGCTGCTCCTGCGCCTACGGCATCAACCAGCACCGCGGCGACGGCGGATGCGGCGGCAGCAGAAGTGGACGAAGAGTCTCGTTCTCGAACACCATCCTCAGATAGATCACCGACACTGAGAACCCAACTCGACACTGCCGCGCGCCCGTCCGCCCATTCGTCACTGCACTCTTTCCAAGCCTACGCACGCCGGACGGGCCTCTCCCCCACGAGCACGGTCTACGCGGGCACGACCTACGAGTACGTCACCCAGGCCACATTGCGGGACTATGGCTTTGAACTATACCGCGTAGGTGGACGGGGCGATCGCGGCATCGATCTTATTGGCGTGTGGCGCGTGCCGGGGTCGTCGTCGTTGTCATCTCAGGAGTGGAACGGAAGGGGGGAGAAGAAGAAGACGAAGAACGATACATCACCCCAGGTTGGGGCAGAATCTTCGGCAACCGAGCCTGAGCTTGAACCCGAGCTCGTGCCCCAACGATATGAGACGCCTGCATTTGCCTTGAAAGTGCTCGTACAATGTAAGCGGCTGGTGGGCAAGCACGCGAAGATTGGACCCCATTTGATCAGAGAGCTTGACGGCACGGTACGAGCAGCGCGGATTACACCTCTCTTCGAGGCGATGTTGTCCCAGGACATTTGGAATACCAGTAGATCAAAAACGTACGAGCACGAGCGAGAAGAAGCAGATGAAGGCCCTGCCGTGGACGTTGACGCTGACGTGGACGTTGACACACACATTGTCACCGACAATCAACACAGGCACCACTCTCCCATGGCTGGAAATCTTGGAGCCGCTGGACCAGCCATCGGCGTCCTGGTCAGCACCAAACCCGCGACCAAAGGCGTGGTGGATAGCATGCGCCGCTCAACCCGCGGGCTAGTCTGGGTTATGATGGAAGAGGAGGTCCCCACAAGTCCCGAAATTGAGCTCGACGACTCCTCTTCATCTGAGGGTCGAGGCGAAGTGCGACCACCCCCAGAGCAGCAGGAGGACTCCTCATCATCAGAGGCTCCCTCTCCCACCACGGTTCTCTCCGGCCGGGTCAAACAGATCCTCTGGAACCAAGCGGCCCGCGACCTTGGTCTCGAGGGCGTGGACGTGGTGAAACGCTACGACGGCGAGGGTCGTGAAGAGGTGGTTCTGATGCGTGGAGGACGGGTTTGGGGTCCGGGTTGAGCTCAAGTCTGCCGGGTCCAGAGACTAGTTTTAGAGTGTCAACTTACCACCGCGCACAACTTGAGGGATAATAAAGGCCTACACATCCCTACACCAATTAGATGCACTAGATGGCACGTATCCAAACGGAATGTAGATGATATGCATTGAAAACAGCATTCTCCTGTGGTATCATACATCGCTCCAGCATCGGCATATGGTTGCGCCTCCACATGCACTGAACTGAAACCCAAGTTCAGAACTTCAACACCGCGCAAAAGTAGGAATCTATCTCGCAGCGCGTTCTCAACAGATGTCGGCTGAGCACCAAGCCATGATATCTCGTACCCCTTCCCGTCTCGGACATGCACCCACGGCATCCGGGACCACCTGGCTACACCGCAGCCTCGCCCGGGTCTTCCTGGTGTTGCGCTTCAGGCTCCATATGCACCCTTCCCCTGCAATCCTCTTTCAAACATAGGAGAGTTTATATTCAAATCAGCCAAGTGGACGTTCACAGCTTGGCTTTTGGTGGCTCCAAGCCGGGAAGGAGCATGTCACGAACGTCACTCGCCGCTTCGTTGAGGTAGAAACTCATCCTCTCGCAGCCGAGTTTCTTAGACACAATGTTGAATTGTATGCTGCAAAAGATGTTAGCCTGCCGACTTTCAAAGTGACGGGACGAACATACCTGTTCTCATTGATCATGTAGGCAATACCCCATCCCTGATCAATAACCTGGCTCCACCCGTAGCCGTTAAAGTATTCTGAACTCAACTGACTACTGCTGATATACCACGTACTCGAGTAGGTGTAGGCTGGATCGGTAAAAATCTCGGGCGTCCCCTCTCCTTCCTGGAGGAGTTTCTTCAGCCCAAAGAGATGTCTGTCGACGCCGTAGCCGTCACTCGCATCCGCGGTGTATTTAACATGTGCCTGTACGGCTGCGCGGAAAAGTCGCTCACATTCTTCACGCGAGACAGACGGGTCGGCCATGGCGTTGCAGAACGCGACGGACTCGTCAGATACGGTCCGGGTGGTTTCCGTCCGTCCCTGCTGGTACTTTCTTGTTGCCGCAGATTCATACGTCGGTCGGTTCTTACCGTACATCTTGTGGTAGGCGAGTTGAATGACCATCTGCACGTACGCGTCTGGGGAGCACTTGAATTTCTTAATCATACCCTTCCCATAGCCTTGGTAGGCTTGCACACGTAGGTCGTGCGAGGCGATGACTTGGCGGAATTGTGCTTGAGCGCTGGCCAAGTCGTCGAGCACAGCGGCGTTCGTTTCGAATTTTAGGGCAACAGGGTCGGGAAGGTCGGAGCGGACGGATGGGTTGTCGAAGTCGAGTTTGTTATGCACAATGTAGGCATTGACCGTGTCGCACAGGCGGTGGGTGGGTGTGCCGTCCATCATGGAGTGTTCGCCCATAAAGCCGGCGGTGCCGTTGTCGTTGACGATGAATTGGACGGGCTTGTCATACCAGCGGTTGGAGCCGTCGCCGTGCCAGTAGACGCGGGCACGTTCTTCCAACGTGACAGGCATGGTGGAATCTAAGCAGACAAAGAAGGAGGAGGACTCAATTTCCTCGAGGACCTGAGCGTTTAGATCGGACGCTGCAAGAAGGTTGTCCCGGGCTTTGGCGCCCTGGTCGCGAGGGAGAGAGGTGATGGCACCGATCGGGTCGGCCAATTGGGCGTTCTGGTATATCTTCTTGAACTGCAGTTCGAGCTCGGACGTGTTCAGCTGTTTGCCAGCGACATGGGTCTGGAGCTTCCAGAACTGGTTGTTTCGCATGACGATGATGTGCTCGTGGCCCTCGGCGGGATATTGGATGGGGTAGTCCACCGGCTCGGCCGCGACTCGCGAGGTGTTGAACATGTACTGGTAGCTGCTCATGGCCATGGGCTTCTTACGCATATACTCGGGTTCCAGGCTCTTGTCATCGACCTGTCGCTTGAACTCCAGGGCGGCGGTGGTGATGGCTGCCGCGCGTTTGGCTGGGTTTCGTCGGCGGCGGTCGTCTCGGAAGGAGTAGAAGTAGGAAACATAAGGCACCACGGGATCCTTGTACCCCAGATATGCAGCCTCGTTCCACCAGTCGATGATCCAGTTCTTGACATTGGGATCCTGGGCCTTTCGTATTAACCTCTCTTGCAGTTTCTGGCCAATGCTTCCCGGCTGGTTGAACGCGGCCACGGCTTTCTCAGAGGCCGCAAACTCCTCCTTGGACAGGAGCGGGTGAAGGCTCTTGAGGTAGCGGGCAGAGGTCTCTTCGAGCGAGGGGACCGGTAGTCTCGGTAGGGAGTCCTCGAACCGGAGCATGGCGCCCTTGGAGTTGTCTTCCCGATATTCTGCAGGCATGTCACTCAGTTGTTGCTCGGAAAGGGGTTTCGGAAGTGCTCACCCTCAGTCACCCAGAACTGAGGCCGGTTGGAGGCTTTCCTCTTGTTCGTGGGAGCCATTGCGACGGCCTGCGAGTGTCCAGGGTCAGTTCCCCACCTGACGTCAACCGAGGAAGCAGATGGTCATTTACCTTGAGCGCAGTCGCTGTTGGAGAAGCTCGAGGAACAGCGCGGAGGATTGTTTGTGCTCCTAGTCGCGGCAGTGTTGGAAACATACCCAAAGCACCGACAGCTGGACTGAGGGAGGAACAGAGAGGGACTCGGAAAATGAGAGAGAAAAAAAGTCTATTGCCTAGGAGCTGGATAGAGCGAGCGATAGGTAACGCGACCTTTTAGACCGGACGGGCATTCGGAGAGGATTGGGCGAGAAGGCGCAGGTGAAGCTACATGCGAGGTACACAGCAGGAAGAAGCCGCGGCGATGAACAGACGCTGCAGACCGAGAACCGCTGACGCTCGAGTGGACCCCAAGAAACAAGCCACTGCCGAGGCATCAGAGTCGACAAGATCCACGCTCTCCACGTCACAGGCTCCGGCCATACATCGGTAACCGGCCACAAGGAAGGATTCGGAGCTGGATTGCTGGATATCCGTGGGTACGGATGGTGGTCGTGAGCATGACACCGGCCAAGCATGTGCTGACTCGTCCCCTTGGCCCGCTCCATACAGAAATACCACCTCCTCGGCGTTATCGTCGATGCCTCAGGCGATCGCGACGTATTTACGCAGTGCCTCTCCCAGGCTAACATGATCTTCCTCGTGTTGCTCAACCCCCTCCCGCCATGACTGCAGGGTGTCCAGAGTGCATACATGTCGCATGGTCGGCCGTCCATGAGGGCAGTTCCAAGGCTTGTCGATAGTCCCCATCTGCGCCACCACCTTCTGCATCTGCTTCTTGGATAATGTCTTGCCGATCATGATACTCGATCGACACGCGCGCATCGCAAACATCTTTCTGACTTTGCTTGGTCTGGGGATCCCGGCCTCTCCAAAGCTGGGGGAATCGGCGAGCAACTGGATCAATTCCTCCAAGTCTCGAACACCAAAAACAACTTCTTTGCTCAAGGGCAGGCTGACGAGGCTGCACCGTTGTCCAACCATGCTTTGTCCACTGGTGTCAATCTCCACCAGGAATCCATTCTTCTCTAGAGCACTGGTGTTCTCGAAGACAATCTCTTCTTCGACGGCGGTTAGCTCGAGTACCACTGGTCGCACCAGTCGTTGGTTGCCGACGACGGTCTCGGCTTGTAGTCTTTCGAAGTTGTACTTTTCATCAGAAGCATGCTGGTCAATAATGAAGAGCTCATCTTGCTTGGACTGATCATTCTCTTCAGCATCCGAGCGGGCAGGTCGAACTGCAAGGATGAAGCCAAGGTTGAATTGTCCGACAACTCTCATTCTTGCAAAATCGGGCTTGGAGACCGTCAACGAGAGACGGGCTTCAGGGTCGTACGCGAGTCCAGCCTCCAATCCATCCGCACGTGGCGCCAGGTTCGTTTGGCCGCCATTCACAATTTCACCGTGTTCGCGTACCTGAGATGCTATCGATGAGATAGAGACATCGACCGTTGCCAGCAAATTTGTCGTTGAATCCCTGGTACGCCCTCCAGCAAGGGCTTTTGTCGCTCTTCTCAGGTTCTCTTTGCTCGGTAGAGCAGAGCTGGCTTCGGCCGCTCGAATGAGCTCTTCGACCTTGGCGTCTTCCGCCCTCTTCTTTTCTTCTTCGTCGATATAATCGTCATCGCCTCCGGTATCGCCATCTTGTATATGAGTCGTCTGCTCGTCGCTAGCATCATGTCCATTGAGACTCGCGATATCTGCCTCGATTTCTTCTTCAGCCTCAGATTCTTCATTGTCATCCGCGTCACCTTCTCGAGCGTCTGACTCCACGTCTGCTTCCTCATCTTCAGCTTCCTGCTCATTTGCAGTTTCAAGTCCTCCAACACCGAACCTGCGTAGCTGCTGCGAAAACTGTCGCGTGCCAGGGCTTTTTGCACGTTTCTTGGATTTCACCGTGCTAGCCACAGTATCGGGGCTTCTTCCAACCCGCTGCGATCTGGGCGGCTGACTACCTAGTATCGTGGTGAACGTCTGGTCCCCAACCGTGACAGTGGCTATTTCTGCGGGGACTCTCTTTGGCCTCATGCGATCAAAAGCGTTGAGCACAACCCCTTTTGCTTCGGAAGGCTTTGGTTGTGCTACAGTTGCCATTTCTGGACGTTGCTGTGGCGGTCCCTCCGACTGGGCTTCAGCCATTCTTGCGTTTAAGTCTTGGGCATGTATTTTGCTTGGACTATACTGAGAAGGCTCTTCCTCTTCCTCTTCGTTGGCCGCGCTCTGCCGGCTCGGTGTATCGATCTCCCGGACATCGTCGTACTCTTCCATCCCGTGAGCTTCGTGCTCGGCCACCTGCTGGGCAATTTTTTCCGCTCGTTTTTCCTGAGCCTTCCGTGTATTAGTTTGTTGTTTCTCCATTGGTACAGGCTCCTCTCTTGAACTAGCCAGATTTTGGAAGTGATCTCGGAAGAGCGAGGTCTTAAAACTCGTCCGACCTGTTTCTTCTTCGTCTTCGTCTTCGTTTTGGCCATCGTCGCACAAGTCTGTGGTGTCGGAGAGTGACGTACGGCGGCTGGTTGCGTCTGGTGAATCCGAAGATGCCTGACGCTGGAAGTTAAGTTTCCGAAAGGCAGGCAGTTTGGTTGTTGACAGCTGGGATTGTGGTACCGTCTGTTCTTGCTGATCGAACATATCATTCAAGGCGGTTTTCAGGTTCTCAATCAGCGACGCCGAGTCATGGATCAATATAGTTCTCTTGTCCGGCGAGACGTTTACATCGTATGCATTGGTGTCCATTTGGAGGTCTGCGAAAATGAAAGGCGATTGCGAAACATTGAACGCCTTGTATACCTCATTGATAGCTTTCGCTATCTGCGGCAAACCACACGGCCTACCGTTAACGAAGAACATCTGTCGATCGGGGGTCTGTCGACCTTCCCCGAAAATAGGTTTAGAAATATGGCCCTTGACCCGTATGCTGGTATGTTTTTCTTTTCGTGCCATTTGAGTCAATGTGGACTGATACTGGAGATCAAGGTCCAAAGGGACCAGGGCACTCAGAGTCTTCGTACCGTAGACGTTCGCTATATTCTCTCGTGTGGTAGCATTGCCCTTGGTCGAAAAGACCGACACGCTCTTGCTTTTTGGCATGGTATTCTTGACCGTGAACTTGACATTGACGCCGATGCATGCATACGCATGCAGGAGTCCTAGAACTTTGCCATACTCTCGCTTGATGTTTTTGCTCAACTCTTTGCGTCTGACGGGAAGGCTTTCAAATAGATTCTCCACGGTAGCCGTTGTGCCTTTCTGCGCTGCAACAATTGTGGTCGACTTCAATCTGCCCAACGTGTCAAACTCGAGCCGTTTCCCCTTGGGAGCCTCGTCTACTTGCGCAGTAACGAGAGAAAACTTGGAAAGCGCGCAAAGAGACGAAAGGGCTTCGCCTCGAAAGCCAAAGGTGTGAAGACTAGACAGGTCATCGTAGCTGGACAACTTGGACGTGAAGTGCTTCAAGGCTACATTCTCGTAGTTGGCAGGATCAATGCCAGAGCCATTGTCCTGTACCTCGATCGAATCCAGACCGTTATTCTTGAACCGTACTTCGAGGGCAGTGGCACCAGCATCAAGGCTGTTCTCAACTAACTCCTTGACCACAGAGCATAGGTCGACGATGACTTGACCCGATTGGATCTGGTGTACAGACTTGGCCTCGATGGCCTTGATGGTGGCCATGGCCAGCCCATATTTGATGAAGGGAACGCACGAATTCAGAATATCAAAGTCACTGTCATCAACGACGAAAACTGAATTGCTCGCGACTGAAACACGAAGCGCGGTGAAAGTTCCAAGCAGCAGCTGATTGGCGGAACTTGATGTGGTCCGTGCTGGGTCCTAGGTGGGTCCCCGGCGTGCCAAGAATGACGTCGTCCTAGTAAACGGTATGCGGCGAGAATCTCAGCGTAAGAGGCAATTCAGGCACATCACTATCCTGACTTGATTTCATTTGCCCACCGAGACAAAGATACTACATTTTTGAGCATGAATACTTGAGTCGACGAGCACGCCCATCTCTAATGTTGCCCGATTTGCCGGTTGAAGTGATTGAACAGATCGTGGGATACCTGCCAAGCGCATCGGCTATCGTCAACCTCGCACGGACAGAACGCAATCTCCATTCAATTGTCTCAGCGGACGGCTACCATGTTTTTCGATCATTCGTTCAGAATGCATTCCCGACTATCAAGACACCGCCGTTATGGAGAGATGCCGCTCGTATCTTAACATCTCGCTCTCGGGCTTGGGACCGGCGAGCATTTATAGCCCGAGAATGCTACCCGCCACCTGACAACATCGACTATCCCCAGTATGCGCTAGGGAGTCACAAGATAGGCTATCATCCAGCCATTGACAGCTACGAAACATGGGAAGGACATTCCTGGTCAAATCGAAAGGAAGTGTTGGCGTGGGGTGCGGCAGGCCGTCTACGGACACGAACGATCAAAGATGGTGTAACGACCTGGAGCTCATACAGCATACCAGATGATCATAGACAAGACTTGGACATTCTGGATGTGCGAATCTTACGGCCACACCAGGTTAACAGCTCAGATGGCGAAACAATTGTCTTTCGAAGAGCCAACCACGAAGTCGTCAAAGTCCAAACCTCGGAACCCGATGTTTTTACACAGCAGTCAAGCTATGTAACCCCGCCTGGTGACCACACATGCATGGATATTAGCCAGAGCGCTGATCCTATACTTGCGGCGTGCGGTGATCACTCCATCAGACTATACCCTGTACGCAGCCAACAGAAGCTCGTCCGACCGAGCGATTCCGTCAAGCTGGAGGACCGGTACAAGATCCAACAACGGATGCGCTGCATAAAGTTCTTATCCGGCACTACAGTCGCTATTGCGAATCAGTTTCTCCAAGGACGAGATCGGGCTCCCATCCACATTTATGACATCAGTCAAACTGGCCTGTCTTCGACACCGCTCACAGAATCGATGAGCTACTCTGAGACAAGTAACCCATATATGAGCCGGCACAGCGCCAACGTGATCGTGCCACTCGATGACATTGGCATCAGTGGAAGTAGTCCCGGGACCCTGTTTCTGTCGGGATGGACAGACGGTATCGCTCGGTTACACGACACAAGGATAGCTCAGAAATCAGTGGTTGAGTATGTGGATGCGGTTGATTCCGGGCAGATTCTTTCCCTCCTCACCGTGGGACACGAGCACTTTCTGGCCGGCAGTTCCGAGAACGGCTGCCTGAGAACTTTTGACCTCCGCATGCCGGGCGCCAAGGCATACTCATACCTCAACGCACGACAGACTCAGCCAACCCGGAGCCCGAAAAAAACGGAGCCGCAGAGAGGTATCAACATCTTCCTCACGCCGACGGTCAACTTCGGCGAACGACTCTGGGAGCCTCTACCGCGAAATCCGCGGAAGCGGTCACAAGGCTACCGTGGCTCTGTCTACTCCCTTTCCAGTCCCTCACCCAGCTCGCCAACTGTCTATGCAGGGATTGAGAACCATGTGCTGCAACTGGACTTTGTCTCGACCGACGACATCCGCAGCCACAAGACCGACATTGATCTGAACAGTCATGACGCCAAAGGTCGAGACTCCGAACAACCTATCCTGAATCTGTCATGCTACGAGCGTCCTCGGGAAGGCAAAGAGAGCACGGACCCAGTGTTGTTGAGGAAACAACTGGATCTTTCCTGGGCTTTGAAATATGGCAACATAGACAGCGAAGGCGGATCAAGGGAGGAAGGCTGGGATGAGAGATTACGATTGAATACGTCTGTGAAGGACCGAGGGCATAGGGAATCGGGTTGGCGGACTCATAGACGGCAGCCTACATGAACGTTGAGGAGTGTATAGAGTTTACAGGCATAGCCGTGGAAATAGTGTCTAGAGCGAACGGATCAAAAATGGCTTCTCCAGGAAATAAACTAAGATCAACGTAGATAAATGCATTTCCAGGTATCCTGATAAGAACGAGGATGCGCGATTGAAGACAACGAAGTGAAAACCAGCCGTGATAGGTTCCCACCGAGATCAATGAAATGCTGCCTGCCTACAGAGTACAGTCTAATACAGAGTAGTCCTGCAGTGATTACTGTTGTATTTTGAACCAATGTACTCCGTCCGGGGTAAAGACAAGGCTGAACACCAGCCTCGCAGCAACAAGGCTGAGCCTCTGTCATTTTACACAGGATATGCATGCCAAGAGAGATCGATCGCGATCATGAACACCAATACCTGCCCATTCAAACACTCGTCTCATCTCATCGCTTGATCCGATCCATCATACTCGCAGTCGAAGCCAAAGTCAAAGCTAAAGCCAAAGTCAAAGTCACATCAAAAGCCACACCGTACTTACTTTATCCTCTCATCCCTCGCCATCGCCATAACACTACCCAAACCATAACGAAAACCATCGCCCGCAACCATAACATGTCCACCACAAAAGCAACACCAACCCTCCGGTCGCTCTACCGCCGTCTCCTCCGCGAACTCCCACCGACGCCCCAACCACGACACACCCTCCCACGCACGCCCATCCACGCGTCCATCCGCAAACACGTCGTCTCGTCTTGGGGACAGCAACAGCAGCAGCAGCAGCAGCATCACTCCGAGGCCCAGGCCCAGGCCCAGGCTCAGGCCCGCCTCCAGGAACTAGAGCAGTTCGTCACGTACCTCCGTGCGCAGAGAATGTACGGCACGCTCCTCCAGCGGTATAATCCCGGCATGGGCATGGATGAGGAGGAAAGAGTCCGCTTGACGGCGCGGCGCGTGGGGATGGATTTGCCGATCGAGTATGGAGATGGGGATGGGTATGGTGGAGTGGGAGCGGGAGCTCGAGGAGGGGGGAATAAGAAGTGAGGTGGCGATGAAGAGGGATGGTTTTGATTATATGTACGGTTCAGCACGGCACAGCACAACACAGTACACGCACGCGCGCACTCTGATGATAGCGTGTTTATGTTTGAGTTGTGGCGAGTTCGGATTCCAGAGTTGTGTGTCCTGAGGAGAACTAGGGCTGGGAGTTCGAGCTGGAACGCGGGTGTACGGTGCGGTGGAGAGAGCTAGAAGGGAGAGGCGAAGGAGATGTGAGGAAATTTGGATAGAGCTGCGGCAGGACCACTACACAACCATCACAGCTTGGGTGGTCGAGGGGATGATCTGGGGAAGATGATTGATCTCCAGGTGATGCTACGACGTCTCGTGCTGACTACGAAGGGATGATCTGGGGAAGATGATTGATCTCCAGGTAATGCTATGAGGTATTATACCGACTGCAAGGAGGACAAGGAGAAGCGACAAGGTCCTGAACAAGTCCTGCTTCGATCCGCTGCTTCGCTTCTGCCGACTGCGATGCGATGCACGCTGTTAGGGCTCTCAGGATGGTCAGTGTGCTCATGTTGACTGTGGTCTGTCTGGTTGCCATGATGCGGGCACGCATTGGTACACCACGGCACCTATACCTACAAGTCGCAATTCAGAATGATTGTGGCGCAGATGAGCGACAAGCGACTCCAATCTCGATGTTATGGCCATGGACACTCATCTCGCTGTGCTCCGCATGGCTGGCGAGATGGGAGTTATATGGCCAGACAAGACAACATCAACCAAATCCAGGCACTTGAAGCGGAATAGATAAAGGAAGCATGTGCGACTTTCGCGTTATCTCAAGACTAAGAGGAGAAGAACTCACGGCTTGTTCATTTCGAGTTCGGGACATCCATATCTCGCCTTCTGAGAAGAAGTCCCAGAGAAGATTTATCAAGCTACTTCAAGAATGATGTGATGATGAAACCTCATTGCCGCTGAAACGCCTCTCAAAAGCCAAGCTCCCAATGTAAAGAAACATAAACACAGTCCTTTCCTGTCCTTACCCCTACCCGCACAGAAAAGCACATGTCGAGATATTCCGGAGCGAGAGCGATCTGCTTCGCCCAGCCCTCCCGACGAGATGAATGAGCCGTGCTGGGTCGCGAGCTTTAAGCAGCGCATATTGCAAGCGGTTGCTGTGTCTGGCGGTTGCGGCACAGTCCCGGTCCCCTCACTGTCGACGAGCAGTTACACTCCGCTCTGCTCTTCTTCCAAAAACATTAGATCTCCCCAAAAGATGTCGGGCTCTTGATTGTTCACCGCGTCGTGTCCGTCCAGTGCATGCCAAGCCTGTGTGTTGGAGCAGTCGAAGAATCCAGGGTTCGAAATGCCAGAGTTGCCATCTGTGTCCAGGATCATCGTGTCCAACTCAACCATGTCGGTAGCCTTGATGTTGTCAAATTCGTCGAATTCGGGACCTGTCTTCAGGGGTGGAAGGGCATTGAAACATAGGTCAGCGATCGTGGTATCTTGCGCCTCTTGTGGAGATGACTGTGTTTGAGTGGCGATGAATGCTTGCGTCGAAGCGTCGGACGGTAGGTCTGAAACACCGAACAGCGCCGCTGCAGGATTGATGTATGGGTCCGCGGCGGAACACGAAGACAGGTCGAAAGCCAGATCCACGTCGTTGGAAGGGTCAAAGACTGTCCCTACCGCAGAGACTCGCAGACACTGTAATGAAGATGCCGGATCGTGCTTCTTCTCATGCACTTGGACGGCGGTATTGATCGCATCGCAGGCCAATTCTCCCTCGAGGAATAAGTCGTGGCTGGCATCTCCAGATATGGCTCGCAGACACATCTGCTCGTTACCTCCCTCAGAAGTGGCGTCTGGGCTGTCATCTTCGTACGTGCTTCCATCTGTGCTGGTATGGCTGCTTTCATTGGCGTCCGGAACGTCTGCTTGCCAGTCATTCCACGGTGCAGCACGGGCCTCGCGCTCTCCTTCGGCTGGAGATTCGTCCAACTTCAACTCCTCAATCTGCTTTTCAAGATCTTCGAAGATCTCAGCCACATCAATCTGATCCTCATCAAGGTGTTCACCGGTCTCGCTCAATCTTCGCTCAACAATACTCAATCTGAATAGAGCATATTGCGTGTCACCATCTTCCACGCCATAAATCTTACAAGACGCCTCATAAGCTTGACGATACCACTTCTCTGCACCGGACAAGTCTTCAGTAGACAAGTCTTCAGTAGACTCGCATATCCGGCCAAGAAACTGCATAGTGCATAAGCTGATCCAATCTGGGTTTCCAGCATGCGATGCGTAGAAATCATCCAGTTCCAGGACTTTGAGCAGAATCTGCTTAGCCTTGTCGGGAAAGTCATGCTTCCAGTGTAGCTCTCCCTGCAAATACATCAGTCTCCGGCAATATATGTGTCTTTGGTCCAGTCTGTCCATGTATCGTCGTAGTAGCCCCTGACAGGATTCTGCGGCAGTGTGGAAATCGTCATAATCAACACTGGCCGTTGCCATATAATATTCGAGTTCGAAAATGCTTTCGGCATCAGTGTCTTTTTGTCTCTTCATGATTTCGTACAGCAACTTGATTACCAGTTGAGAGCCTTTCCCCCGTGCCTCATAGCAGCTTAGCAATCTCAAAGTCAGCAGGATTGGATGATCATGTCCCAATAGTCTGCTAGCTAGTGCAGCTAGGTAGGAGATGATACTGTTTATAAACTGACCTGCACGCTCAATGTAGGCATTTTTGAAGTGGAATACCAAAGCCTCCAGAAGCAGTGGATGTTGCTGGCCTAGCAGGACACGCGCCTGACCGCAGAATTGTCGCACATGCGACTGAGCGCGATGATAGGCACCGGCTGTCACTGCATTCACCCCCATCGTAATGGAAAAGAAGGCTTCCTGTGGATCAAGTAGTTCGAAGGTCTCAGCGTGTTCTCTAGCGCCGTGCTTCTGAGCAACGAAGTACTCATCACTTCGATCAAGCCTCCAGGGGAAATAGTTGTTGATTGCAGCCAACGTCGATTCGAGGAGATGAGACTCTGCAGATTGTTGTAAAAGAACTCTGGGAACGGTTTGTGATCGTCGTTGAAGACCGAGCTTTTTCTGCGTTGTTCGTTGTGCACAAACAGGACGACAATCTCGGCCAGAGGACTCCTGAAAAGGGATCATCATTCGGCTTGATGACAGCTGCTCCCCGCCACCGAAGGAAGCTTTGAAATGGCGTTTGACACGCTCGAGTGGGACTTTTCGGTTGTCAATCATCGCAGTGGGAGGATTCAAACCGGCCCGGGCAAAATACCCCAGAACCGAGGCGGCGGCCTCGAGCTCCTCGAGCTTGAAGCTCTTTTTCAGACCCCATTTGGAGATCCGGTGTTTGTACATGTAGGCGCTGCGAACATCAGTGCACGTCTCGGGACTCAGGGGGCATACGTACGCTGCGTGGAAATTGTGATCTCTAGCCAAGATTGCCGAAATCCGGGGTAAGGTCAGGCGTTCACGAATGTAGAGACGCTCGAACTTGGGTCTGATGCGTTCCCATTCAGCCTCGCTCGGCGCCTTCTTCCTGCGGCGGAGTTGGTATGTCGGACGCATCTTCGTCTTACAAGATTGCAGGGACGGCAAGCCGTGGACAAGACAGAGTGGGCTGAGGTACAAGTAGGACAGGGTCAAGGTAGGAAGATCCTAGGTCCTAAGGCTAGCAGCGGTATGATGGAAAGAGACAAAAACAATGGCACATCGAAGTCAATGAAATAGAAGCGCCTCGAGACCTCGACACCGAGAGCAAAAGTCGTTATTGACCGTCCACCATACCTCATCAGGCTATCCGAATCACATCATTAGAAGGCAACCAAGAGGTTCAGCCCCAAGCGGTTGTTGCATAACGACTATTGTCGCGACCAATCATGCTTCCAAGAGGGCTCGTGTTCGCATGCGTGGCGTTGCGGGCTAGGGCACAATTGAGGCGTCGCCAGCCATTGGGCAAAGCAATCTGGCCGACAGATGCGCCAGCATTGGACCATAGAATGTGGTATACCCGAAGAGGGAGAGGCCAGAATAGCAGTGGAAATGAGGATTGAGAGGAGAAGATGATCGATATCTTCAATCGTACGACCGGACTCTCGTAAGCTTTGATAACAACTCCACAGTCTTCGCGTGAAAAGGGCTGCTCTTTCCTGCTCTTTCACTGTCCGGCGTGAAGCAACACGAAGTGGCAGCTTCCAAAGACGGTAGCTTTCGAGCAGTCCGTTGGTGGACCGAATACTGCCCTCAAACAGCTGGCAAGCACATACGCTCATGCAATGCCAATTAGTGCCCACCATGTACAAACTTACAACAGAAGCAAGATGAAGTTTTGAAGAATCGGCGGGACAAAGCGACGCAGCTGCCTCCCGAAAGTCAAATTGGGCCCTTCCCTTGCTATGTACGTCGTTGCCCGGCAGCGATCCTTAGGCTTCAAGACGTCCATCAATATCTTCCAACCAGCTGAGATCGTGGCTGGGATCGGCCGGCAGGAATTCAAGCATATCTTGCTCAGAGGCCTTCAGAAGGCTTTCGAACGTCATTTGGGACGCGAAATAGGCGTCCCCAGATAGATCATGATCAAGCACATCCAGATCCCCCGGAAAAGAAGATCCAGCTGGCTGCATATAATCCGGTTCGAAATCCTGATAATCACGGTAATCGAGACCCTCCAGCTGAACATCGTCTTGTACCTGTGATGAGCTTCCTTCGTACATTTGTCTCTGGCTCTGATCCAGCAATTTGGGGGTGGCGTCTATCTCGTTCTGCGGGGTATTCTCGTGCTCAGCAAGCTCGAGATTGTCATCCAAGTCAATATCAGCATGATATGGTTCCCAGTCAACCGCTTCATTGACCTCTCCTGGGATGGTCTTGCCGATGTGAGTTTGCCAGAGCTCCTCCTCGGCTGCTGGAACGTCGACCATGCCCAGCCTGACCAACTTGCGCAAAGCTCTGAGTTCGGTCAACAGTAAGCTTGTATACGAATGGTGCTTGCCAAGCTTCTCTGTGGCCCAGATCACCGCTCGCACGTAATATTTGTGCGCGTTCGGAAATTCTTGCTGTGCGAAATAGTAGCGAGCAAGTTCTTGGGCTGCCACCAGATAGCTGCCGATCCGGTAGCGGTCTGCCGGGTACTTCTCGCCTTGAGCCACGATCTTGGACAGGATTTCCTCGCCCTTGCGTTCGGCAATACGTTTCTCGTCTGGCTTTTCCTGTCCATCAATGCCTTTAGCCTCGTCCAGATGTGTCAGGGCAAGGTCCATCCGCATCGACAACGTATGCCTGCTTCGATCGCCCAGGGTCGACCTGTAATGGGAGAATTTCTTCTGGATCAGTTTCCTGACCGCGACAGGACCAAGCCTCGATCTGACTTTGTTGATCAGGTCCACTTCCACAGAGTGAAGATACGAAGATTCAAGTTTTACCCGACTCTTCTCCGTGTCGGCGAGGTCGACCATCACTTTCAATGCCTGCTCAGGGATGACTTCGAAGGCCTCCAAGGTACCTGCAGCTACCAAAGCGACAAAAGCATCGAGCATCCTGCTCACAGGATGTTGGAGTCCAAGGTACTCGATGGACAGGCCGCGAAGAAACTCGGCGACGGACAAAAATTCGGCAGGGTGCAAAGTCCAAGCCCTGGCTGAGAAGAGGGACAGGATTTCCTTTGTAAGATCAGGCTCCTGCATCTCGAACACCTTGGAGGCCTCACCGCGCGTGCGACGAAATTCTCGCTGTCCACTCTCTTCTTGTCCTTTGTTGAGGAGTCGTAGGCCGGTAAGAAACCCGATTCTGAGAGTGCTTGGGTCGGGTAATGTTTTGTTATTGTCTTGCTTTGACTTTGGCGACACGGCGCGGACAGGCTGAGTAAGGACTGTGCTCCAGTAGCTCTTGACTTCTAGCAGGGCCATCTCAGAATGGTGGTCAACGGGAGTCGCTTTCAGGCAAAGGCGGGAGACTTGGACATGCCACTCGGAGCCTTTTTGCAGCCACGAGCTCTCGATTCCTGATTCCTTGCGGCCATGGCGATAGACACGGTCCCAGTGAGGGTGTTTCCCATTGATCTTGATGTCCAGTGGGGCAGTCACGCCCAGGTCGACGCACTGCTTCAGGTGTGCTACGGCCGCTTCGCGCTCTTCTTTCGTATCGTTCTTCCTCAGTTTCAATTTGCTCAACCTCGTCTTCAGCACGTTAGGCCTGCCGAGCAATCAGCTGCGTTCCGGCAACAGCAATTCGAGCCTGACTTGACAACGAGCCCATGCCGGCCCGCCAGCAACTCAAGTATCTCTTTTTGACTCCGTTCCTCCTGTATATACCAGACTTCGAGCAAGGGTTCGACGAGCGCCCATTCATCTGCCGAAGGTCCTTTCTTGCGAGTTACTGTCTTGACGGCCACGCGGCCCGCGCGGATAGAAGTGTGGGTGTGCGAGCTGAGACGCGACATATTCGGGATGAAGAGGATTCTTCAAAGACAGGCAATGCTGTTTGTCACTGCCGTAGGTAGCAGCCAGACCGACGCCAGGTGAGGGGCTATTTGCGTGCAGAGACGACGAGAGGGTTACGCAGACAAACATGGCTGCTCATTTCCATGGAGACCAGGCTGAGAAGGAAGGAAACACAGCCACGGCAGGATGGTCGAGAGTTCACCTCTCCTGAGACGCGTTCAACGTGACACCAGGCACCAGGCCAGGTGATGACCCTGGGCGGCTGCGTAACATGAGCCCTGCGGTGGACGTAACGTGTTTCGCAGCAGCAACCCATTGCCACAGCTGGACAGCTGGCTGTCACCACAAGTCGCGCCCTGACCCGTGCCTCGACTTCTTTGCTCGATGGTCTTCACGTGGAGTATTACCACAATCTAAAGAACCTCACCAGCTTTTGCAGAGAAGCAACATCGCGCAAGCAACCCGCAGAGCAGCCGGCAGAGCAGCCGACACAGCAGGGGGGTGGCAGGCGTGGAGCCGGGGTATTACCTCAGCCACCCCAGGACAGCCTTGTCAGTTCGTTATGGATCAAGATCTGCAACTTCCGAGGTTATCGGACGTGTTACCTCCTTGCTCGTGTTCTGACAATGAGTATGCGAGGAACTGAGCAAATGCATATGGCAAATTTTGTATGTCCGTGGAACAAGGCAGGAATGAGCAGCGACAATGATACACAAGCAGAGCTGTTCTCGGTCTTTTAGGCAAACAAACGGGACAATATCATGAACAATCGACACTCTAAATACATTCTCCTTATGCCAAAAGAGCTACAATGCCGGCCACAATACCTGCGGCACCGAGCACAAGCTCGCCATCAAGTCGTCTCTGTCCACTGGCGGTATTTGTGCTCCCGGCCGTTGCCGTAGCAGAGCTCGAGCTGATGCTCGTTCTGCTGGCTGTGCTTGTGACGAAGCTGCTGTCAGTGCGAGCAATGGAAGCCACAAATTGGCTTTCACCTGCTGTTCCCGACAACGTTGTGACGCCGACTGAGTCGATAGAGGCTGTAGGGACGGCTCTGCTTGTGTCGTCTGTCGCACCCAAAGTGGTGGGACCAGCTGGTGTCGGAACGACAGTCTGAGTTGAGATCAATGTCACATCGGCGATAGCGGAATTCTGGTCGCCTGTGTCGCCCAGCGATAACCCGGCAACTTGGGCGAGAGTAGCGCCATTGCCGACGGCAACAAGGACATATCCAGAACCAGAACCCGGAATAGTGCCCGCTGGCACAATATATGTCCCCGTATATGAGACCACGCCAGTCGCAAGAGTCAAATCCGCGTCTGAATCGGAATTGCTGAGCTTGAGGTCGATCACGGAGGGGTCAGTATAGCTGACGGACCACAAAATTGTAATGGCCTGAGTTGGATCGATCACAGCACCTGAAGTCGGAGAGCTGAATTTTAGGGCTGAGGAGACGACGATGAGGGCTGCCATCCAACTTGACAGGTGCAAAATAAAGCGCATCGTTGCCTATAAAAATGGGTGTTCCCAGGGGACAGCTTTGATCGATAACTCGTGTTGTATGCTGATCCTCAAATGTACATTTGAAAGGACTGAAGGAGCGTTAGAAAACACAAAGGAATAAAGAGCGGACGCGCTCGCAGTCACCGAGCGCAGCACATTGGAGCTGGGTCGCTGTGAGCCGACAACGAACGCGTGAGAGCTTTCAAGTTCAGTGAACGCGAAAGGGAGTAGAGATCCAGGACCGGACACGAGTACGGAGTACTGTGCTTGAACTAATCAAACCCTGGCGAACTGGGAGCCCGTTCCAGGCAGTTGAAGCTGACAGGCCTTGCCGTTGCAAGGCGCCATCGTGGGGACTGGGCTCCTCAGTTCGGGAAGGAAGAAATAGCGCCGGCTGGAAATCTGGGCAGGGCACGGCAGGGGTCGCCTGATAATGTCCACTGCACGGCTACATCATACTTCAGCCTTGTGGGATATCATATTTACTCGATTCCCCGTGCTTTGTCTACTGAGCGGGTGCTACGCTAGATGAGACTAGGGCGGCTACTTGATGAAGGATGCCTATTATTCTGTAACCAGGGTGCCGTACGGCTATTCAGCTTTGCTAGTTAACTCCTCAAGCACAAGTCAGTGTATACAAATTGTACCCTTCAGAGTCCGATTTCATGTCGTAACAAGGTGGCTCACATAAGGATAATATGCCTCAGATCCAGTCGCCCAGCACAATACCAAGACCATCATCATACGATTCGAGGCTAAAGGTCAATCAGACTACCACCCTGTTGTCCCGTCGGCCGGGCGCCAAATGGGTTGTTGTTTTGCTGCCCATAGCCACCACCAAACCCGCCTGCAGGGCCAGTCTGAGCAGGCACTTGCCCAAAACCAGTCGCCTGCGATGAGAAGAACGGATTGGTGCCAGTCTGTGCAGCACGAAGACGGTCCAGTCCTTGTCCAGCTGAGTTGACAAATGTTCCAGGTGCGGTATGTTGAGCAGGAATACGCAAGTCACCGGTGTTGCCGAAGGTGTCTTGCCCTTCACCCGAAGCCAACAAAGCATTAAGTTTCGCATGTTGAGGGTTGGCTGGCTTCTGTTGTTGCTGGAATGATGGTTGCGGCGAAGAGTAGTTTGCGATCGGATTCTGTAGTGAGGGCTGAGCAAACTGAGCGGTTGGTTGCGACTCGTACAAGGTTCCCAGTGGAGGCTGGGTGCTCGGACGAGCGAACGGCGAAGGGGATGGTTGCTGCGTCTTCTGCGCGAAAGGATTGTTCGAGCCAGTGGGCAATGGCTTCAGTGTATCGGCAGTCTGCGTTTGCGTGGCCCAAGGATTGTTGGTCCCAGGTTGGAGGGAAGTCTGTTGAGGTGACTGGACACCGAACAGGTCCGTGGAAGACTGCACGCCATACGGGTTGTTGGGTTGAAAAGCTGTCTGCTGGGGCTGGATTGTGTTCTGTTGCTGAAGAAACGGTTGCTGTCCAAACTGATCGTACCCCGTGGGTTGAGCTGGTTGGAACCCGTTGGCAAAGCCGTTCTGAAAGCCAGTTTGTTGTGGTTGTGCGTACTGATTATTCAGAAAGCCAGTGCTTTGAGGTTGTTGCTGAAGAGGGTTCCCAAACCAGTCAACCGCCGGCTGTTGTTGGTAACCTTGGTTGTAGCCAGTGGGTTGACTCTGTGTTGGCGCTGGTTCTGGGGTGTCGTCGAACAGTGAAGCAGCATTTTGTTCCTCCAGCTGCCTTCTGCGTAGGTCGGCCTCTTCTTGACTGAGCTGAATCGCCTTCCTGAATTCGGGGTCTTGATCCTCGTTATCATTACGGCTTTGCCGCTCCTTCAAAGCCGCAAGCCGAGCTTCTTCTTCGCTCAATGCCACAGCTCTTGCAAAATCGTCGTCTTCCTGGCGACGAGCTTGATCGTGCCTTTCAGTGTTTCTTCGAGGTGGCTGGGACGGCCCCGAAATGGCTTGGGGCGCATACTCGTCTATGCCCGTAACGCGAGTCTTCCACAACTTCCGATCGGAGCGCTCGCTGCGGAGGCGTTCTTCATCGAGAATGAGAGAAGTCAATTCTTTGGCAGATGTTCGGACTACGTTGAATTAGCAACCTTCACAGATCCAAACTGTCATTAAGGCTCACCATTCTGTCCCACGTCTCTCCCATCCTCATCAACATATTGAAACTCCCTAAGTGTCTTGATGATGTAGATGTTCTTTCTCGCCCAGGTAACCACCAACTCTGACCCTTCATGCAGAGCATAGTCGAGGACCTTCAAAGACTTCAAGACATGTCGCCAATTTTTGCCCTTGTCATTCAGTCGCTTGTCGAGCATGTCCATGATCTCGTAGAAATCGCTCGGGCTAGGTGATATTTGTTAGTGCAGGCGAGGCCGTGCAGTCAGCCGAGCCTTACTTGTTGAAGGTGAGGGCCGCAATCTCAGCCATATCTGTGCCTGTCGGGCCCCATGGGTCATTGGAGGTAGCTGATATTCACGTGTTAGTCTTCAAACGGAGTTGAGTTCGAGCGGACACCTACCATTTCGCACCTTGACCTGCACACTGCTATACCCCTTCGTGATGTTCTTGACATTTCTCACGACCTTCGACATACTGCCTCCTTTTCTGTAGATGGGCGCGGTCTCGAACAACGATCCTCTGTATATGTTCTCAGGCGAATGCTGACTGCGGTTGACGCGGGCTTGCGCAGATCGAAGTTCGTCGGAAACGCCGACGACGGTTCGGCGACGAGAGGGCGGGACGTCAAACGAGCGGCTAGGCGTTTCAGTGACCGAATAGCTGCGGCCGTTGCGATCGGTCACTCTACGCACAGTGGGGAGGTTTTGATAAAGAAGAGGCGAAGCGAAGAATGCCAGTTTGACGGGCGGGTAGGATAATTCCCGCAGTCGCCTTAAGGTTAGCTAGGGTGGTGAGGAGGTTAACGTAATGTGGGCGGCAAGCAGGTGCCCGGGAGGCCTGTGCTGGCTTTGCTTCGGGCGGCTGGCGGAAGCTGGAGGCTGCTGACGATGATGACCGTCGCGTGGATCGTCAAAGCTTGCGGTGACAGCGTGGCGCAGTGCAATTACTAGTGGCTGGTGCTGGAGACGATCCACTGATATGCGATTGATTTCCTAATTCCTAACGAGCAGCGACAAGGCGAGATGTCTCAGGCAGAATTCATATAGTATTCAAGAAGGAGCAGAGCTGCTCAAGAACGAACCGCTGATAAAGAAACGGCAAGAGGAATGCTTGAGGAGGAGGAGCAGTCCATGTGACCCAAGCTCGGTCGCTCTCCTCTTTCTCGCGAGCGACCGATCATTGGCGTCGAGCTGGCAGCCGCGTCAATAGCTTCCACTGGCACGCACTGGGCAGCTCGCAGCTCGCAGCTTGTCAGCGACGAACCGACGGTTCCGGGGCGCACGGCGGGAGCCACGAAACCAACGCAACGCACAACAGCCTGGGAAAGGGCGCGCCATCAACAACACACCATACCGAAAATGCCTCGCGCACCTTCACACCGTTCGTCTCGCGCCACGCCTGCCACAACGCTGAAGACGAGCTTGGCCGCGGCGATGGCGCTTCCTCACTTCCGGACGAGCTCCCCAACGTCGAGCAGTTTCGCGTGCTTAATCTCCGCTCCATCGATGTTGTTCCTGATCTGACTGTACTTCTGGAATCCTTCCGTGTTTGCAAACTTGTCATGGTGCTCGACACTGTCCCAGGCAGTGAACAGCACGAACTCCTCTTTTCTGTTCTCACCCTCGGCTGATGGGTCATACCCATTATCAATTCTCCATCCCCCAACCACCTTTTCTTTTCCAACGAAGGACTCCAATTCGTATCTCGTGGCCTCAAATGTGCTTTTGAACGCTTCCTTGTCGCCATCTTTTACGAAATGCCGCACAATCGCGACCATGTCTCGACTCAATGGCAGAGGATGTGTAACTTGGTCGATATCCAGATGGAACATCCAGTCCACAGTCAGTTGATCTTTGAGCAGAGCTAGCAGCTCTTGGTTCGGCTGACTGGAGATGAAGTCCTGCATATGGAATTCGACTGAAGGCCATGATCCGAGGATGAAGATGACCCTGGGATCCTCCACGCAGTGGTAACACCAGAATTCGAACCCACTGGCCTCCTTCATTGCCTCCTTTGCTTTGGCCAGGTTCGTCAGTAGAGCTGGGGATGAAGCCTCAGTGCCCGACTGGAGGCTGAGGCGCGCCAGCTCGGTGACCGGCATGGAGGAATAGGTTTCGGATAGCTCTATTGAGACGATAGTGGTCTTACTCGGGCACGATGAGAAAGTCGCGCCACAAATGTAAGCACGAAGTGCTGCTGTTCATGGTTTATATGTTGAAGCCTCGTCAGACAGCTTCTGCCTAACATCTCCACTACCCACGTTGCGTACCTCATCTCAGGGCCGCCTATTCAACGCACTTTACCAAAATAGAAAGCAAATAGTGACAAGAAGCAGTACCGATATAAACGATAAGCACGGTTTCACGCTCCTCTACCACCCTACCAACAACGGCAACAGCTAAGCTTGGCATAGGGATACAAGAGCACACGTTGCTGGCGGAATGCGACGCGACGCTGAATCATACTGGTACATTGGCTTTTTCTTCTAGCTCAAGAATATGCACGTTAGGGTGATCGAGCGCAATAGTGATCATACTCTGTCAGGGGGTGTGTTGTTGACTCTTCGGCTCAACACAACGTATCACTCACCTCAGTCCGGATGGATCATACTTCAATTCAGCGGATCGCTCGACAAGCCCTTGTATCTGTCAAGCGGAAAGAGCGTTATCCCACGCCTTGCCTGCAGGAGACATTGCTCCTTCAGCGTAGGGAGGAAGGGATCTTCCACCTCAGCTGATTATCTGAGCGGAAAAATAGGGGTAAAGAGTTCCTCTGCTGACAGCCAACTCTTGACGATAGCACGTTAGAAGGGGACTTCCCCGGCTAGACCTCTGTCGAAGGCGGTTCTATGGTTGCTAGCATGTCTACCCTCAATCCACACACGCCAACCAACCATGCTGGACAAATCAACGTGGAAAGAACTGCCTTGGGCAGCCTTGATTCAAACAAGGCTTCGTCTCAGACCAAGTTGAGCAACGATGCAATTGTCACGACGCAGTCATCCGTTCACAGGAAGGCCATTATTAATGCTGGATTCTGTTCTGGGCCCACTCCTACCTCGTCCTGGTCCGCCCTGGGATTCAATCGGCTATTAGAGGTACGCATCCGAGTATTCCTGTCGAAGCCTCAGCCGATCGATTTCCGACTTCGGGACACAACCTCTTACGACGTTACGCCGGAAACTGAAGTTGGAAAGACGTGTTAACTCGCGGGCGGCAACCTTAAACGTAGAGATGTGCCTAGGATTTTCTCCTCGATGGTGTCGACCTCATGGTGGTAGTCAAGCGAGAGGCTGGACCTCTGAAGTAACGCAAATCAATGAACAATCCCATCACCACGACAAACAAATAGTTCTGGACAAAAGCTGCTACAGCGTCGAGGCAATGACGGTCCTCTATGCTCAGATACAACATCAACTTCTTCAACTGAATCCTCTTTCAGCCGCAGAATCTCGCTGTATTTGTCAATCGTTTCTGCACGACACGGCCAAGTCCGGCAAAGATGACTTTGTGAGTTCCAGCGTCAGCAATCTGAAGAAAGAGTCGCCTTAGGTAATAGCGAAGATCCATCATCATTTTCTTGCTCGCCTGTCCGGGTCGAGTACAGACAATCGCCGTGAGTGACGGAACCAGATGTTGTCAGACTCAACTTAGAATCTCTCTGTGTGTATACATACACTCAGACGAGTTTAAGAAGCCCCAAAAGGCAGCGTACCGAAGGGGCGAGAAAGATATCTCACCTCGGCCTGCACAATGGACATATCTTGGTGATTTCTTTGGCCGAGCCATGGAAAATGCGATCACAACTCAGAGGCCGAGGCGTACCTCCAAGCACATGACTACAAACCAGCAAGGCAAGGTGTAAATGTTCCTCACCTCAATACGTATATAGGGGTCTCCAACCGAGTAAAGTCGTCGACTATTCGAACAGTCATCAAAACATTAACGATGGTAAAAGGCATTATCATATCTGTGTCAATATGTACAGTTCCATTATTATCACCTATATTTCCCGCCTATCATATACTTGCCCATTATAAAGGCCAGTCTCTCTAATTAGCTATCCTGCACCGAGCCAGGGGTCATCTCATAGTAATGCAATGCCCCCTTGGCCTTCGCACAGGACGTGTTGGGACTCGTGGCATTGACAGGGACGGTATTCCCCTCCTGAGGACGTCCATAAGCCTATATATTCAATGACTCTCGTTAGTAAAATGTAATCTCAATACCGGGTACACCCTCGCTGGCAAAGAAACACGGACAGAAGGGGCCGAACTCACATGCATGTAATACCAGACCTCGCTGACGACGGTGCGTCCGCTATCGGTACTATTCTCCCTCATGCCTTGTTCCGTGGTGTTATATCTGGGACCACTGCAGCCCACGTACGGCACGGCACCGTATTTTTTCGTCAACTGGCCCTGGATGTCCGCGAGCGTGTACGTCGTCGAGTTGCTGGGCACGATCTTGGCCTCCTTGAGCCACCCCCACGTCGGCAACCGGCGGTAATACTTGATCGCGGTCTCGAAGAACTCGATCACGTCCTGGTGTTCGACGTATTGGGGACCGTAGCAGGGCAGGTCGAACGTCGAGAAGCACGTGGCGTGCTTGGAGAACTCGTGGCCCCAGAAATCAGTGTTCGGCGCGCCCTGGTTGACCCAGTACTTGTCCATCCACTGCAGGAGGTCGTAGCGGCCGAATTCTTCGATGAACGTGCCCACGTCTGGCCCGGTATACGGCGGGACGACGGTTCCGTTGGGGAGGCCGTTCGTCGTGTTTGGCGCTGGGACTGGATCGTATTGTCGAGACAAGTCGCAATACTGCGTGTATGACCCGTTACAGAAGTCCGGCCATAATCTATTAAATGGATTAGAATGGTTGTCATGGTATGAGATGGGTTGGTGTCTGAGTGGTGGGTGGAAGAAGAAAAGAACCGTTGAGAAGGGAGAAGAAGGGGGGGGGGCGGCTTTTGCGGCGCGTGGACGGAGATGCCGGAGGTCAACCCTACCCGTGGAGTGTCCATGTATTGGCGGGCAGTTTTTGACCTTGCGTCTCAAGGCCAGTGTAAGTGCTCCAGAACTGAGTGGACAGGAGGAGGCCGCCGTAGGTCTCTGTACAGCACGAGTCCACCAGGTTGGGCTGAGCTTGAGCTGAGCAGGAGAGGGCGAGCGGGTCTGGATTCTTCATGTTAGATCTGTTGGAGGTCATTGCGAACTTCCATGGACACAAAGGCACTTACCAAGGATGCAAGTGTGGTTTTCGGTAGTCTCGCCGTACAGTGAAGCTTGCGCTGCGCTCGTCAGGGCGGCAGCCAAGGCAAGATACCTCATGGACGCCATTGCTGCTGATTCGCAGCTCACAAGGGCGCAGAGAGGATCGAGGGACAAACGACAGACACAGGACGCAATCCCCGGAGCAGCAACTTGAGAGGCGAGCAAGACCTTTATAAATCTCACATAGCTAAGCTCGGGCGAGCTGCAGCTCCCACGTTGCTCGCCTACTCACCTACCTGGAGCTTGACCATCGGATCAGAGGCTCGAAAAGGGCATCTCGTCTGCAGAAGGCCGTCATACTCCTCCCCACAGTGGCGGAGAGAGAACCCGCAGCTTGCTCTTTGGACGAGTCGGATGGTCAGATCGGAGCACCTGCGCAAAAAGTAGATCGGCGTCGAGGGCAAGAAAAGGAAGGCAGCTAACGATGCAGGAATATGTACGAGTACCGGGTACATGAAGGAATGCATGTAGTTAGCAGGGTTGCACTAGACGAGGGTACCTGCACTTGACTGTTGATCGCGTGCAGAAATGATTGGTAGAGATAGATATAGCGAGTAGCGATCGGAGTCGAACCAGATGGAACCACCAGAAGAATGAACGATGATAGGAAGCGACTCGTCTGGAAGCGGGTGATGCAGGCTTTGGGCCCATCAGTGGATTCTCCATAAGCACTGGCTCGGACCTCGCCGACAGCACAGAACGAAATATCAAGTGGCCCAAGACCCGAGATTGACGGAGCGTGCAGTCGCGCAATGGCCGCTCAGAATGGGATTCATGGTCATTCCCTTTCCAATACGAGTATATGGGTACAGATCAATCGCTAAACGCTGAATCAATTAATCGAGAGCAACACAAATCTCTCGAGGCCTGGCCAATCAAGTGACGAGCCTCATTCATCAGGGCGATAATCCGTCTGTCCAAGCATTTCATGCCCCTTTGGCAGATCAGGCGCGCTGGCGGTGGTAGGTTGTACTTGGTTTCGAGCAGCAGCCGCATTGAGGCGCTCATCCAGAGCCTTGAGGGCCAGGGCTCGTCGGCGCTCTGCCTCTTCACGCTTGCTGATGCCTCTTGCGCCGCGTGCTTTGTTGAAACTCGGGAGGCCAGCCTCACCTCTCGCGGCAGCCTGTTCATTCCCGCTTGCAATTTCTTCGTCGGAAAAGGGCGTGCATAATTTCAGGTTGCAAAGCAGGATGTATATCTGGTTGCAGAAAGCGGCAATCGGCGGCTGGACCACGTCTGGAAAGAACGTCGCAAAGGCAAACGTCTCGCTTGCGTCACCCTTCAGGCCTTGGCCATCCGTGGTCGAGCCCGAAATGTCGGGCTGGCGTTTGTAGAACCGCAGATATGTCCAGGTCGTAATCAGACCGTACCAAGCGAGGAACAAGGCAACGTCGGTTCCTAGTATCAGGCCCGAGAGAGTGTTGAGAGCGAGGAAGACTGCCGGGAAATGCTTGACTCGCATCTTGATCATGCCTTTGTATATGCTGACGGTATGCTCGGGAACGAGCTGCTTGAAGGCGACCAGGAACGCTGCTTGCGTGGATATGCCTCCTGTGATTGGGGTCAAGGCTCGCTCAGGATTTCCACTCAAGGCAGCCCATGTAATGTAGGTCACAACCATTATTAGGTTGGGTATCACGGACGACATGAGAATGACATAGACGAAGCCCCGACTTCCCCATGCTCTTTCAAGGTATTTCCCCCCAAAGAAAATGTTGATGCCATTGACGAGAAGCGTCAGGATGTTTTGTTCGACAAAGGTTGCGCTGAGAAATGTCCACGGGTACCATATGCACTGAGACGGAACCAGCGCTAGATATGGCACGGTCGGAGGTGGGGAGGGAGATGTGCCGCTGGGGTCCTCGCGGCTGGGGCTGTTTGACGACAGCCTCCATCGGGCGATGTTGTAAAGAAACGACAGGGCGACGATAGTGGCAAGGAGGACCCGCGTGATCGGAGGAAGGTTGATTCGAAGAGCCATTGCACGAAATGCTCGCTCTGCTCATATCATGGTGTGTCGAGAGGCGAAATGGTGGACTACACAGTGTCTGTGACGAAGACACTGCAAACACAGCGGTGGTGGTGATTTACTGCGATGCAAGAACCAGACCAGGCGAAACAGGTTCGCAGGATTCACGAGAAGCCGGAGATTTTCTGCCGGGGGCGCGACGAGCGTGGCTCTCCAAGCCTAGCCGCCTAGCCGCTCCCCAAAGTTCGCGCAGTGGCAGACACGATGCAGGGGTACCGTACAAGGCACAAGGTCTCAATCAACGAATGATAATGAGTCTTACCACTGGGAAGGACAGCAGGTCACCACAGCCAGAATTGTAGCCTGCAGTGTTGGAGAGAATCACGCGCGACAAGCGACGGCATCGCCACCCTCGTCGTCGCTATCTCCAGTAGTACATACTCGTACTGCCATTACGAGAGAGACCCGAGAACGAGTACTCGTACCAGTAGGGCAATCGTCAAGCTCAAGGGCCAGTCGATCTCGTGCCTCGGGTGCAAGGCAGGCTGGACATGAAACTCGCAGAAAAAAGCACCAACGTGGCCCACCGACGACGCCCGCGGCTGGGATTGGCTGCCCAAGGGGCCCTGAGTTGCCAACCCACCGGCACCACTGGCACCACTGGCACCACTGTCACTGACTGCACATCATCCCCATCCCGTTGCGGTGCCTTCTCTCATCTCCATCACCACTTTCGATCCAAACACGTCCCAATTTTTATCGACAACCGCACGGCTTTCTTGTTGCTTTCGATCTGTACAATACTTTCGCCGACCCGTGGCCTGACAAACTAATACACGCTTTACCACGGATTTCGACAGGCTGGTAGCTTGCGCCCACCTCGACACCCATTTTCTTGGTCCCGGTCCTTTCATCCTCATTTCTTCGCATTTAGCCAGGCCAAACAGTCAAGATCAGCTTGCGCATCGTCCCTGCTAGTCGGAAGAGCGGTCTCGTCGGCTGGATCTTTCGAGCCCGGTGCTTTAGCCCTCTCACCATCGCTGTTGTGGCCGATTCGTGTCCTCAAAGTGCTTGTCTGCTTGGGACACAAGAGCCCCTGCTCGATATCGCCCCAAGAGCGGAATGTCGGGATGGAGGCCGACAATGCATCAACCTTCAGCGCAAAGCCACCCCCACTCAGTTCGGATCAGCTGAATTATCTCATATGGAGGTGCGCGCACTTTGAAACGTCCGTTTTCGATGCCGTTCAAGTTACTGACCTCTGGCTGCAGATACCTTCAAGAGTCAGGTAAGCCTGGCACGGGACCCACCACGCCTGCAGCGCTAAACCAAACTGTGTAGGCTACGCTGATGCCGCTGTCAAGCTCCAGCGAGACTGGAGAGTCGATGCAGAAAGCCTCCCCTTCGCAAAATGCGTCAAGGGCCACGCACTCGTCTCTCTCGTTCAGAAGGGTCTTCGTTATCACCATCTGTCCCTAACAATTGATGAGGTATAATATCTGTCTCCGTGCAGGCAGGAACACACTCCCGCTAATCCCGTTGTAGAATGGCCGGCCATCGAAACAGCTCAACCCGTCAATGTTCTTCTTCGGCCCCGAGAGCGAGAAGCCTCCACTAGAACTGCCTGAAGAAGCACTTCCTTCGACGCCTTCGCCGCACGATTCACTCATTGCACCTCAGAAGCAAACCCGCGATCCCGCTGCAAATGGACTTGTGTCTCTACCTGTGGCTACCCAGCTTGCGCCGAAGAGAGGCCGAAAGACGGCCGCCAGCTCCGAGCGCAATGGAAGCGCTACCCGTAAGCCGTCGGCCTCTGCCAATCGTGCTGCCAATACCTCTGCGATGGATGTTGACATGGTGAACGGTCACGTTTTGCCCATTTCCGATGCTAGATCGCCCACTGCAACGGATCTCGGGCCCGACGACGCAGGCCCATTCATGAATGGGATCAAGGCTGACGAGCGTATGGATGTCGATGAGGACTCACTGGTCGCAGATCAACATAATCACGAGCCGCAGATCGAAGTCGTACCACCGCCGACTCACACTTTACTCATCGGGGAAAGCAGGGGCGTCCAGGTCACACCTGCCAAAGTTGTAAACCTCGCGCAGTCGAGCACAATTTTCAATCTGCCCCCACCTACGGTTGGCGATGTCCCAAGATCTCTGACCCGGGTTACTTGGCAACCTAGCGCCGGCAATGCCTTGACTGCGATGGGCGATGACTTCTGCGGAATCTGGGACATTACCCCGGGGTCTCCAACTGCTTCCACGTCTCGCTTTCAGGAACTTGTGGACTCAACTGGGCAAAAGCTGATAAGTGCCGTCGCCTGGGAGCCACATGGTGATATGATAGCAATCGCAACATACACCAATTTGTCCGGTCACATCTTTGTATTCGATGGACAAGAACTCTGTATGGTTGAGGATTTGACCGCATCACAAAGGGCAGTGACGAGCATGATCTGGCAGGCTCAAGGCTCCAGCCTGTTCGGCCTTGCACCCTACGATTCCGATGACATCTCCACGACCAAAGCTGCTGGTTCGTCAATCATCCAGTGGCACCACAGGAACTTGCCTGCTGAAGTAGAATTGTCGACGGTACGGGTTCCGGAAACTTTGATGGACATGGACGGTGCATTTCTTGACGAAACTGGTATTGTTTGTGCAGCAGGCCAGAACTCGGTCTATTCCTTCCGAATATCCCCGGCTCTTGGTATTGAGCAGAAGTGGACGTCCGACCCTACAGCAAACGACCAGTGGACCTTTGTCAGATGCACTCTACGGTGGGGAACGAGCCCGTTTCTGGTGGCCGCATCAGCTGAGACTGGGACGCTGTGGATGCCAACACAGAATTTGTTCAAAAGAGGCGCACATGAGGCGCATATTACCGGCCTAGAACTTCGACCTCGGCCAGCGACTCCGTTGAATGCTTCCTCGCGACAGGAATTTGCTACGTCCTCAATGGATGGGACCATCAAGGTCTGGCGCTACGACGACGACAGCAATTCTATCACTTCGGTCTGCAAGCTCATTGTCGGCCATGGCTCGCCGATCATGGCGTTGTCATACTCGCCGGATGGCTTCTGTCTGGCGGGAGCCAGCTATGATACTGTCCGTATTTGGAATAGTGAACATGATCACAATCACATGGCCTCATGGAAGGATGAACAGAATCTGTGGAATGGCTCGAAACTAAAAGATGACGACATGATGAGCACGGGAGGCCGGTCCAGCGTGAACGGCGATGCCTACCAAGTGACTGCTGACCATACATTGGCGTGGGATGGTGACAGCAAGAAGCTTGCATTCGGACTAGGTTCACAGGTAAGTCCCTAGGGCAAAGCGATCGTCTCAAGGTTGCCGGACTGACATACATAGGTCGCTATCATCAACTTTGAACGCTGAAAGTCACCCTAATAACCGGTTGTCTACTCCTTACGACATTGTGCTCAAGGACCTGCAGCCGGATGATACACTTTTGTATCAGCACTGACCTGGAGTACCAAACCACCCATGGTCACTGCCAATCGACGATTGTCGGGCTTCCAACAACGCGGAACGGGCACCCTCGTCTCGTAACGAGCAACAATGAGTAACCATCGGCTGAAATGAGCAACTTGAGATTAGTTGAGGCTGTACGGTTATCTGCCTCTTGAAGTACTCCTGGCTTTGTTAATCATGTACTAGTGGCCGTCTCGAAATCGCCCCAGTCGTCCTCGAGGATCCTCGGAGTGGTCTGCTGCTGTTTTCCACGAGGATTTTGAGCAGAGCCCTGAGCCGATCTCAACTCTTCCTCCACGTCACGAAACCCTCGAAGCCACGCCGTAACACCCTCGTGTAGAGCCTTCGGATCGGCGGGGACACCAAGACCAAAATCCACCGGCTTTTCTACGGGCTCGTCCGCGTAATAGCGACCGCGAAACCTCCCTTTCCCTCGGTAGACTATCCTCGGAGAAGCAGCCGACCTCTTTGGAACGGGAGAGCCATTAACATATCCCTCCAACCCTGACACGGCGCTCGACATCGCTTTGATCGCAATCTCCTTCCTGGCACACTCGGACTGTGCATTGTTCAATTGGACATGGAGCACCTGGTTTTCCTGACTTAAGGACTGGTTGTCTTCCTTGAGGCTTGCCATCTCTTTGCCAAACTCGCGCAGGCGGTTTTCCTGTTGGATACACCTTTGTGCGACTGCTTCTAGCTTTTCGGTTGTCAGCTGATGCAGGTGGCGCTGCTCTTGTTGTCGCATGCGCATTGATTCAACACTAGCGGCCAAGGAAGTCCGGATCGATTCAAGATCGCTCACTATGAATGGGGTTGTGGGAGGCTCCGGTGTGATTGGTGACCGAGTGGGATGGGTCGTTTCTGCTTCGCTACTCTCCCCCGACAGCGAGTCGTTCTCCAATGCGGCCTCGATCGCCTCTACAGCCCTTGTGATTTGCCTTCTTTTCTCGCCTCGAATGCCGCCGTCTTGCTCGGAGGCCCAGATTTCAGATACCAAGCCGCTGAGACGATCTGCAATTGCGTGCTCCTTGAGCGCATTTTCTGAATCAAAAGGATATGTCTCTTTCTGGGTTGCGGGCGTCTGGACGCTGATTGCCGAGTCCGCAAACAGAGAGTTGGTCGTCCAAGAAGAACTCGGTCTCGTTGGCGAAGTGCAGCGGTTAGCGTCGACCAGACTGTCAGCGAGCGACATGTTTGCTGATGCGGGAAGTTGAGTGTTCCTTGCCAAAGGGCGACATCCGAAACAGCGGAAATAATCGTCGGCCTGATATATATTCTTGGGTCGTGTTGATCCAAGTGGTTGACCAGAGCAGCCTGCGAACACCTAACAGTATGAACGGAATGCGGACTGATAGCGCAGGCGGTGGCCTGGCGGAGCGAAATGCAGGTTATGGCTGAGTTCCAGGTGGCTGGTGCATGAGCATGATTGGCTGAATTGAATTTGTGGGGAGTACCACGCTAGGCCCTGGGCCGGGCATCTCCCGAAAACATTCGAGGAGCACTTCAAAATCAGAAAGCGGTGACATGACTCAATTCGTGCTTACCACAGATCCTCCTCTACAGTACAACCGTACAGCGATGCACATCCATATGCGAAACCCCATAAATTACTGCTGATGGGATGCCTAAGGATCAAACTATACTGACCTGCTCTGCCCTGAGCTTCGTATAAATTCGCAACCCATATCACCTGCTCTGGCGTTGACCCCTCCATGGTATTTCGTACTCGCAAATACGCTCGTTCTGTCCATGGCTCACCTTCGCCAGGCACAAATCCTACCGTCCCTAGAGGATGTCTCCTCTATCCTCTCCAAGTCCAGATCGTCCGCACATCCTCCCAATCTTGTCCCCTTGTGTGCACAAATCCCCGCCGACCTGTTCACACCGACACAAGCATATTTGAAAGTGTCTGAGGGCGCCAAACTCTCGTTTCTGTACGAAAGCGCTGCAACATCAGGGACTATCGGACGGTATAGTTTCGTGGGAGCCAACCCTCTCAAGGTCATCAAGTCCGGCCCAGGCCATGGCCCTGAAGAAGACCCTCTTCCGCGGCTGGAGAAGGAGTTGGCACAATACCGTGTTGCGAGTGTACCATCGCTACGGCTGCCCCCCTTGACTGGAGGCGCGATTGGCTATGTCGGCTATGATTGTGTGCGGTACTTTGAGCCCAAGACGGCTCGACCCATGAAAGATGTCCTCCAACTGCCCGAGAGCTTTTTCATGCTCTACGACACAATAGTCGCCTTCGATCACTTCTTGAATGTCTGCAAAGTCATCACATATCTTTATGTACCGCCAGCAGAGTCCACAACCGACCTAGAAGCGGCTTACGCAAAGGCCACGGAGCGACTGAAGAAGACGATTGCGACACTACAAGCTGAACACATGCCCCTTCCCAACCAACCACCTATAGTCCAAAATCAGCCTTTCAAGTCGAATATCGGTCAGGCTGGCTATGAAGCGCACGTTACCCGGCTCAAGAAGCATGTAAACAAAGGCGATATTATCCAAGCCGTGCCTTCTCATCGAATAGCACGACCCACCACGCTCCATCCTTTCAACATTTATCGGCACTTGCGCACAGTCAACCCCTCACCTTACCACTTTTACATAGACTGCGAAGATTTCAGCATTGTGGGCGCTTCGCCAGAGCTGCTCGTCAAGGAAGAAGCTGGTCGGATCATCACCCATCCCATTGCTGGTACTATCAGACGGGGTCACACCTTGGAAGAAGATGAGAGACTGGCCGAGGAACTGCGTAGCAGCATCAAAGACCGTGCCGAGCATGTCATGCTGGTAGACCTCGCTCGCAACGATATCAACCGTGTCTGCGATCCACTGTCCACGACGGTCGACAGACTGATGGTTGTAGAAGGATTCAGCCACGTTCAGCACCTAGTCAGCCAGGTTTCAGGCGTGTTAAGAGAAGGCGAAAACAGGTTTACAGCATTTCGAAGCATTTTCCCAGCCGGGACTGTCTCCGGCGCACCAAAGGTGAAGGCGATGGAACTCATCGCCGAACTAGAGCAGGAGAAACGAGGTGTCTATGCTGGCGCAGTTGGCTACTTTGGCTTTTCACACGTTTCGACCGATGGCTCGAAGATTGAGAATGAGGGCGCCATGGATACGTGCATTGCGCTGCGAACCATGGTTGTGAAAGATGGCGTGGCCTATCTGCAAGCTGGTGGTGGGATAGTCTTTGACAGCGTCGAAGAGGACGAGTGGGTAGAGACTATGAACAAGATGCGCGCAAATATTCGCACTATTGAGCAGGCAGAACAGAAATACCTGCAGCTAGAACAAATAATGGACGGGAAGAAGCCTGCTGGGTATGTCAACGGCGTTTCTAGATAGAATCGGCAACGCATCCAAGCATCCATTTTGGATACTGGAGCAACTCTTTGAAGTGGCTTCGGCAGAAATCGCGCTGGTCGGGATCGTTCTGTGTAAGAGTAAGGTACCGACGGAGTACCTACCGAGGTAGGTACCGACGGAGTACCTACCGAGGTAGGTACCTAGTACTCCGTACTCAGTCCTGCAAAAGGTTCAGTAATGGGTCTGGCCAATCAGACAAGACTACCATTTTGGGAATGGACAAGCACTCACTTGAGCTAACTTGAAACTAACTAGCTCAGGCGCCAAGAGAGCACCACCCACAGAACTTTTCGGATTTGAGATTGCAGCTGCGCTTTCACCATCAACATCTTTGACACCACCTCGACAACCCTCAACCGCTGATATCTGTCAAGGCTTTTCGACAGTCTTGACAGCCCCGTTCAGCAAATCCCGGCAAGATGAAGTTGAACGTTTCCTACCCGGCCAATGGGTCGCAAAAATTGATCGAGATCGAAGATGAGCGCAAGCTGCGCGTCTTCATGGAGAAGCGCATGGGCAACGAAGTGCCAGCTGACAGCCTGGGTGATGAATGGAAGGGCTACGTACGATGATCCTGCACCTGGAAATGTCGTAAAGGGGCACGCTGACGAGTCCGCGTGAAACAGATCGTCCGCATCACCGGCGGTAATGACAAGCAAGGCTTTCCCATGAAGCAGGGTGTCGTACGTACTACCATCCCCTAGCTTGGTGAAAGCGCCAGCGAAATCTCGAAGAACAAAATTCGCTGAGACTTGATTCATTCAGATGCTCCCGACTCGTGTCAAGCTCCTCCTCGCCGACGGCCACTCCTGCTACCGACCCCGACGGACTGGTGAACGCAAGCGCAAGTCCGTCCGTGGCTGCATTGTCGGCCAGGATCTTTCCGTCCTCGCTCTCTCCATTGTCAAACAGGGCGAGGGTGATATCCCGGGTCTTACGGATGTGGTCAATCCCAAGCGCCTCGGTCCCAAGCGTGCCACCAAGATTCGACGATTCTTCGGTCTAAGCAAGAACGACGATGTTCGGTATGGCCTTGTCCGACGAAATCGTTCTACATTATGCATGTGCTAATCTATACTCTGCAGCAAATTCGTCATTCGCCGCGAAGTGGTCCCCAAGAAGGAAGGCGCCAAGCCGTACACCAAGGCTCCCAAGATCCAGAGACTCGTCACCCCTCAACGCATGCAACACAAGAGACATCGCATTGCCCTGAAGAGAAGACGCGCTGAGGCCGCCAAGGATGCTGCGAATGAGTATGCTCAGTTGCTGGCCAAGCGTGTGCATGAGGAGCGTGAGAAGAGAACTGAGCTGAGGAAGAGACGTGCCTCTTCCATGAGGAAGTAGACGTGCGGCCACCCGGATGAGATGGCATATTGACGGATACCGGTCGAGTGATGCTTCTACCAGGCGCTGGTGGACACGTTGCAGCCAGGAGCGTGGTCACGTGAGTGTGCATTCGATGCACAAGTGCCCCTAAGCAACCGGCAGCATGTGCTGAGATGACTGGTTTGGGGATGGGGCCATGGACGATGGAGTGTTGTGCCGTGTCACAGTGCGATTGACGGAGACGGCCTGTTCAATCCTGTTCATTGCAAGGGTCGTGGGACGATTAGATCTAGTCCAATTAACTGGTCGAACTCACCAAAAGAAAAGAGCCAGCAATCATCATCACTCCTGCTGCCATCCTGTCCCTGCGCCTCTGCATCATGCCTGATCCTCTCATCTTGCCCGTCTAGAGCCCATCCATCACCGCCTCCATTGGCAAAACATTCGCGTACAGTATCGCAGACGTCGTCGCTGTCGAGTGTCCCGTACGAGTAATAGCCAAGCATAAGAAACAGCCGAGCCCATCCCCGCGGTGCGGCGCCAACCACCGTTCGTCGAAGCGCCAGCGACGCGGGGAACTTTACCCGCGATTATTTTTTTCCTGGCTCACTTATGACCGAGTTAACTCTTCCTCCTGCCCTTTCATCTGCCTTTCAAAATGCTTCGACGGTAGCAGCGTCGCCCTTGAGTTCCGCTGACGGCATGGCTTCGAACAGCATCAAGCTCTTGACTGGCAACAGTCACCCTGAGCTCGCTCAGGCTGTTGCCAGAAGGTCTGCTACAACCCTCCACCCTGTGGGAAACACGTCATGGACTAACGTGGGACCGCCGTCCTGCGCAGGCTAGGTATCGAGCTCGTGAAGATTATGGTTCTGCAGTACTCGAACCAAGAGACCAGCGTGACGATCGGTGAATCAGTGCGCGATGAAGATGGTACATTATACATTCCACATCCCGCATCTCTTTTTGTCGCATGCGCCCTGCTCAGCCCTGGCTAACAAGCTGCTCCTACAGTCTTCATCCTCCAATCGACCCGGCCCAACGACATCAACGACGGCCTCATGGAGCTCCTGATCATCTGCAACGCGTGCAAGACGGCGTCGGCTCGCCGCGTCACCGCCATCCTCCCCAACTTCCCCTACGCGCGACAGGACAAGAAGGACAAATCGCGGGCGCCCATCACGGCCAAGCTCATGGCCAACATGCTCCAGACCGCGGGCTGCAACCACATCATCACCATGGACCTGCACGCGTCGCAGATCCAGGGCTTCTTCAACGTCCCCGTCGACAACCTGTACGCCGAACCCAACAGCGTGAAGTGGATCCGCGAGAACCTGATGCACGCCACCGAATCCGGCGCCCAGGTCAACGGCGTGAGGGACGAGTGCGTCATCGTGTCCCCCGACGCCGGGGGTGCGAAACGAGCGACCTCCATGGCCGACAAGCTGGACCTGCCCTTCGCGCTGATCCACAAGGAACGATCCCGCCCGAACGAGGTCTCGCGCATGACCCTCGTCGGCACCGTCAAGGACAAGGTCGCCGTTTTGGTCGACGACATGGCGGACACGTGCGGCACGCTGGCCAAAGCGGCGGACACCCTCATTAAGCATGGGGCCAAGGACGTGGTGGCGCTGGTCACGCACGGCATCCTCAGCGGCAAGGCGGTGGAGACGTTGCAGACGAGTTCGCTTTCCCGGCTGGTCATCACGAACACGGTGCCCGTGAGTGCGGATAAGATCGAGGCGCTCAAGGTGCCGGAGGGCCAGAAGGGTTGTCGGCTGGAGTTTATTGACATTGCGCCCGTGTTGGCCGAGGCTGTGAGACGTACTCACAACGGCGAGAGCGTCAGTTATCTGTTCAACAATCCAGTGTCATAGATCGGGCCCCCATTGTCGAGTCTGGATATGCGGCGCCCGTAGGCGAATGTTCTAATATGCTACACATATGAGGGAGCTCCAGAGGCGCCAAAATGGAAATGGAAATGGAAACGGATCTAGATTCAGATATGGATGCTCCGGAAGTTTTGTCGAATCAGGGATACGGTCCCCCTGATAGACAAGCATGCATACGTGCATGCGTGCACAGATGGGCGTTTTGGCGCAAGCTATCACAGAATCTTCAAGACAACCACTTGCCTACTTGCCTACCCACCCAACGAACTTGACACCTGTGCGGAAAGGCCATTTGGAAGGCATTTCTTTGTCGTGGCTCACCTTGCGCAAAGCAATCCCAGCAGCTCCATGGTACTCGTCCCCCGACCGACCTCAACTCAACCATGGCGCGTGCCCCTCTGGCCTCGGACGTTTTTGGAAGGCGAATCATCCCAGCCGTCATGGCGGTCTTTCAGTGTACGGTGAGGGAAAGTCTAAATCCAAGCATACAGTATATCGAGGGGTGGATGTTTGGTGTCAGACGGACAAACAGACCGACCAGACCAGACCGACCAGACCAGCACAGCCAGACAGACAGCCAGACAGCCAGGTCACTCTACACTCATGTCCGGTGCGATTACGTACCCCCCTGATCGACAGACAGCAAGTGTGCTGCACTTGTTACGGCAGCGTGAGTGGCGGGCAGAGATGTGTACGAAATGACTACCTATCGCGTCTATCGCGTCTATTCAAAGTCCAGTAATGGACGGGTCGGGCAGACAGATCTATAGTCGAGTTGTCAGATCACGTTGCATGTGAATGTAATATAAGTATAGGGTAGAGAGTAGAGCTGTTGGACTTGATATGGGAAGCCGTCCCTCCTTGGTGTTGCTGCTAGACAGATGTCTGGAAGATGTAGTTTAGACGATGCCTGGTGGTGAATGTTAGAGATGATCTATGCAATGCAATCTCCTAGCTGGCATCATAGACACCCGTACGGAGGACTGTGTACGAGGTCTCCTGGTATTTGTTGTGGTAAGAGGCAGGGAAGAGCGCAGGCTTGTTGAATTGACCTGTGTAATGCCCTGTTTCACTCTTTCGAAAATGATGTGATCGGAGTCAAAGGAAGTGTCGAGGGTCTCGCTCGATGTACTTTGGAAATCTATCACTCTTCAACTCCTCCGACGACTCATGGACAGTCAATGTGTTCCATCAGCTGTTCTCAAGCTAACGATTGCATGTCACTCCTTCAATGCATACAACACCTGACTCAGATTTCGACTCGATGCACCACATCATCAAACGCCACCCAACGACAACATGTCAGGTCCTCCTCATTACTCGAGGGTCTTGACGCCGACACTATTGCAACCATGAAATAATCCGTGGGAGTGTCCTTTTCCAGCCCTCTACTCAAGGGCGATACGACAATAAACCATCACCCGACCGATCTGAGCTGGCTTGTGTCGCGTGTTTCTCGACACCTCCGTACTTGCAGTTTTCTCGGCTCCCGACACCCACCGTGCCGTGGTCCTGCAGCTTGCGAGATCATCCCGCCTCACTCCGTCTGCGAAGAACCATACACCAAGGAGATACCAAGGAGGTCATCAACGACGAGCAACAAACTCGCCGTGGTGTACACCACCTTCTTGTATTTCGATCACAACGACAGCTCTGGCCCACCTAGGTTGAGCCCTTTCGTGTCTGACGCGGCGCAAAAGCCACGAGCCCTTACAGTCAAGAAGAGAATGGCCATTGATAAGCACCCGGTTCTGGGGAAACAATTTGAGGTCGACCTGCGGATTTGCGTTTTGTTGACCTGTCCTGCTCGTGTTGAAACCCAGCCTATTCAGCGCCTGGTCGAAAACTTCTCCTCGGCTATGCTCTCCTTCGACATTGTTAGGGCCCAAAAATTGGGTTGGTTGATCAATCGACTTGGTGACAGACAGCTGAAGCGGTCCCTTCCGTCCTGCGTTCAGACTTGTCATCTTCGATGATTGCTGTGCGGCGACCACGACGACTGGCTTTCAAATCTCATCTGACGTTTAGACCGTTGTCCTGCGAACTCCCGGTCGGCCTCTGAGTGGGTTCTGCTGGGACTTTGTCGCAAGGGCTCCGGGCAAGCTCAACTTCTCCCTACAGCACATTGTCATTGTCATTGCGCTTCTCGTGAATGCGACGTCGAGCTCGAGGCAGCGGGTCTTCAAAGTGCGTCGATTTCGATATGCCAAGTATGCCAACGCATTCGCTCCGGTCGTAGCTCTTATGGAGGCACGGCATAACCCAGGTTACAGATGGCCAGGATTCTCGTGCCATTTGCCGATGGTGCACAACCCATGACTTGGGTGCTGTTGGTAAGGCGCCATATCTCAGAGCTATGCTCGACACGCTGGACAGCTGCGCGCAGCCAAAGACTTGCGGTTGATCGTCTCAGCGCATTGGCATCAGAAGTGTCGCAACAAGGTCACTCATCCACAAGTGGACAACAGTGACAGAGTCTTCGTGCGTGTGTACTTCCCACTGTGAATGGTCAACGCAGATGATGAAACCTGGCGTGGCGTCGGATGAGCCTAGCTCCATCAAGCGAGCCTCATTTGACCTGAGATGAAGTGAATGGTGATCTGTACGGTGCTGTTGCCCTTGGAAGTAACCAGGACGCAGCTCCTCTAGCATCCACATCTGCTTGAAATGTTTGATGTCTGCTGGGGAGCCCGCCACACGCGGCAATTCCAGCATCCGCATCTGCTCGGTATATTTGAGGACTGCCAGGGCCCCCGGCACAAGCGTGTCACTCGACGCTCTGGCCGAAATTTCGTGGACTAGCGGGACGAAATATAACGGGCGTCGAATGCCGTGCAGTCAAAAGTAAGATGGTTCCTTGTATGTGTGTTGGGAAGAGGCCACTAGCTCAGGCTCGAATCGGGCGAGAATTCTTCCAAGCGATGAACGAGTCGGCCTGAGGGACCGCCATTCTCAGCTGCGTCCAACGAGTTACAACGTGCTTGCTCGAAGAGCCGTCCAAGGTCGCCTCGAATACAGCTTCTGGAGGTACAGCCTTGCAGCGGTTCAGCTCGACACATAACCACTCAAGGACCTGCACCGGGCTGGTTCGGATGTTATCCGTTCAGAGTCAGTCACCATTTGTTAGCGATATTATTGCTGCTTCAGCCTGAGTGCTATTGAAACGAAGTCGTGCCCATCAGAGTACAGGCGCGAGTGCATGATCATCTTTGTCTTACACCGTGGCTCGAATCGCGACCTGCCATCTCTGTGCGAAGCGTTGCCCATAGCCAAAGGACAAAGTCCACTGCAGTGGACGCAGTGGATCAGCTTCACGGAATAGCGGTGCCATTGCTAGATGCCAGATGCTGGAGCATCGCTGAGACATGGTCACATTTTGCCTTTGGCAAGCCGTCCGCTATGGTAATCGGGGCGGAGACCGAGCGGAAAGTAATTGCAGCTGTACTTGCTGGTAATCAGAGACGAGGAACAGATTGGATGGGATGCAAAGGTCCATGTGCTTGCTGCAGCCTCGCTGCCGTGGTCCTCTTCGTCCCCACAGCTAGTCCTGGGGACAACTCCAGCTCTCCGGCGTCTCCAGCTGCATCAGAAAAAGGGGCGGAGGATCCGCTCTTCACCTTGTCGCGTGAAGCTGGAGGAAGGTGTGCCGAAACAAACGCCAATATTGGACTTCTCAACCCTGATCTGTCTACCTTTGTGTTTGACATGTCATACCATGGGTAATTGTTGATGTTCGACTTGATCTCCTTCGGAGAGGAGGATCTTGTCACCACGCTAGGCCTGAGGCTTCTACTGTTGACGCGTAATCAGCAGGTCGAACGGACGGTGCCAGGTTTCCAGGATTGAGCTGCCCTTCCTCAGGAACTGTCGAGCTTCTGATCTGTCACTCACAGCCCGGAAGAGGTTCCCAAGCCTTGTGTGTTGTCGCATTCCTGTGCTCTTGGTAAATGGCACACATGCGAGGAAAGCTGCGAAACCAGTTTTATGGCCTTCATCCCGGTCTAAGAAATCCGGTCTCTGTGGTCCCGGACAGTTTCCTAGTGAGCCAGGTGTCTGCTGGAACCTTGACAGCACCATGCTGGATGTACTGTTTGATCTGCTCGTTGTGCTCTGCCATACGACCATGAGGAATTGTTGGACGTTCCTGTGTTTGCTCCAGCAGAAGCTCGTGATTGCTCTGTGATTCTGCCCTGACAAATGAACATGTCGAAGCGACGGAATTCATTCAAATGTCCAGATGATCCAGATGATCCTCAAATTCCCCCCAATATAGTGTGGATCTGGTTATTATCGTATTTCAGGTGAACGTTTTACAATCCAGAAGCCACTGGAGAACCAGGTGAGCGATGTGACAAGACCTCGTCAAGGTGCAAGTTTCGGGACAGACGTGATGGAGATCTTCCGTCGAAGCTATGAGGTGGTGAGTCTCTGATTGACCTGAAGAGGAGGAGAAACCGTTGCTTGCCTGGTCTTGCCCTTGGCTGTGATGGTGTCTACAGCCTGATGAACCTAAGAGAGGGTCATTCGGGCTTCAGTGAGAGTCAAGAAGACTGGTGGGGTGCACACAGTGTCCCCTATCGTTGATGGAGGCAGGGTTGCATGATCTTGTTATGATGTGCGTGTCGTGGACAGAATGATTGCTTTGGTCATGTCCTTTGCGAGATGCTTTGTCTGAAGGAGAGTGTGATGGGTCGGCCAAGAACAAGATCCTCTCCCGGTATGGTCTTGTTCTGAGCAGAGAGACTATGCTGAAGTCAACCAAGACAAGTGATGAGAGATTTGAAGGTGCTGGTTACTTGCAAGATCGACTGCCATGTCAGTACAATCAGCAAACTGTAAGAGAAGGAACAGCTGACAAAAGTGCAGGTTGTGGAAGTTCTGACCAGCAGATAATGACGCGGCTGGAGCTGCGGCTGAAGACTAGGCATTGACTCAGGTCTTCCGCGTTGCTCGAGGAGTTGAACACGGCTGGGCAAGCATCCCCAGCAAGATATACCTGCGCTCAAGGTAGCGCCCTACTGCAAGAGAGCCGCCAGGAAAACAAACGCATCCTCGTGGCAGGCGACCTTAGTGCAACATCGTTCGGGCTTATTCGAGAATTCTGCACGGCATGACTGACCAGGGAAACTTTCAAATGCAACCAATGTCATGTCTGTTCCGACATGATCGTGGGCTTCCAACAACCTTCATCCAGCAGCACTACCCTATTCCTTCACAACATCGGGACAATGCTTGCTTCATCGCAGAGATATACAGTATCTACAGAAAGACCACAGGAGCCTGCTCTGGGTTCAGCACAACAACGACGTGATCATTTCTTTGAGCCTAAGGGCTCTCATGGAGCTCATCGATCATTCAATGGTGCTTCTTTCTGCTACAAGGCTATGGCGTCTAGTTCTGTCACGACAAGATCTCATTGGGTGTCACCCTCCTTACGTTACCTTCGGTTCCGAATCAATGTTCGATCTAGCATGCGCACCTCGTTCTTGCGTCGTGTGGCGAACGACTTGAATAGAGAGTGTGGCGAATCAATCAAGGCGTCCACTTCTGCAGGCTTAGGCCTATAGGAAGGGTAGTGCACAACATGTCTGCACGTCCTGCACGTCCGATACCATTTTCGCAGGTCCCAAGACATCGATCGGCGTCCAAGGAGCAGGGGATTATGCAACCAAGAATGCCTACGCTCATTCTAAACTGCTTTGGGAGTTGACGCCGGGGACGCTCGGTCCCGTCGAGTCAGTCTCCCCGGCTTGGCCCCTCGAATCTTAGATATCGCGTATTCAGGTGTGCTTACCAGATGCCATTTCTGTTCGCCCGGGCCCGTCATAGGGCTGTTGGGGGTCAGGAGGAGTGCATCTATATGCAGCGAAGTCGAAGAGGAGGCAGGTACCTGCCATGTTCATCACCTACAATGATTTGGATGATTTGCGCGATTCGCGCAAGCGGTCGCAGATCAACGCATTCGTCAACCGAAACCGCCGAGCGAACAAAGTCAAGGCCGCGCAACAACAAGCTCGAGCGGTTCAATGGAGATCACGACAGCCGCTGAAGGTTGAGTCGGAGGTGTCAACGCCTGGAACGGATCTCGTCGACATTCGACAACCTCGGATCTCAAAGGAGATCATCCTCGCCCTGCTGAAAAGACGACAATTGCCGAGACTTCAGCTCCAACATGGGCCTGGTGGTTTTCGCACCGATCCATTTGCATCGCTTCCTATTCCGCAGACGGAGCAGGTCGAATGGGCCACCGACTTCTGTGGGTTGCCATACGCCGAGCAACAATCTGAATTGGCTGGTTGATCGAATACTAACAGTCTTTGCTGAAAATAGTCACTCAGAACTTTTCAGCGATGAATGCGTCGCTCTATACAGACGACGCCGGCAACTGGCTTTTGAATACTCTGTTTCCCATGGCCTTACAGTCAGACATGCTTTTCCAAGCACTGATCCTCTCCATGGCCAGATATTCTCACCCTGCCAGTAAAGGCGCGCTCGTACCTGGCGGCGCTCACTTTGCCCATCTGCGGTCGAGCGTCTTGAGCAAGCTACACCAGGCGCTTTCGATGGACAAGACGATTTCCACCTCAGATACCACCATTCATACAGTCCTCTGTCTGATAGCTGCCGATGTGGGTTAATCCTCTGTCCGAGACTGACTATTAGCTGATGACGATCTAGTTCTTTGCCGGCCATGACGACCATGCGGCGATTCACATGAAAGGCCTGCAGACCCTCGTGTCCCTTCGAGGCGGGCTTGAAAATGGCAACTTTGACCGCTATACAAAATACAACCTCGCAGGGTACGTATTAGTCTCTGCTGGGTTTGTGAGGACGCTGTTCGCTGACAGTATCCTCTCTGCAGTACTCATGCATTATGCCAATTCGCAGAGCAACGCTTGAGGGAAACCGGTTCACCTCCAGTCAAGGCTGAACCCGAGCTCACCTACCCATCGCATCCATTTTCACCAGAACTCTGTACAGAGATCGCAGTCCTTCCTCTTGGCCTCAGCGACATCGCGCTGAAAGGGAGAATATCGGTGCAGATCATTGAGCTGTTATGTCGAATATCCCAAATGGCTCAAGAAACGCCTCTGACTAGACGTGCCACCACGGAGCAAATCTATAACATAGCAATCGACCTGATGACATATCTTACGCGAGACAGTATTTCGCCACTGGAACGGAGCATCTGCCTCTTTACCTTTGTTTTCACGTTACGAGAGACTCCGAGTCGCAACGAAAGCCAGAAGTTCTTCGGTCAATTCTTGATCAATCTACGACGCCGGTTTCGGCAGACATCAAAGTCATTCATGTCCCTGGAAGGTGTGGGTGTAGACCTCGCCATCTGGGGAGTGACCATGCTTGCAATGGAGAACAGCGTGGAGAGGATTGGCCTTGACGAGAACGAACGAAGCGAACTGTTCGAGCAACTATTGCGGCAATACCGTTTAGCAGCAAACTGGAACAAAACCTGCCAGAGTCTGAAAAGGTTCTTCTTCCCCGACACTTGGATTGAAGAATACCGCGTTTGGTGGAACAAGGAGACGGAGAAGTTCAGAAAGAGACATCGGAGGTCTCGCTGACCACGACTCTTGGATTCGGTACAAGGGCACTAGCTCCACACTCGCACAGATATCGGACTTCGTTCACTCCATATCAGGTTGGCAAAACTTGTCACTGTGTGGCCACATGCCAGAACCGATACCGTGGCGACCGAGCGTTTGTGCCTGACAGGCTCATGGCTCGAAGACGACAATCCCAGCACTTCCAAGCCTCTCAGCCTCATCAAAAGCCTTCTGCCAATCGTCCAACTTGAACTTCGCAACAACATTAGCACCATATGGCGTCACTGTGTCTCCCTTCCGATGCAGCTTCACAATACCCATCTCAACCAGACCGATCAGCCTCTTCACATCCATGGGCTCATACATCCACTTGCCCTTGAGAATGAGATTCTTGTGCATGAACACCCCGTTCGGCAGCGGGATATCCTGGTCGCCACCACCCATAATGCACAACCTTCCACCGTGTCTCAACGCCAACGTACCCGTCTTCAGCAGTTCCTTTCCCGCCGTCGGCGGAGAAATATCAAAGAACACATCAATATTCCCACCGAGGCTCTTCAACGCCTTCAGGTCCTCCTGCCACGTGCCCGACAACGGCACAGCCTCAATCCTCGCCCTCTTCTCCACCGTCGCTGCACGTTTCAACCCCTCCAACGCCTCAACATTCCTGCCCATACAAATCACCTTCCCGGCGCCCAATTCAAGACACAAATGCGCCGCCGCACTCCCGAACCCACCTGTCGCGGGATAAACAACCACAGTCTCGCCTGGCTTCAAGTCAATACACAGCGGGCCCAGTCCTCCGTACGGAACCATCATCCTCGAGAGATACATCAGATCATCCATCTGGTAGCCGAGCGTGTTGAACAGCCGGTCCTCGTCAAGGACGTGGCAATTCTCCAACGGCCAGCGCACGTACTCTGCATAAGTCCCATCGCGCCAGCCATCAGTCATAAGCTTGGCGGATGCAGGCGTGTGGCCCTGAATGATTGCGCTAAGAAACGTCGCGCCAGCGGAGCGGTCAATGTCGTCTCTTCCACGGATCGTGATGTCGAGGAGGCACAGGTCGCCGATTTTGAGAGTCGTGGCGTCTTGGCCCAACGCGACGACCCGCGCGAGTGCGGATTCTCCTAACGTGAGGGGCACGGGGTAGGGGTACTTGCGCACGCCATTGTAGATGTCCTTGGTGTAGTTGATGATGCTGGCCTGGAGGACTTTGAGGACGGCAGAGCCGGGGGTGGGTTGTGGTGTCGCGACTGTTTGGACTGTAGGTGGCTGGGCGTAGACATCCTGCCGAAGGGCGCGATGTGTCGGTGGTAAGGAATTCGTCATTCTGGTGAAGAGGCGGTGTTGCGAACACTTATGGTGCTTAGCCAGTAGGTCAGTAGGCAGTAGCCTTGTGAGTGCACGGGGCAATAACTATGGGTTGATATGAAGCGAAGTGAGGCGAGAGGTGTGAGTGCTGCGAGTGATACGGCGCCCGTGAAGTGTGTAATGTGTAATGTGAAATGTGAAATGTGAGATGCTCGATATATCTTTGATCTCGCGGGCTCACTCGCGATACTTATACTTGCCAACCTGCCATTATACTGTACGCATTCACACCCGTCCATAGGTACCCATACACATACACATACGCGGTCGCCCACGATGTAATCTCTCCGACGGTCTCATTGACGAACCCGCGAAGATGCAACTCCCTTACCTTATCTCCGTCGTCGCCACTGTCCCCGCGCCCTTGTTTTGTGCCCAGCGTGTACGTACTGGTACTGGCACTGGTAGTGGAACCGTGCGTGTACAATAGTCTGGCGTATCCAGGTGCAGTGCGTGCAACATGACAGCCGGGTGAGCCAGCTTGGCTATCACGCATCGCGCATCGCGCATCGCGCATCGCGCATTACGGAGTACGGAGTACGGAGTGACTAACTGCAGTATTGACCTCCACACCAGGGAATCCTCAGGTCCTCAGGTCCTCAGGTCCTCAGGTCCCCAGACATACTGGCCTCCATACTCCGTACCCATCATACGAGGTACTCATAGGCACAAGCATGTTTAGCCTCACCACAGGTGGATGGGTACATAGGTGACCCGAGCCGGCGTAATTTTTAATAGTTAGTCCCGATCGGATCGGATCGGATCGGATATTCCGAGTCGGGGCATTGATGGCCCAACGGGTCTGGCGTTGACCACTCACGTGACGCGTCGGCCACGAGGGCTGCGTTACGCAGGACGCAGCAACCAGGTCTGACTGTGGTATGTATGTACTACCTAGTATGTAGGTAGGCAGGCTCCCGACGCCATAACAAGCTGTCCGAATTAGAGTGATGAAGTACACTACACCTGCTTGGAGGAGAGGAGAGAACATGGTACGATGCGCGGCGGAAAAGAAGTCAGGAAAATGTGAACTGACATGTTCAGTCTCCGTCGAATTGTTGATTGATACCTAGGTAGGTACATAGGGTGATTGATTCGTCCGATTACTGGGTACACACCGCTACATACGCACTGATACGGAGTATACAATGTAGGTACTCCGTACCATACGCTTGTATATAGAATCAGCTGATACCTGTACGAAGTACTCCGTATGTGCCCGGCCCTATGTGTGTCCCCCACAAGGGCATGCAGGGTATCTTCGTTGTTATGGTAGTGCTCCGAAACGCAGGGATGGAACTGAGGAGGTACGTACTGCATACGGATCACAGTATCTACTGTAGACCGGGGTCGTCTCCGATTTCTCAGCCTTTTGACTCGTCAGTCCTGCGTACTCGGCGTTGCAGTCCACAATACAGCGCGCTATGCAGTAGTAATGAGCGCAACAGGCAGAGTAGAGCGAGGGAGCATCGTGAACAACTACCAGCCTTGAAGACCGCTCCTTAATCTGTACAATCCACTCGGAACGCCTTCGCTTCCCAGCCCAGATTTGCTTGCCAAAAGCATAAAGGTACAATGGTGGGTTAAGATGGAAAATGTCGTGTCGCAATGACAGGACTCAACCCCATTCCCCTCTGACAAGGCCCAAACTTCAACAGCACTGCACATACCACGTCAAGCCCCTACCCGCAGCGCCAGAAGCCCCCATATTCAGACATTCTTAGGGTTCCTACTGCGTGTCCGCGTCTGCACTCCTCCCTCTGTCTTCGCACCTTGCAAAGCATTTGCTTCTAATTTCGCGGTGTTGATATCGAGGAATGTCGTCTTTTCGGCATCCTGAGAAGCAGTAATGGTCGCCGGTTTAGACCCGACCGGCACAGGCAGTTGTGTGTTTGTGAATCTCTTCGGTGCTGGAGTCCCATTCACGGAGCCGCCGTTCAATCTTCTCAGCCGACGCACTTTCTTCATGCCGCCTCGGTTTTTGTTCCTTTCCCGCAGCATCTGAAATAGATCCTGGATCGACTGTTCCGTGACATTTCCTTCAAGGCCCTCGCCGCCCGGACTGGTATTAGGTCTCAGCTCACCAGCTGAGCCTTCTGTTCCACCCTCCTGGCGTGGTCCTTCCTCAGCCTCGACCACTTCGTCCGTAAGAGCAGATTCTTTCAGAGGGTCTGAGCCATCTTGATATGTGGCTAGCGTTTCAGCCCAGACCACCTTTTTCTGCTTCGTCTTCGCGGCTGTTGATTCCGGAATCAGGGGGTCGCATCCCGCTGAAGCAACACCTGACGACTCCCTGACTTTGGCTTCGGCGGCCAGTTGAATCAGCCTGATCTTGACCGAAATTGCCCCAAACTTGTTACACTTAGTATTTTGTCTAGTCGCCACCGCAATGGACTGGTTTTCGTGGTTGTTAGCCACCAGCTCTGGACCTTTGACTCGTTTGAGAGAAATAGTGGCGGTCGGGGTTGACACGGGGTTCTGAGGTCTGGGTAGCCGAGTTGTGAGTCGGGAGCTTCGTCGAGGTGAGAGGATGATATTGGGCTCGTTCGCTGCGGGCAGGGTTACAGGGACATCAACCGGCTCAGGTGTTGTTGCTGCACCCTTCTCGATTTGGAGACTCTTGGATACCTCTACCACTTCATGGCCAGCGCTGACTGCCTCATCGGGTAGTCCTGGAGGATTCTGTTCGTTCTGTTCGTTCTGTTCTCGGGCCTCCTTCTGCGCTCGTGTTCGAGACAGGAAACCCCACAAGTAGGCTGCATTCTCATCTTCAAGAGAGGGCTCAACGGCCGCCAAGGTTCTGTGGGCGCTGGTGGTCAAGTCATGTTCGTCGTCGTTGGACGGGAGGATTGGTGCAGTAAGGTTTTCATTCGGTAACCCAGACGAAGTCGCCATTGCTACCGTGAGTTCTGAAGTGGGTGAAGAGCGGGTGACCGCAGCTGTACAACTGTCATCGTTTGCATCCTCAACGGGTGGAAGAATCATGTCTAAGACAACGGGCGAGGCGGTTGCTTCACCCTCGACTGATGGCTCCTCACCCAAGGTTCCGGATGCCTCACAAGTCCCGAGTTCTGGTGAAGCCGTGCCATGGTCTGTCTTGTCAAGATTGCCGTCTTGGTCTTGATGCTCGTCTGAATTACAGGAGATTTGCATGCTTTGATCCTCTTCCACGGCTCGCGCAGGAGGCTCCCCACATTCCAGTACCTTTCGCCTCGGACTGGGCGTGGACAATCCATCGTCGTCCCATTTTGATCCAACATAGTCAACATTCTCCTTGTCCTCATCTTCTCCAAGGTGTGTGACCCGCAGTCTCTTGACCGGCCGAGAGTTCAGCTTACTCGTCTCTTTCCTCCATTTCTGGCCGTCAGTCGCACCGACAACCCCCAACGGCACGCGTTTCCAGATCTTCTGCGCATCATTTCGGGCGGCATAGGGCACTGCTGGTCGCCGTTCCCACGCTCTAGGTAAGGACTGGACGCGTCGCGGGCTGAGCCCACAATGCTTGGAGGCGCTCGTGATGGCATTTTCTCCATCTTCGTTTGGCAACTGATTGGGAAGGCTGGTGTGGCGACGCGATCTCTGAGGTGAATTCTTCTGGCTAGCGGTGGGAGAAGTCTCGAGGACGTGGTCCAGCAGCAGAGGCTGTTGTCGCGGTGGGGTGGCAACGGCGAGCGCTGACGCCATAATGATAGAGCAGACTGAGCTGCTCAACTCGTAATAAATGCTACGAATGTATCATCAAGTCAACGGTAGGGTCCGAAGACCGACGCCAGAGGGCCTGACGGATGGTTATCAGAGGCAGCTGAAGGCAGGTAGTTGGGATCTTTCATCAGTCGTGAGAGGGGACTGAATTCAACCGCGCTCAAAGCTCGCGTCATGTTTATTCAGAACAGAACCGGTTAGTCTGCTCAGCGCGCCCGCTACAACGCTGTCTGTTCCTGCGAACAAGGCCACCAGAGTTGCTCTTCTTCAATGATATTATTACTCGTGTATTCTCTGCGTGTTGCAGTGCGTAGGAGGCTGTATGCCGTAGCAAGTCTATGCTTTCATATACACATGAACCGTAACAAACCCTTGGACTGTATCCTGCCACACCTTTCCATTTCTCCCCCGATATTACCAGCATAAACTGTCCTGACCCAAGACTTCTGCTAGCAATATCCTCAGTTCGTTCCAGCCGTCCAAGAGTGTCAAATCGCTATGCATAACGGCATGCTCATCCTGGTTTACATGGTTGGTGCGTGTGTACATGAACTCATTCCGCCTCCCTTGCCGATAGCTGTCCTCGTTTTCCAGTACGCCGGTAATCAAAAAATGTCGTCCCAATGTGCGCGCATGCTTGTTGTTGGTGCTCGAGTGTTGTAAAATAAATAATGCTAAGGACAGTCAAGAAAGGAAATTGGCATCAGTTGCACTTCAATGATAGTGCATCGTGGGCATGAACTCCACCCGCCCGACCGGCCCGCGAGGGTACCCGGTGGGGGGTGCGCTCTGGGGCGCCATCGTGACAGGGCTGTCGCTGACGAAATTCGCGTACTCCCAAGACGGCATCCCGGTGACAGGTGCCGTCATGGGATGAGACTGCATCGACATCGAAGCTTGCGTGACGGGAACCCCGTTCTGGTACATGTATGCGTTGTTGACTTCGTAGGCAGCCGCATACTGAGGTTGTGGCATCTGCAACTGCAACTCAGGTGGAGCTGTCGCGACAGGTCCTGGACCACGCATGTGCATTGGGTGTTGAGGAAGATACCCCATATCAGAGTTGACGTGATACCCCGATGCCGCCAGGTATTCAGGTTGTGGCGACGAGGGATATGGGTATTCGGACATTGGCTCCGATTGGTAGATGGAGGAGGTCGGTGTAAGCAGAGGTGCCGCGGTAGAAGAATAGCTGGCGGAGTACTTGGAGATGATTTTCTTCAGTGCCGTTCCAAGTATCTTCCATGGGAAGACCTTGACATCCTTCTCAATGTTGCGCGGCTTGGGGTGAGGGAAGCCCATGATGACCTTGAAGAACTCTTCACTGTCGGCTCGAGCCTTGGAGACAGTCATGGGTCGGAAACCTTCGAGATTGCGCCGGATGCGGTTCTTCTCCTCGACAGTGAATCGGACTCCAACCAAAGACTCAAGCAGATAGATAGTATCCACCGACGTAACGTAAAATTCGTTCTTCTCCTTCCACCAGATGCAGCTGATGCAGATGCTACTGGCCTGGCGTTGGTCGGGAGAAACTGCTTTAAAACTCCCACATATGGTGCTGCCCGTTTGCTCACGCTCAAACACGACAAGGCGACGGCGTGCCTCCTTTTCTTCAGCAGTCCAGTCGTCTTTCATGCTGTCTAGGTCGCCCTTGAGCTTGAGGTTCGCCTTGAGAGCTTGCATGGCATATGGGTTAAAGGTTTGAGTTTGCCCGACGGCCATGCTTGAAAACACGCCCGGCGGTGATTGCTGCATGGTGGACGTGCGCACTAGTCGGGGAATTGATGACTTGAGAGGAGAGCCTGTGGTGGGTCGTGGGATAGGAGTCATGGGCGCTCGAGGGCTCTGCTCGCTCTTCACGGTGGTGAACGAAGGGCTGAAGGCTGGAGTATGTGGAGAAGGCGCAGCCAACGAACACTGTGACGCAGTCGACGTCGAATAGTGGTGACTGGATGATCTTGGCGAGGCGCCGTGACTCGCATACGCAGGGAGTCCAGTGCTGCCCGTCGGTGTTGGTACAAAGGGAGAATAAGGCGAAGTTTGGCCGCTGAGGTCGTAGTAGTCGCCATTGGGGTCTTGAACGTGGACTTGAGCCAGCACCGCTCTCTTTTGAGCGGGCAGGTCGTAATCTTCCTCCACCGAAGCCTTGCGCTTGCGGGAGAGGGTCGGAATGTTTTGAGTTGACGCAACAGGGTGATGATGGGCGCGGAAGGCTTTCAGCTCTGCCTCTTTGCCGTTGTGGGACTCCACCGAGGGTGCACTGCCTTGCACAAAGCTCTTCTCAGAGGAGTAGTCACTGCCGGTAAGGTATGGAAAGTCGGCATCTTGGACATTTCCAGGCTGGAGAAGGGGATGATGATCGTACGGTGTAGGCGGATAACTACCGTAGAACATCGAATTGTCCATGACAGGAGGTTGGAATTCTGGCCTTTGGTTAGCCACGTGCCGTGACGTCCGACACTTTGTCAACGTACTCATGAACCCTGGTTGACCTGCCCCGTCATAGCCAGACATGAAGAGCTGACCAGGTTTGGCGTCGAGGCCGTCCTGGAACTGACTTGCAAAAGGTTCTCCAGCAAAATCGGCAGGGTCGAATGTGTCGTCGACTATGAACGGGGTGCGGGAGTCTGGAAAAGACTGAGGACAGGTCAGTATTTGAATCCGTCTGGAGAGTCTGGCTCAACGCCGTGAGGGCAGAGGGTAAAACATGTCAGGGATACGCAAGATTGGACTTACCTGAAAGTGGTTGGAAGTTATGGACGCCAGATTGACGGTGTTGTGGAGAAAATTGATAAAACAAAAAAGCACTAAGCGAGCGACTGGGTACTAAGCGAGTGTGGTGAGGCTAAATCTTGCCTCGGATCAAAACGAACGAATGTTGCGAAGTATTATCGAGATCGGAATGTCTGAGAGGTCGATGTCGTAGTTCTCCAGGTGTACATTCGAATCTCAGGGATGATACTGCGAGATGAGCAGACTCCAAGGTAGCAGGAGTCAGCGGCTGGCTGAAGGCCCCGAAATGGATGAGATAAGACTCAGGCCGATGTCGCCAAGTTGAAGAGATTTGAGACGAGGCCGAGAGTTCGTCGTTCCCGAAGAGGGTTGAAATCGGGAAGCTGAGGCAGACTTAATCTCGAGAACAAAGAATTCCACCGTGGTGGAACGAACTATCAACACTGATCAGCCGAACTATCCTCGGGCAGAATTGAAATGCAGGGCCAGGGTAACGTTTGCAAGGGATTCTTACATCTGGCGGGGAAGATTGAACGGTGTTGTGGTAAATAGTTGTGAATATTTCAAATCGAGGGTCAGCGAGGAGTGAAGGGCGCTCTGGCACGAGTGAAACAGGCTGTTGAAGGGCGTCAGTGAGACATTCAGGATATTTCCGCGCAGATTCCAAGCCATAGGAATGATGGATAATCTCAACTCAGGCAAGGACAAGATGTGCAAGCAAGGAGTGTTGCAGGTTACAGGATTTTGACATCCGGTACAGGATCGAACACGGCACGGATGATGTGAGAAGATCGAGAGATAACTCACCCAGCAGAAGGAATTTCAACGTGGCCCACAGGATCGAACCTCACACTGATCTTCCCTTTTCTTCCTCACGGGTCGACCCGCTGAGTTTCCCACACGGACGGTCACCACACGGGTGGTTGCGCAGTTCCGACTATATTTCAACCGTGGACTCGAACAGGATCTTTCCAATAGCAGGATACGCCGCCGATAGATAAGGCTGATGTGACAAGATAGAGGAAGTTCTTTGGTTCGAGATCCAGGCCCAAGTGTCGTCGCGGCGACTTGCTGCTTGATCGACAGGAAGGATGTTGAAGAATTGGGTGGGACGTCTGGCGTTGCTTTCAGCGAACAATTTCGAAAAGCGAAGGACTTGAGCGATTGGCGTCCAACGAGTGGTATTCGAAGCCGTGAAAAGCGAGTGTGTGTTGGTGTAAACGAAAGTATGGTCTGCGAACAGAGCCAGAAAAGATGACCAGCGAAGGTGAGGTGAAGGGATGATGGTCCAGGTGGAGCAGGAATGGGAAGAAGAGGAGCCGCGGACCAGGAGGGGATCAAAAGGCTATATCGGCCTCGAACTCAGCCAGAGAGCCTGGAGGCGTGAAGCCGCGAAAGGCGAGGATGGCAAAAAGAAGGGCTCTGGCGGATCAATCAGGTCACGCAGAACTGCTCGGCGAGTGAACGGGAAGACTTTCTGCGCGAGTCGTGGCAGGCTTAGTGGCAGTGAACGACTAGCGCGCTGAGGGAAAAAGGAAGAGGTCAGAGGTGGGCAGGGCGACGCAGGGAGTGGATGAGGGGCGTGCCGGGGTCGTTAGGGAGTGGATAATAGGCGTAGGAGAGGGAGACTCGACGAAGGCCCAAAAGGACGCGAGGGGAAAAGACAGGCTTAGCACCAGAAGCGGAGACCAGCCGACTGGACTCGCTCGGTCATGAGTGGCTGATACAACGGGAGTCTTCGATGAGCGACGTGCCGTGGTCAGATCATCAGTGAGAGGTGAGTGAGCAACCGTGGCGTGGTGGTCTTCTGGAGTCGCCTCTCGCATCGACTTTGACGTTGCTTCCATCTGCATCGACTTCGAAGCAACTATTCCTACATCTACCTTGGCCGCTACAGCCCTCACCATCCTGATGGTCCTACGACCTGAGGTTGACAGCCGTCAGCAACTGGCAGGCCCAAGCGCGTACTGGGTACGAGGAGCAACCGTGGCCGGCTCCTGGCGGCACAGTGGGCATTGTCATTTTCACCTTACCCTGGACTAGCGTTTCTGTGTGTTTTGTTTCTTGGGTGTGCGCACAAATTCATGCGATGACAGCTCGACCAGGGCTCATGATCGGCCAAGGGCGAGCTTCGTAGGTAGATCCACATGCCCGTGTTGAGTCAAGGGCTCGTTGTTAGGCAGAGCGTGGCACCCAAGCACAAGCATTGCTGGGGAGGCATTCTGAGGCTTGCACAGCCGCATTGAATG